GAGCTGCAGAAGAAGTAGCTCAGCTTCATGACATCACCCAGGATCCACGCGACGACCACCGACAATCGGAAGCCGGCGCAGGACCGAGAGCGGTAGTTCTTCAGGATTTGGGGGATCGGCAGGGTGGCTTCGACGGCGAGACCGGTGTATCCGAGGAAGTTGATGTACAGCTGGGATTGCGACAGGGGCGGGAGAAGGATCTGGATGAAGGAGAGCGCTCCAATGAAGTAGGCCAAACACATCCAATATCTAGATGCGACATAATGTCAGTCCCATGAAACCGATCCTAGGCTATCCGACGGAAGGAAGGGGACATACGGCCTCGCGCTCTTCCACTGCCAAAACTCGTACGGCCTGGTATCCGCGGCGTCGAGCTGCGCAAAAGGAGCATGTTCGATCCCGTCCTTCGCCCCTGGAGACGGGCGGTTATCCAATGCGACCTTGAGCAACACCATCTGAACTCCAATCATAACGATCGCTTGTATCAACAGCGAAATCGAGTAGTTATCGCCGAACCAGAAGTAGACCCTATATAGCAGAAGTCAACGTCGAGCCCTAAGGGTCGCATCCCGGTCGGGGAACCTCTCGGCTTACTTGAGGATCGAGGCGAGCAGCATGATCAGAGGAATATCGAGCGAAAAGCCAGCCGACGTGCGCGTCCGGTGGATGCTGAGGATCTGGTCCGCATACGACGTCACCGGCGAGGTGACGAGGCTATTCGAGGGGGGGGAGCCCCGCGGTTAGCATTCCGTTCTTATTCCATCCATCGAGTCGTCTCCTTTTCCTTGTTTCCTTCTTTCTCTATTTCTTGTAGCGTTTCTCTTTCAAGAACGATCAATAAAGATAGGAATATTCGCGACATACAAGATCGGAGCCCCATAATCCACCGCCATCTGGATAAGAGACATCGTCATATAATGACGCCCTGGCGTCAAATCCCACTGGCCGAAATAATAGGAATAAAGATAAATTAAAAGTTAAAGAGTAAAAAATAGAATCAAGACGAAAGACCGGAAGTGCCAATAAGCACAAGATGCCGAGCCCAAACCGACGGAACGGGGCGGGAGATGGCGCGAAGTCGGCGTTTGTCCAAGGTCAGGGGGGGGGTGTCGAAGAAAAGAGACTCAAGGTTTAAGGACAGAATCCTGCAAGGGAACGAAGTTAGGTTAAAGATGAACGAGGACGCTCTCTGCAAAAAACACTGATCGAGAGCAAGGAAGGGTGAAAAAAGGGAAATTAATCAATCTCGAACCAGACCTTTTGCCTTTCGCAGGTCGAAAGCGTCACTTTTTCTCGCTTTTTCTTTTCACGAGCCCGTGCCTGGCTGACTCAGCGGGTCCACCGATCCCCTTTCCTTCTTTCTTGGTTCTTGGATAGTCTTTGCTTAGTTGCGTCTTTAATTTCACATGGGATTCTAGGTTTCTGGCTCCAGGGGGAAGAAAGTCGTTGGTGTTGCTAACTATGTATACATATAAATCCATCGGTCACGGATGACCCACGGTTTAGAATTCCATGCGCCAAGTCTTGCCAATGCTCACCCCAGGATTCTTCACCACGACGTAGGGGGCCTTGCCGCTTGCCTGGTCATGGTATTCCACGGTCGCCGTCGACGCGGACTTGGCTCCCTCCTCGACCACCGTGACGCTGGCCTTCTCCTGCCACTGCGTGGGCGGGTCGATGATGACTACTTTCTCCACCCGGACGGCGGACATAACCTTGAGGTATTCGGCGGTCTTGGGACCCTTGGTGCCGATATCCTCCGAGGAGAGGGTGGCATCGCGGAAGTGGAAGCGCCGGTGGATGTACCCACCGCGTTGGTAGTCGTAGGTCTCGCCGTCGTCCACGTACAGGGTCCCCTCGGCCTCTCCGTTCGAGTCCACGACCACAACCAAGGTGTACGGGTCCCACTTCATCAGCCCGCTGCTGCGACGGGGTCGGTCCTTGCGGGGGATGATGTGGCCGGCCTGCATCAACAAGGGCACCTTGTCGATGGGCGCGGGCACGTTATGCTGCTTTCCGGCGCCCTGGTAGACCGTGTAGTCGAAATAGTCATAGTACTTCTGGTCGTCGGCGAGATAAATGTCCGCCGTGTTTACCCCCTCGGCAACAACCGGCTTGGTCAGGAGGCCCGACGCTCCGAGGTACAACTGGTCGTCGATCGCAAACCCTGTCTCATCGGCCGGGTGCACGTAGAATTGTGGCCGGACGATCGGGGTGCCGTTGACCGATGCCTCGTGGAAGGCGGTGTACCAGACCGGCAGGAGCTGGTATCGCAAGCGGAGCGCCTGAGCGATGATGGACCGGTGAGGCTCGGGGATCAGGAAGGGCTCACGCCGGCGCGTGTCAATGTGGGCGTGGGCACGGAAGAACGGGTACCAGATGCCAGCCTGGTACCAGCGCGTCAGGAGTTCGGTAGTCGGGTTGTGGAAGAACCCGCCGACGTCCGCTCCGGCGAAGGGGAAGCCCGAGATCCCGTTGTTGAGAACCATCGGCAGGGAGATGGCGAGATGCTCCCAGGTTGCCTGGTTATCGCCGGTCCACATGGCCGATGTACGCTGTGCGCCGGCATAGTACGACCGGGTCAGGATGAACGGACGGCGGACCACGCCCTTCTTGCGCTCTAGGAGTGCATCATAGGTGGCATTCACGAGGGTGATACCGTGGATGTTGTGGATGTCGCGGTGTTCCCAGTTGCCCCAATGCAGGTTATCTTTGGGCATCGTCATTTCCGGCCCATTGAACACGGATGGCTCGTTCATATCGTTCCAAATGAACACATTGGGGAGCGTCCCCTTGAAGCGGTCATATTTGAACAGGCCGATCCACCACTTAATTGCCGCGGGGTTAAAGCAATCCACCCAGTGGGACGCGCCCGGCCAGCAGTGACCCTCGAAGATCTCGCCATTCTTGTTCCGCGTGGCCAGGTTCTTACTCTTCATCTCTTCCACGATGGGGTACCCGTCCTGGTTCTTGATGTGGGGGTCAATGATCACCACGAGCTTGCGCTCGCTCTCATCCAGCTGTTGCTCCATCCCGATGGGATTGGGGAATTGAAGAGGGTCCCAGGTGAAATATTTGATGTCGTCCGTGTAGTCGATGTCGAGCCAAATCACGTCATAGGGAATTTGGTACATGTCGAAGTTACGGTCGACCTCCTTGACGTCCTCGTCGGTGACATAGTTCCAGCGACACTGATGATACCCAATCGCAAAGTGTTGGGGCAGTTGCGTATAGCCCGTCAGTTCGCCATAGTTCTTACTGATATCCTGGGGCGTGGGTCCCAAGAACACAAACAAGTCGATCTGGCCAGTCTCCGAAAACCAATGGCTCTGGGTGTCAGTTTTGGCGCCCATACCCAAGGAGAGGGGGTTGGCCGAGGCGGTCGTCTTGACGATGTCCACCCAAGTCTCGGCAGCGTTCAGCCAGAAAACTCCGACGGTCGAGTCCTTCCGGTGCGCCTGCATGAGTGGGATCGAGCCGTACAGGGTCATGGGGCTGTTGAGCTCATATTCAAACACATCGGAGTTGTACATGCGGTAGGGCTCCTCGTGGTTGCCAGAGCCACCTCTACCATACTATTAGTCGTCACCTATCAGACACTTCCGAAGTTCGAGAGCTCACCTGGTCTCCTTCAAAGACATAGAGTCCGCATGCTCCGGAATCCCAAAGACATGGCTGTAACCAGGAAAAGTGATGTCGAGACCGACACTCTCGGGGCCTCTAGGCTTGGTGTCGGTGTTCCCACCGAAAGTTTCGTCCCACCAGGTGCCTTCATCCTCCGTGGTCGGCGGTGCCTCGGCTCCTTCGGGAACTTCCACCTTGGGGCGCCAGTGCTCCATGTTGAGGTAGCCCTTGTTGTTCAACTGGACATGGGTCTGTCCGTCCCTCTGGAAGAACACATTGAAGGGAGAGTGGCGGATGACAGCCTGGTACTTGTTGTCCGGACCGTACAAGATCTTCGTCACTCCCTCCTCCTGTTCCGGGTTCAGGGAAGCTGACTTGCTCAATCCCAGGCCCCCCACCAACACCCATTTCTGCGCGTCGTTGTATCGCTCCTTGCGGGCCTGGCTGTCGTGTCGCAATTCGATATCGCCCTTCATCCTCTTCTCCTCATCGACCACGACCCGAGCGACTCCGGACTCAAGAAACGACACGACCAGCGGCAATCTGACCGTTTCGGTCGCCGAAATCGCCTTGAGGATCGTTCCTTGCAACAGGCCATCCTTGAAATGGATCGAGGACGGTTCGAGGGCGTAGGGAGAGCTCCAAGACGAGCTCTGGGCAGAGGCATGGTCGGCATAGGCTCTGTTCCGTTTACAGAAACCGGATTGGTCGCATTTCTTGAAACTTTCATGTTTCACGGTGACTGGAAGACGGTCAATACTGGGCCAGTCGTGAGGGCCAAGGGCAGGACACACCTCCAGGAATGACCAAGCATCCGAGTAGAATCACCAGGGATAAAAATAAGGTCCACCAAGTGGACGATGGCTGTAATCGCGTCATGGCTGCGTTAATCACTGTCGTCCCTCAACTCGAGAAGGTACAATAAAACGATTGCCCTCCGTGAACGTGCTGGCCTGCATCTACCCGAGACGAAGGTGTCCAGCATACACGGTGAAAAGGTCCGTCCAGTCAATTAATCGTGAGACGAGATAGGAGATGGATTGACAAGGTCAGAGAAGGACATTGACCGGTCAGTCTTCGGAGCTACCAAGTAAACAACAGAAGTGGGTAATTCCAGGCTGGCCTGACTGGAGATTGAGGAGGCCGCCGGGGAAGCTCCCGTTGGGGCTTAGCGTATGCACTAGTCCATATTTGGACAACACGGGGTGCACACCTGAGGCAAACTTGGAAACCCGTCAGGCAGCGACCAGGCCACCAGGCCGACAGGCCACCAGGCCACCAGGCCGCAACCAGTGGCCCATCCTTTCAGGCATTGGCACGCTGTTAGTGCTGGCTTTACCCGTCCAGAAGGCCCAAACAGCCCACTGCCCCACCCACAACTCCCTCGTATATATTTTCGCCCACCTTTTCGGCCCGTCATTAAAAGTTTCCCTTCTCTTCTCCTTTTCCCCAATTGCATTCTTCTTGATACTCTGTCAATCAGATCTCATTCCTCCCAATCCTTCAAAATGTCCAACAGCGAGCAGACGTAAGTAATTTATGCCACATACATGCATACCCCCCTCCTATCCTCTTCCCCTCTACCCCGCTCTACTGTATGGTGGTGCAATTTTTTCCACGCTTGTTTTACCTATACTAACACCTTGGAATAGCTTCATTGCCATCAAGCCCGATGGAGTCCAGGTACGAACCAAGTAACTTTCGATATAGCAATGTCGCCATTGTCCAATTCCTACAGAAACTAATCATGGATTTCTAGCGTGGACTCGTCGGCCCCATCATCTCCCGCTTCGAGAACCGTGGGTTCGTACACCCTCTTTGAGCCGTGCCAATATGAATCGGGAGGAATGACGGGAACTAACGATCTGTAGCTTCAAGCTTGCTGCCTTGAAGATGACCTCCCCCAGCAAGGAGCTCCTTGAGCAGCACTACGGTGATCTGTCCTCCAAGCCTTTCTTCCCCGGCCTGCTTGCCTGTACGTCTCCAAATGGAATATTAATATCTGGAGTGCTGTAATGTGCTAACGGTTGATTAGACATGATGAGCGGCCCCGTTGTCGCCATGGTCTGGGAGGGCAAGGACGTCGTCAAGACTGGCCGCAGTATGTTTTTTCCCTTACACCAACCAATCTTTCTATCCGTGGACTAACAATGATGTAGCCATCCTCGGTGCCACCAACCCCCTGGCTTCCGCCCCCGGTACCATCCGTGGTGACTTCGCCATCGTAAGTCCCTTCCGTCCATTCGTGCGGCTTCCCGGAGACTAACTGCTTGACAGGACATCGGCCGCAACGTCTGCCACGGCTCCGACAGCGTCGAGAGCGCCAAGAAGGAGATCTCCCTCTGGTTCCAGCCTCAGGAGGTCCAGACCTACAAGCTCGCCCAGTACGCCTGGCTCTACGAGAAGGAGCAATAGATTGCTCCACTCGATACTCCAACTTCCATCCGAGCTGTGTGCACCTCGAGTAGAGGCGTAAACAGCATCGGTTGGTAGCGAGATAGAGAAGGACGGGATGAGAAATATAAAACGAATTCAAAAAACCTACATCTTAAAACAACCTCTAGTCGACGCGTGTAGTACGATGCTACTCGAACTCGGTAGCTCGGTCTACTTCCTCCCAAACAAGGCCCTAGTCCCTCGAGCCAAGGGACTCACAACGACTCTAGCAAACCACGGCGTCGCCCAAAAACTCGCCGCAATCCGCAGTGGCAGAAAAGCCTTGGTAATCGCGTAAGCCGTAGCGAATTCCAAAATCAACCACGCACCCGTCCCCTCCTTTCCCCCCGCCGCTTCCTTAGTCGGAGACAACCTCCCCGTAGAGTCATCCGACGACCCCTCCCCAACTACAGATTCAACATCCGCATCTTCCACCCATCCCTTCTTGCGCAACCACCGCGCAAAACGCTGCGTGCCCTCCTCAAACGACCGATTAGCGGTCAAATCGGGGAGCCAATTCCCGTAGTGGAAGGCGGCGACTAGACCGAAGAGGGGCACAATTGCCGTGAGCTCGTGGAGGATCAGGAACGAGGTGATATGGGTGGCGGGAGCGCCGAGGAGGGGGGTGGTGTATGCGCGGAGGAAGGCCGGGAGTCGGTCGTTGAGGCGGCGGAGCTGTGAACGAGGGTCTTTTTTGGGAGGTGTGGGAGGAGAAGTGGATAGGTTGCGCCGAGGGAGGGGGGCGCGGGGGCGTGAGATTGCTCGGAGGTAGCGGAGGAGAGGAGGTTGGCGGGGAGAGAGTGGCATGTTTGTGAGAGTTGAGGGTGTGCCTGTTCTATCGCATCGTTGGGACCATGTGTAGGAGTGACGGATCGGTGGGTGATGAACGGGTCTTTTGGTTGTCCGAGCTGCGAGGTGCCCCCGGAAAAGAATGATGGTAGAAATAATTAGTTGCAGAATCAATCAGACAGGTAGGGACATTCAAGATAGTGGGCAATCAATTGTCAATTGTCAATTGAGGCCGAGGTCATCCTGGTCGCGATGCATCGTCTGGTTGAGTTGAGCGACGAAGATGTTTGTTATGTTTGCATATGTGGGCGATTCGTACATTTAGTGCATTTGGTACATTGATTAGTACATCGCATGGACCTCATGGTTGAATACTCCGCACAAAAATGTAGCATAGTTCTATTATATCCAGTAATCGACCACGGATTACTTACTTATACAATCAACAGATTATAATAGTTAGTATACGGGCATGTAACGATGGACTTTTTCTGCCGTTTATTATATTGGAAAAAAATGGCTGGTATCGTGCTTATTGGACGATGCGCCTGCGGAGGCCGAATGCATCAACTGCTGCCTCAACCCGGCATATTCCAAAGATTTTACCGTATTGTAAACTGTATATGAAAAGGAACCAGTGCAAACAGAAATGAAAGGATTCAATCAAGAGAATACAAATAAATACAAGAAGGAAGAAAGAAAATCTCGAGTAAATAAAAACCACCAAGTCAGCTGCCTTCCGTCGGCGGGCCCAAGTCTCCTCCGATCTCCCTCCGATCTCCCCTCCATCTCGTTATCGCTCGTCCTACTATTCTTTCTCTTCCTCTTCATTTACTTCCCCATCTTAACCCTCCAAACAACCCCGTTCCATCGTCTACTCACCACAAGAGGTCGATATGGAGAAGATCACAGATAAGATCGCGGCTTTGCCGCCGGATGAAAATTATTTTTCTCTGGAGTTCTTTCCTCCCAAAACTCAGATGGTGGGGTCCCCCCTCCCCGCACTGGTATAATATGGATGAGGTAAAAGAGACCTTGGCTGACCAAGTTATTTGATTACATCTAGGGTTTTGCAAACCTCCAAGCCCGGTTAGAACGCATGGCACAGGCCCTGCGACCGCTGTTCGTCACTGTCACATGGGGTGCCGGCGGGAGTACCGCGACCAGATCGCTGGAGTTGGCGGAGGTTTGCCAGCGCCAGCTGCAATTGACCACCTGCTTACACCTGACCTGCACGAACACGAGTCGGGAGCTCGTCGACCAGGCGTTGGAGGAGGCAAAGGTGTTGGGAATCAGGAACATCTTGGCCCTGCGGGGTGATCCGCCGCGCAGCGAGGAATACAACATGCACGGGGAGGACGATAGCAACAAGGATTTCACGTTTGCCATCGACTTGGTTCGCTACATCCGCCAGCAGTACGGAGACTATTTCTGTGTCGGTGTCGCCGCCTACCCGGAAGGTCACCCCGTCGATTCTTTCCAAGACACCCAGGACCCCGAGAGGGATCTTCCCTATCTGGTGGAGAAAACGCGAGCCGGTGCCGACTTCATCATGACCCAGTTGACCTATGATGTGGACGCCTACGTGAACTTCGAGAACCGTCTCCGGACCCACGAGTCGGGCGCCTTCAAGACCATCCCCATCATCCCCGGCTTGATGCCCATCCACAGCTATAAGATCCTAACGAGAGTGACCAAGCTGAGCCATGTACACATCCCGCCCCCGATCATCAAGAAGATGGAGGAGGTGCGGTTCGACGATGACGCGGTCAAGCGCATTGGCGTCGACGTGCTCACTGAGCTGGTGGGCGGGATCCGAAAAATCCCTCGTCCCGCGCAACGCGGGTTCCATTTCTACACCTTGAACCTGGAGAAGACGGTATCTTTCATCATCGAGCGGTGCGGCCTGATCCCCGAGTACGCCGACGATTCGGATGCATTGGTTGATGGCGGCAGTCTATCCGCCCTCGACTTGTCTGCTACGGGCCCCAATGGAGCCAGCCGCTCTGCCTCCAGGCGCCGCCGGTCGTCGCTCAACTCCCTTCCCCATAACCGAGTCATCGTGGATCGGCCACAGTTCGCTGAGTCCTCCAGGAGCTCGATGACCCACGAGGCTCCGGCCACCAGTGCCGGCATGCCCGCCATGCCGCCGGACCGCAGCACCACGCTGCAGATCTCCGAAGGGCTGGGTGCGCTCGGCCGGGAAGCCACCTGGGATGATTTCCCCAACGGTCGTTGGGGTGACGCGCGGTCGCCCGCGTTCGGAGAGATCGACGGCTACGGCCCCTCGTTGAAGGTTGCCCCCGCCGTCGCTCGTCGGGTCTGGGGCTACCCTGTCTCCCGCGACGACATCAGTGCGCTCTTCCGCCGGCACGTGTCCGACGAGCTTTACATCGTTCCGTGGTCCGAGGGCGGTGCGGAGGAGAACAGCAGTGGCTTGAGCCCTGAAACGGCCACCATCCGCCCGGAGCTCCTGCAGCTGATCGACAAGAAGGGCTGGTGGACGCTCGCCTCCCAGCCAGCCGTGAACGGCCGGCGGAGCGACGATCCCGTATTCGGCTGGGGCCCGCCCGGCGAAGGCTTCGTCTTCCAGAAACCCTTCGTGGAGTTCTTCTGCCCCAACAAGGACTACACCACGGTCGTCAAGCCCCTCCTACAGAAGCACGGGCACGAGAAACTCGCCTGGTTCGCCGTCAACAGCAAGGGCGACTTCCAGTCGTCCATGCCATCGCAGAGCTCCGAAGCGGACCCGATCGAAATCAACCCGGAAAACGTCAACGCCGTAACGTGGGGCGTCTTCCGCGGCAAGGAGATCGTCACGCCGACCATCATCGAAGAGGTCAGCTTCCGCGCCTGGGGCGACGAGGCCTTCCGCATCTGGGACGAGTGGCGACGCATCCACCCGCGCGGCTCGGCGACGGAGCGCTTCCTCAACGACACCAAGAACGACGTCTGGCTGGTGTGTGTCGTGGGGCAGGATTTCGGCGCCGGCACTAAGGTTGGGTCGAAGGAGGAGCAGGAGGAGAGGTCGTGGATGTGGAGGGAGTTGATTGAGAGTTAGATCCTTCCCCTCCTTTCTTTACTAACTCTTTCCTTACTTTCTTCTGGATGGAAATGACATGCAATATATCTAAATTGGTTTTTTCTTTCTCTTTTCTTTCTGTTTTCCAAGTACCAATTTGCCTTCCCCCTGTGTGTATGCATATCGGTGAGCAGGTTTCTATTCAGCTATGTCTTCTAGTAGTAAGGTACCTTTTAATGCTATACCATCCCCACGCACTTAAACATCTGTCCATTCAATCCCGGTACTACGTAGTACACAAGACTCCTCTCAAAAGTTCACGATAATAACATAGACAAATACCTAGGCAGTAGTATTGTGTAGAATTAAACCCCAGCTCAGCTCATCTTACTCATGGTCCAGACGGAAAGCCAAGTGTTGCATATATATACATAGACATTAGGGCTGAGATTGGTATTACAGTTAAAACATGACACCTGACAATACGGACATCAACCCACAGTTTTGGAAGAGAGAGATATATCTTGCAATTCTAGAGAGGAAATAAAATTTACTTTTTCACAACTGTTTTGAACAGAATTGATTCAAGTCAACGATACTTTGATTGACTACGTTGACCTTTGCGTACGTGGGTAAGTAGGCCTTAACTATGACTTGTACTATATAGATACATCCACATATATATATCTAGTAAAACCTATTGAAGACTCTCGAGTACCATATTTTACGTAGATTAAATATGTATATTTATCAATTCAACGCTACCAAATCTCGTATACACGTCACAATCAAACCTCCAACTCTGATCACGTCCGGGCCAAAATCCATTAGCAATATAACAAGCTAGGAAGACTCTTTCTGAGCGAAGCCATGCTCCTCGAGGCCGTCGGCGCCCGTGTCAGGCGTAGCGACGGATGACTGCGACTCGGCGAACTTTTGCAGGGCGTCGTCGAGGCGGCCGAAGGCGCGGGGGTTGGGGCGGGGTTGGTAGGGTCCTGCAGCGGGGAGTTGGTGGCCGCGGAGGCTGTTCATAGTTAGTATGATGGAATGGATAGTTGGATGGGTGGGTGGAGAAGAAAGGGAAGGAGGAGGGGAAGGTTACCGTGGTCCCTGGCCCTTCCTTTCGGGCAGTTCCGAGTCGTAAGTTCGGTGGAAGGTGTGGGCGTCAGCGTCAAAGGTGCCGCGGCTGATGCTCTCGCGGATTCCGGCGAAGAAGCAGTCGATGGTGTGGAGGTTGTGGATCTGGAGGAGGGTCCAGGCGAGCATCTCCTTGGCGGTGAGGAGGTGGTGGACGTATGCGCGGTGGTGGGATTTGCAGGCGTAGCAGGTGCAGTTGGGCGAGAGGGGCCCTGTGTCGGTGGGGTGGTTGTCGGTGGACCAGAGGTCGAAGGCGAGGGGACGGGGCGCTGTCGCTCCCGTGCTGGGCGACTCCGACGTTGGTGCCGGGAAGACGAAATCGAGGGCGATGCCGGCGTCGGAGCAGGCGCTCAAGAAGGGCACCGTGAGGAGGTCTGCGCCTAGTGAGACGTCGCGGAGAATGTCGTGCGGGGTTTCCGGGTCGCTGAGGAGTAGGCGCGGGAGGGAGGCGAGCCCATCGGGGACAAGGGATAGCGAAGCTGATTCGTATAGCGCGAGACCGGAGAGGTACGATCGCAGGTCGTGCTCCAGGTCTTCGAGGTAGATGGACTGCTCGGCGTTGTCGAGCGGGAGGACGGGGGCGAAGTAGGCCGCCGGGGAGCGGCTGCTTTCGGGGATGGCACTGCCGTAGAGCTGCTCGGTGGCGTGCATGGTGTACGCATGGGTGCGGTCGACCATCTTGCCGCGGCGTTTGGCGCCGGGCGACTGTCCCGGTCGAAGATCGGCTAGGCCGACGACGATGTCCGGGCACAGTCTCCGGACGGCGTCGACGTACTGGGTGGCCTCCAACTGGCGGAATCCGAACATGGTGGAGATGGCGATCGAGTTGGTCGTGTTGTCCGGGGGACAGGCGATGGGGGGGACTCGGCGGGGGCCCATGATGAGGGCGATATCGTCGGGGAGACAGGTGAAGTTGCGGAGAGCCGATTCATGGGGGGCCGTGGGGATTTTGTAGAGGGGAGGTTCACTCTTGATGTGTTGCCTTTCTAAGACTGACCTGGCCCGATGGGCATATTGTCAGCATTTCTCCTATAAATGGGTCCAAAAGAAGTACAATCTTCCAAGCCAAGATATAGACTGGCGACGGAGGTGTGGTCGCGCAGGACATCGTGGGCGATGTGCGGGAGAGCGCCGCGGGAGGACAAGGGAAGGACATGCGGCGTGGTGATGGATTTTCTCCCAGCGATGGCCAACGACCCCAGGCGCGGAGAGAGGGTCGAGGCGACAGGGTTGGAGAGGGTAAACTGGAGCATCTCCTCCGAGACTGGTGGAGAGATGGGCTGCATGGTGGAGGAGGAGTGGAGGTGATGGGCGAGGAAGTGTCGGGGAGAGAAAAATGAGATGCGGATGATCTGCGATAAGATCTCGACTATCTCTATCTATGGAGTATAGGGTAGATGATCAGGTCTATTTTTATTTTATTCTGACTCCTTGTATTACTCGATTGATATCTTTCTTTTGTTCTATTTGAATCATTTTGTATGCACTGTTCTTGTGTCTACTGATTAATATGTGGGAGGATTAGACAACCTGTTTCTTCAGGTGTGATTCCATTATTGCCGTACAAGACGTGTTATAACAATACATACACAGGTATATTAGAGATATAGATCTCTCATTTGAAGGTAGATCAAGAGATACACACAGATATACAGATCTAAAATAGACGTAGAGAGTATCAGTACAAAATGTACAGATGTTCCCAATGCAGAGTATTGCCTGAGGCATACATATCCCGTGACCGGACCGATGGAGATCGAGCGGTAACGGTATTACCATCCACAATACCGAACATACCAGGGCATCGCCAGAGCAGAATGGCTGGATCAACCCAAAGCCACTGGCAGACGGTGGATGGGTTGACGTGTCCACTTGTCACTTGCCTGGTATTGGTCAACCTGGGTCTACCCTGTTATTTTCCATTTGAACACGATCTATCCGCATGATTTCTTTCCTATGTATAGGATGTTATAGAGTACAGTCGATATGATACCATGTATGGTACAGTAATCACCGTTTGCGATATCTGGATTTGCCTGGATTATCAGGTATGAACTCGTATGGTAAACAATCTCATTCGACTAGACTTGATCAACAGACGAATACAAATCAAAATAATTCTAGAAAATAATCATATAAATACAACAGACCGATAAGTACATCAGATCAAGAAGAGAATCAATACCAATCTATACTGGATGCAGTGGAGGGATTGAGACCGACTGGATCGAGACCGGACTGATTGGTTCCCTTCTTCCTCCCTCCCTCTCTCTCTCTTTCTCTCTCTCTTCTCTTTCTTCCTCTCTTCTTCTTCTTCTCTTCTCCTTCTGCTTCGTCCGTTTTTCTCCACTCCCCATCCCTCTTCCCGGATTCATCTTGGCTTCTCTTCCCTGCTCTCATCATCCCATCATCCCTCCCATCCTCCTCCTCTCCTTCCCTTTCGCTCCCTATCTCTATCTCTATCCGTTTTACTCTCCCTTCCTCTCTTCGTCTCGACTCTCGATCCACTAACGCCATCGACAACCCACCTCGTCTCGCCTCGGCACTCCATGTGCGTTTCGCATCGCATGCTTTCGTCCTTCTGTCTGCGATAATCCGACGCGCACACTCCTCCCCCCACCCTTCCTCCGTGGGTTCGTTCAATCCAACGTCTCTCGCCCGTCAGAAATGGTCGCCCCGGCCGTAACGGGAGGGAACTCGACTGGTGGTCAGTCTCCCGCAAGCCACCAACCGCCTCGGTCCTCCAGTACCCATCCTTCGCATTCGCACAATGTCCCCTTGAGCGCTCGAAGATCCGCCCCCCTCGATCTCTCCACCGTTGAACGACGAGGCCAACCCAATGCCCCTCGAGAACTCGGCAAACGCATTCGTCCCCATGGTCTGCAGGAGGCCCCCACGTTTCGTCCTACCGAGGAGGAGTTCAAGGATCCCGAGCAATACATTCGCAAGATCGCCCCCGAGGGCAGGAATTTTGGCATCTGCCGGATCATCCCACCGGAAAACTGGCAGCCCCCCTTTGCCATTGACACGGAGGTATGCTTGACATGGAAAGGCTGGAGAAAGAAAAAAAATCAAAATCAAAATCAGAATCAAAAACAAAGAAAAAAAATAAAAAAAAAATAAACTCCTGGCCGACGGCCCCTTTCTCCATCATAGGTTCAAATTTCGCTAACCATTACTTTTCCGTTCCACCGCGCAGCGATTCCACTTCAAGACCCGTCGTCAAGAGCTCAACTCGGTGGAAGGAGGTATGCCCCCGTTTTCGGCGCGGTTTGCGGCCGGTGATCCTTCCCTGCCCGGTTCTGACCTGGTTCCAGGCACTCGTGCGAACCTGAACTACCTCGACCAGCTCGCCAAGTTTCACAAGCAGCATGGTACCAATCTCAACCGCTTCCCCTCCGTCGACAAGCGCCCCTTGGATCTCTACAAATTGAAAAAGGCCGTCGAGGTGCGCGGCGGCTTCGATGCCGTCTGCAAGACCAAGAAGTGGGCGGAGATTGGTCGGGACTTGGGCTACAGTGGCAAGATCATGTCGTCCCTGTCCACCTCCCTCAAGAACTCCTACCAACGGTGGCTTCAGCCCTACGAGGAGTACTTGCGCGTGGCGAAGCCCGGCGTCCAACAGCAGCTGGAGCTGGAGCATGGTGGCCCCTATACCCCGTCCCCCAATCCCTCCCCCGTGGCCAAGAAGCCGCTCCTCCTCGACCACACCGCCCAGCCTCCCTTGCCCCAACCCGCGTTGAGCCTCCCGAAGCCCGAGGTCGAGGCCACCCCGGATCGCCCGGCGCTCCCCCCGGTCGAGCCCACGCCCCCGCCGCGTCCCGTCGCCTCGGGGTTCACCCCGGTCAATGCCAGTTCGGGCTTCACGGCCGTCAACCGCTCGCCCTCCTTCATGGCCGTCAACAACGGACCCCCGGTGAAGCGCGAGGCCGAGAATGGCTCCCTGACCCCCAAAAGTCTCGCTGACCATCCTCCGAGCGCCACTCCCGTCTCCAATGGCCATGGGCCGCTGCCGGTGAAGCGTGCCATCAGCCACGACAGCAGTTCCCAGCCCGAGAATGGAGATGATCCAAATGGGCGGCGGAGCAAACGGTTACGTAAGGGTACTGATCTATTCCGCGTGGGTCACACGTGAAGACCGTCGCTGACCGTGTTTTGTGGTTGTGTTTTTTTGTGTTGTAGATGTACCCCCTACCGTCGCCGGTTCGCATATGAGTTTACTCCGCCCCGCCCCACCCCGGGCGCGCAAATGTGATAGCCAACCCCCCGGTGAGGTGAGTTACCTTCTCCCCCCCCTTTGATCCGTCCAATTTCATCGCGTTAACATCATGGAGAAATGTGAGGTGTGCGGCAAGGCCGAAGATCGGGCCTCGATTCTCGTCTGCGACAGCTGCGATAACGGTTTCCATAAGTACTGCCTCGATCCCCCCCTGACCGCCGTTCCCGAGTATGACTGGCATTGTCCCAAGTGCCTCGTCGGTACCGGCGAGTTTGGCTTTGAGGAAGGAGGCGTCTACTCGCTCAAGCAGTTCCAGGAGAAGGCTAGCCACTTCAAGAAGAACTACTTCGCGTCCAAGATGCCCTTCGACCCCGTCCTCAACACGCACCGCCGCGAGTCCGAGGATGACGTTGAGCGCGAGTTTTGGCGACTGGTCGAGAGCCTGACCGAGACCGTCGAGGTCGAGTACGGCGCTGACATCCACTCCACCACCCACGGCAGTGGCTTCCCCACCCTGGAGCGCAACCCGTTGGACCCGTATTCGCACGACGGCTGGAATCTGAATGTCCTCCCCTTCTACGGGGATTCGTTGTTCCGCTACATCAAGACCGATATCTCGGGCATGACCGTCCCCTGGGTCTACGTGGGCATGTGCTTCTCGACCTTCTGCTGGCACAACGAAGACCATTACGCCTACTCGGCCAACTACCAACATTTCGGCGCCACCAAGACCTGGTACGGCATCCCGGGGGAGGACGCGGAAGCCTTTGAGGAGGCCATGCGCCAGGCTGTCCCGGAACTTTTCGAGGGCCAGCCCGACCTGCTCTTCCAGCTCGTCACCCTGATGCCGCCGGATCAGCTGCGGAAGGCCGGCGTCAGGGTCTACGCCTTGGACCAGCGGGCCGGCGAGTTCGTCGTCACCTTCCCGCAGGCGTACCACGCCGGGTTCAACCACGGGTTCAACTTCAACGAAGCGGTCAACTTCGCCCCCCCTGACTGGGAGCCGTGGGGCGCGATGGGCGTTGAACGCCTCCAGGCGTTCCGGCGGCACCCGTGCTTCTCGCACGACGAGTTGCTCATGACTGCCGCCACCAAGAGCGAGCTCGACATCAAGACCGCTAAGTGGCTCGCGCCCGCCCTCCAGAGGACCTGTGCCCGCGAGCTGGCGGAGCGGACGTCCCTGATTGCGCGCCACCGCGAGATCGCCCCGCACGCCTGCGTCCTGGGGTCGGACGATCCGACAGCCCGGGGTGACTGCCAGCTGCGGTGCCTCGTCGAGGAGGAGGATCTCCCCGAGGAGGATTATCAGTGCGCGTTTTGCAAGGCTTACACTTACCTCACACAGTTTCGCTGCCACCGGACCGGGAAGACTGTGTGCATGATCCACGTGGATACGTATGATTGCTGCGGAGAGCCCCTTGCCCAGCGACTACTCGGCCCGGATCACACGCTTCGGTACCGGATTGGGGACCACGCCTTCCAGGCCCTGGTGCAGAAAGTCGTGGAGCGCGCCCGCGTGCCAGAGGCATGGGGCGAGAAGCTCGACAAGACTCTGGAGAATGAGCCCAAGCCCCAGTTGAAGGTCCTTCATAGCCTGCTAAATGAAGGTGAGAAAATCCCATACCACCTGCCCGGTCTCCAAGATCTTGCGGCATTCGTCCAGCGCTGCGATAAATGGGTTGAAGAAGCAACCAACTACATCACCCGGAAACAGCAGAACCGGAGGAAGAACGAGAAGGCTTGGCGCCGAAGTACTTCTAAGGCCGCGCAGCTGGAAGAACGAGATCGGGAAATCCGCAGAGTAGAGAACATCTACGCCCTTCTTACAGAGGCTGATAAACTGTCGTTCGACTGTCCACAGATGGCGGCTCTGGAAGAGAAGACCCGCGAGATCGAGAAATTCCGCCAGGACGTTAACGCTGCCCTCATGAACCCCCACGTCCGATCGATCCCGGAAGTGGAGGAGCTGGTGGAGTCCGCCCGCAATTTCAACGTGGACGTCCCCGAGGTCGAGGGCCTCGAGCACCTACTCCGGCAGATGCGGTGGAACGACGGGGCGCGCCTCCGGCGGGACCGCCCTTTAACCCTCCAGGAATGCCAGGAGCTCATCCGGACCGGGGATCAACTCGGACTGTCGCCCACCAACGAGCACCTGCTGCACTTCAAAGACCTGCACCGCCACGGCGAGGCCTGGGAGGCCAAGGCCAAGGAGCTCATGTCCGTCGAGGCCGTGCACTACCAGCAGCTCGAGGCTCTGTCGGCGCAGTCCGCCCGGTTTCCCGTGTCGCCCGACACGCTCGCCGCGGTGGACGCCATCTTGATCAAGCAGCGGGAGGCCCAGAAGCAGATCCAGACCCTATATGACAAGAGCCGGGATCCGGATCTCCGCAAGCGGCCCCTCTATAAGGATGTCCGGGAGCTCATGGAATCGTTGGAGGGGTTGAATAGCCGGCCCACGGGGGCCATCGACCTCGAGAGGGAACAGAAACGTCACGAAGACTGGATGCGGAAGGGGAAGAAGCTGTTCGGAAAGGCCAACGCCCCGCTGCACATCTTAAAGTCCCACATGGAGTATGTGGAGAAGAGGAACTCGTACTGTTTTGACCTGGAGGATCGGTACCGACCGCCCGTGGAGCCCGCCTCCCGCGACAATACCCCGGAGGGTCTGTTGGATAACCCCACGACTGCCAGCATGTGGGGCGGGGGGAAGTCCCGAAAACGCGATGTTTTTTGCATTTGCCGACATTCCGAGGCAGGCATGATGATCGAGTGTGAAGTCTGTCACGAATGGTTAGTCCTCTCTTCCTTTTATACACATCTCTTGCTTTCTCGGAAGCAAGGCTGACTGGAGTAGGTACCACGGCAAGTGTCTGAAAATCGCCCGCGGCAAAGTCAAAGAATTCGACAAATATACCTGTCCCATCTGCGATTGGCGGCAAAAGATCCCTCGCGATGCAGCGCGTCCCAAGATTGAGGACCTGCAGGAGTGGCAGGCCGAAGTGCCCGGCCTGCCGTTTCAGCCCGATGAGGAAGAGATCCTGGAGAACATTGTCAGCAAGGCTCTGGCATTCCGAGATTTTCTCCAGGGCTTCACAAATGCGGCTTGCACCACGACGGAGGAAGTGCCGACGCTGATCTTCTATCTGCGCAAGATCGAAGGCGCCGAGGTTCTGCTTGCCTACGAGACGAACTTTTTCCGACAGGAGATCCACAAGTGGGCGCCCGTGGCGCCAAATGCGCCGCCGATCTTGAAGGAATCTCTGTCCACGCGGAAGCCGCGTCCCACCAAGCAGCAGAAGATCATGGCGCAGCTGGGCGTCGAGCGGCCGGAGGATCTTCCGCCCCATCTGCGCACCAAGCCGAGTCACGTCCGTAACAAGTCCATGGATTCTCAGAGCGGTCGGTCTTCCCATGTTCAACCAAACACGCCGACTCCCGGGGATGGCAACAATTCCGACTCGAACCGCGGTGGTCCGACGCTGACGCCGATGAGTGACGCTCCCCAGTCGACATATCCGTTCTCTGCCAACTATTCCCTCCCCGAGAACGAGTCCACGCCCGCCTTCGCCCCAGGCTCCTCGGCCTTCTTACCCCAGCCCCATTCGCCCTCCTTTCCAGCCCGTTCCCCGTCTCCCCACCAGGGATTGAACCCGTCCCTCTTCAGTCCGCGTCCATTCAGCCGGGATGCAGCCGATCGGCCGGCCGGAGTGGACGTAGGCAACTCCAACCCTTTCGGGAGCAGCCCACGGCAGGACCTGGATGATGTCTTCGCCGATCTGACGAATCAGGACATTGAACCCGATCCTGAACCAGAGCCTGAGCCCATGGAAAATACACACGCCAACGAAGCTTTGGAGGTGCTCGATGCGGGCAATGGCGGAGATTATTCCGATTCTATCGACGAATCGCCGGACGAGAAAGCCAACGGCGAGACCAACGGCGAGACCAACGGCGAGACCAACGGAGAGATCAACGGAGAAACCAACGGAGAAACCAACGACCAGGCCGAGACGGCCGAGACGGGCGAAGTGAATCCCCCTCCAACGCAGCGGTGACCGGACCGATCCTCAATCCTCAATCCAACCTTCTTCCTTGATGTACCCAACGACGTGGTGGTTCATGTAGCATGCGCTTAACACTTTGATTATATTTCTCTTTCCCCTTTTCTTTACCCTTTTTCTATCCCTTTCCTTTTGCTCTGTTCTCCTATTTATATCTCGCAAGTCGTCGGGAATTTCTCCCGGCCGGACGTATTAATCTTAATATGTCCACAGGCATGTGGCGGGCGGCGTTCAAATCCCAGGTGGCTTTCTGCAATGTATTATTCCGGTGTTGACGAGGGTTTCCTCCTTGTTTCGGCTTTTCTTTCCCTTTCCTTTTCTGCGTTTGATTTGACCTTATTTTCGGTCCCCGGCGCTGTGTGGTTTTGCGACCTCGATGCGTTCAAAAGAGAGGTTGTAGGGGGAGTTTGGCTGGCTGTTTCATCAGTATCTGTTTTAGTTTCGTCTTGTTTTGTGAGTGAGGTACTGTGGTTTTACAGGCTCAGGCTGAGTGAGTCCTATCAATGTAATTCTAGAAAAGAAAAGACAGAAAGAAGGAAAGAATTAGTGATTGTACCTTCAATAGATCAATGTTCTTCTACCTGATATTCTATCTAAGATTCAGAACCATCGTAGATGCAAGTTTACTCAAGATCCGCATACGCAGCCAACGCAGCTTGCCCCCCAGTATGAATAAACAGCGCATTCAGCGGACCCTCACCATCACCAGCAACACCCCCTCCCCTCCCCTCCCAATCCCCCACCAAACCACCCCCCTCAACCCACCCCATAACGCCACTCAAAACCTTCCCCGTATAAACCGGATCCAAAATCAGCGCCTCCTTCCGCGCAGCAATCTCCATCGTGCGCTTCGTATCCTCGTCCAGAACCCCATACGCAGCGCCCGCGAACCGCCCGTCAAGATGCACGTCTGCCTCCAGCGTGATGGCTTGCGACGCGTCTTCTAACCCGATGAGAGACCCTGCCTGCCGCGCGAAGCGCAGCACACGCTCTTCGTGCCAGGTTTGCGGCTTGGTGGGCGAGTTGATTATGCCGATTATTTTGCGGGGAGGTTTGGTTTTCCCTCCGGTGTTTTGAGAGGGGGGAGAGGAGGATGATTCCATCCGCTCGAGCATTTTGAAGCCTGCGATGAGGCCTCCGACTGTGCTTCCGCTGCCGCAGGCGACGAAGATATAGTCGAATCGAGCTCCGAGCTGCTTTTCCTGCGCGGCGATCTCGAATGCGCAGCGCGCGTAGCCTACCCCGCCTAGGGGGTGCAGGCTTGCACCGGAGGGAATCCAGTAGGGTGTTTTGCCGGCTGCGCGGAGTTCGGCGAGGACGGGTTCGACGGTGTCGGTGCGGCCGCCGTTTGTGGAGCCTGGTTCGAGGACGCGGATGTCTGCGCCGAGGAGGTGTGCGATTTGGGGGTTTCCGGTGCGGAGGAAGGAGGTTTTGTCGGTGGATGCGGAGAGGCCGCCTCCTGTGCCTTTGTGGAGGAGGGCCACCGAGGATAGGTTTAGGTGGTTTGCTAGGGAGGAGACTTGGATTGTGTGGTTGCTTTGGATGGCGCCTTCTGTGATGAGGGTTGTTGTTTTTTGATTTGAGGTGGGGGGGTGGTTGGGATTGGGGGTGTTGTTGGGATAGCTGTTGTAGAGGGGCTGTGGGGAGAGGATGTCCGGGACGATGTATTCGAGTTTGCGGTATTTGTTGCCGGAGCAGGCGAGCGGGGAGGATTGGTCTTCGCGTTTGGCGAAGAGGCGGATTTGGGGGGTTGATTTGGGGGATTTGGGTGGGTTGGTGTTGAGGTAGGAGGTGAGGGCTGGGAGGGGGTGAATTGGAGATGGGTGGGAGTAGAGAAGGGGATGTCGCGGGAGTTTGGCGAGAGCTTCGGGGAGGGAGAGAGCCATTGTAAATGATATAGTGGTTGTTTACTCGTTTGGTGAGATGAGTATGAAGTCTATGATCGTGTCAGAGTGGTGTATATACAGCGTTCTTAGAGGCTCAGTTGGAGATGATATATCTGTTGATTGTCAGTAAAATGAACGTGTTATATACAGCAGTGGGCAACTTACATGCCAAGATTCAGAACGGACCCCCAACTGTCAGATGAAGAGAGAGTGAATGGAAGAAGATGAAGTTGAAGTGAAGTGGATGAAGATAGAAGACGATAACAAGGCGGTCGACTATTCTGCCCGACATCCACAACCGCCTTTCTTATCTGATCGATAACGTTTTCTCCTCATGATTCGAAGCTTCATCTTCAGAAACCCATCAAGTATATGAAGTATAACACCATGCCTCCCTCCCTCCTCAAAACCCTCCGGACCGCTCTCCAAACCCATCACCGCTTCCTCGCCGGCGCGCTCTCCCACTCCGAACCCCCCATCTACGTCATCGGCAACCCCTCCGCAGATCTCGACTCCATTATCTCCGCCGTCGTCTACGCATATTTCGGCAACCTCACCGCAAGACACCACATTCCGCTGATCAACCTGCCAAATGTGTCCTCCGGCCCGGAACTGTACAGGCTCCGCCCGGAATTCGTCAAGGCTCTTCACTTATCGACACACCCAGCCCTAGAAGGCGAGCAATCATGGGACGAGACGCCCGAGTCGGCTGGCGCGCTCCTCCGTGACCATTTTCTGACTGTGGCTGATTTCGCGGCGCAGTTGAAGAGTAGTCCAGGAAACACCAGTGGACGTCTCCAAGCGGATGCAGTCCTTGTGGACTGGAATGCACTGCCCATCGCATCACCGTCTGCCACGCAGCAGCAAAATCAACAGCCCAAAGGCTGCATACCCGGTCTGGAAAAAGCCGTCGACTTCACTGTCCTAGGTTGCGTAGACCACCACGTCGACGAGGGGTTTCTGCCCCGTGGTCCTCAGACCAAACCGCTAGAAATCCACACGGCAGGATCATGCGCATCGCTAGTGACGCACACCCTCCAATCCCTCAACCTCTGGCATGCCAACCCACCATCAACCGATCCCCAAACCCAGCAGCAACAACAGCAAGAACAACTCGCCCAACTCGCCCTCTCAGCTATCCTAATAGATACCACAAATCTAACCTCCAAAGACAAAGTCACCTCATGGGATACGCAGGCAGCCGAATGCCTCACCCGCCAACTTTCCGCCAACAACAACAACACCACCACCAATCTATACAACCAAGTCCACCAAACAAAACAAAACAGCCTCGATCTCCTAACTGTCAACGAGATCCTCGACCGCGACTACAAGCAATGGACTGAGACGCCCTCCTCCAACCCCAACCCCCACTCCAAGCCGGTCGAAATCGGCTTCTGCTCAATGGTCAAGTCCCTCCCGTGGATTGTCCGCAAGGCAGGGAATGCGAAGGTCTTCATAGATGCAGTGGAGGCTTTCGCGCGGGCTCGTAATCTGGGTATTTTGATTATTATGACTGCTTTTAGCTCGCCCGTGAAGGGGGGAGAGTTTACGAGGGAGTTATTTGTTGTCGCGTTGGATGGGGATCGTCATGATAACAATGATAATGATGATAGTGATGATGTGGCAACCACAGCACTAAAGCACTTCGTTGACCAAGCGGAGGAGAAACTGAGTCTACAGCAATGGACAGCACTCGACGTGGTCGATCGCGCGGACCAAGAAGAGGAGATTGCGCGGTCGTTGGTGGGCGATGACAGTGGGCAGTATCGACGGGTGTGGGTGCAGGCGGATTTGAGCAAGAGTCGGAAGCAGGTTGCGCCGTTGGTGCGGGAGGCTGTTACTTCTTTGTGAGCTCTCTCACTTTATGTATAGAGATTTATATAAATATACGAGGGGGAGTAAAACGAGGTATCAAGGACCAGCCACTATAAATCATGATAGACATACAGACAGCTAGATAAGTAGATAGTACTCTACATTCTACCTCACAAGCAATGACAGTCAACTGCCTAGACATGTCTATGTACCTCTATCTATATGCCTATTCCAGCCATTTTACTCCCCCGGAAGCCAGGTACAGTTGTAAGCCAAATTGTACATACATGCTCATCATGCATAGTGTCAGAAATGAAAGGTAGAAAACAGTAGTAAAGATAAGAGATAAAAGATAACGCCATATAAAATGAGTATGAGCATTGAGACATTCACACGCTCCTTACACATATCGAAGCATCCGTAACTCCTCACAAATGGTCTGAACAGAATGAGAAATTCGCTAATGCGCGCCGCGATGGGAATTCATAATAGACCTCAAGAAAAAAAAAAGAATAAAAGTAATGCAATGCATCAACCGGGCTCCGATCATGCGTGTCGTGCGTGCAGTCAATTAGTCACTAAGAAGGGATTGGGCAAGTCCTATGTCGAATCGGAAAGGTATCGTAGAAGCTAAAAGCACTCCCACTCGCAAAAAACACACCAGCGAGCTACACGATCTGCCAAGACGAGACCTCGCCAGACGCCGCGCTCGCCGATCTTGATCACGGTTTCCCAGACGCTGCCGTCTGCGTCGTTGCCCACATCCGACCCCAGCATGTGGTCTGCCTTCCGGGTCAGGCGAAGGATCTTGCCTGATGGTGATTGGATGGCCAGCTTGGCTGGTTTTTCCCGGCCCGAGGCGGATCGGTTGGATGAGATGGCTGATGTGGAGGCTGAGAACTCGTGCGAGACGGCGGACACGGACGATCCTGCGGCGGAGCTGGATACCATGCTGAGGGCGCTGGCCGGTCGAGCAAACATGGAAGGCGAGACGCGCCCGGCGATGCCGGACTCGTTGCTGATTGACGAGAATGAAAGTGTGGATGGGTGCTGGCGGACGGCGAAGACGAACGTGTTGTTGACGGCGAGCTTGGCACACTGGGGCTGCATTATATACAGGTCGTGGCGCTGGGCGTGAGGGGTGGGATGGCGCAGCACGAAGTCGTAGGCTGGGTTCTCTCCGGAGTGGACAATGGGGAGAGCGAGCGCCAGAGGATGAGGAATGTCTCGATTGGAATGCATGAGGCCCTTCTTCCCCGCGTAGATTTTGACCGTGCCTTGTCCCTCGTCACCGGGAAGAACAGCCTTGACAGTGATGCGCTTCTGGCCGTTGACCCAGTCAGGCTGCACCAGTGCTCGTTTGCGCACGACATCTCCGCTTTCGAAGTAATCTCCGTCAGCATCACGGGCAAAGGCGGGTGATTCAACTTCGGCGGCGCACTCTACATCGGGCGGGACAAACAAGCGGAACTGCGCAAGCTCGAGGTTGTCGATGTGAACAATACTGGTATCGTAGTCGGGGAATTGCACATTCATCTTGAAGTAAGGCGGACAGGCGGTAGGGAGAGCAAGTAGAACGTCGGGAGAGATAGGTGGGAAGATGTGTTGATCTTCAGGCGACAGCGGAACGTGCGTATAGCAGAGCTCGAGCGGGCGCGTGAGGAAGTACCAGGTCTCGGCCGTGGCAAGAGGGTTGGTCACATATTGGTCCCGTCGAGGGTTCGTTGGGCTCGCCAAGGAGCAATCCATGAAACGCCATTCACCGTCCACCAGGATCGAATTCCACCAGTGGTTCGCCCGCGAGAGGCTGTCGAGATCCAACAAATCACCGGGCGGCTTGAGATACCCTTTGACCACATCGGCATGCAAACCAACGGAGGTGCACATCTCTTGCACCAGGAATGCAACCTCTTGCGGGCTTCCTCGTCTCGTCTGCACAACACGTTTCAAATCGACTCCAATCTCTTCGACAGGCTCGTCCCAGGCAATCTTTTCACTAACCCACGTGAAGATGGCACGAAGCCGTTGAACGTCACTTTTATAAGGCCGGCAGATATAACCCTGAGCTAGACTCATAGGATTCGTCATCGGAGGGAGACTGTTGACAAATCGGGCACTCTTGTCGACAAGAGTCAGATTGACGGCTCCAAAGTCTGTTGGCTCACTGATCGGGAGCCCATCAATGCTTTCGTCGCCTTCCGCAGTCTCGTACAGCTCCTCCACCGCGTAAATTACGGGGTAATCCATCATCTGGCACCGTTCAGCCCGCTCGACCCGTTCATTGCGGCTCGGGGAGCTAGCCCGGTGCACATCCCGTCGTACCTGCACCCAGTCGACGGAAGTGCCCCCGAGACCCATTTCTCGTGCTGCGTCTCCTCGGTTCGAGTGTGAGGAGAGGATGGGAGTGACCGGTCGGCCCTTTGTAGGCGAGTAAGAGCTACCTGTGTGCCCGACTGTGATGCTGCTGCGGGCATTGGCGGCACCTGTCTTGGCGGTCTCGAAGATCTTTTTGAAGAACCCATGCTTCTTAGCTTTGGGGGTGGATAGACCACCAAACACGCCCGCGGACTCTTCGGGGTCCGCCTCCGTCGACGACCACGGGATGGCCGACGACGCGCCTTGGCGAGAGGAGTTGTGGCTGGAATGATAGGAGACGCCCGTGAGTGGAGTTTCCGGTCGTTGCATCCGGGAGACATCGCTGAAGCCCCGAGAGCGAACTGTGTCGACAGCTGTATTCGGTCGCCCGTCCAGTCCTCCGCCGCGTCTGGCAAGACTGCCGGCACTGGTAGCACTGAACCCACCAGCGGATGGGCCGCTCATCATGCTCTGGCTAGTCTTATCCGTGCTGGTGGTCAGGTTGGTATTGACGCTCTGCACACCACTCGAGGAATTCGTCGTGCTCGACTTGGTGGTGTAGCTCCGATCCAGCATGTCCTCGCGCAGATCGTTGCCGGACCTTCTTCCTCTCAGATGCGGGAACTGAGCTGGAATGGAGTTATGCCGTCCGTGGTAAGGAACGTTCCTCATTGGAGGTGGAGGAGGTTCCTCATCAACCTCGGAGGCTTGTACATCCTCCGAACCCCGCCGATTCTGTTCCTGCATCTGACGCAGGCGGCTCTCCATCCTTTGAACATAGTTGCTCAGCTGGGGAGGACCATCTACGAGCTGGTCGTGGGCATAGACACTGTTCCTATGTGGTTGGGCACCGTCGTACTGATGGCCCTTATCACTGTCAAATCCCGTGGCGGTCAACGGTCGAGCGGGAGCTTGCGCCGGACGGGTGCTCCGGAAGTTGTCGTAGGCTGCCGGTGACCAAGGGTTATTGAACACTGGTTGCGCTGATGGCGAGTGCGACTCGTCCCGGGGCATGCCCATATCCTCAAGGGAGGACATCACGTCTTCCATCGCATCTCTCAGGGGCGAGGGTGTATTACCATGGGCATCAGAATGCGCAGCGGGGGATGGGGTCCTCGACTGATTCCCATAACGGTCATGGGCGGTGGGAGTCGGCGGGACACCCATATCCATCGACGGCTGGCGGTTGACTGCAACCCGGTGCGGCGGTGGAGGCGGCGGCGGCGGAGACTCTTCGCGTTCCTGGAGCTGTAGGGGCGAGATCTCGCGGGATGAAGGCCGGTTGAAAGACGATTGATGCTTCGGAACAGACGGTGGCAGAGGTTCTGGCTCATCGGGCGGGCAGGGTGACGCCGCGTGGGATGGAGGCCCGCCGTAAGCGACGGCCTGAGGTGTTGAAATCATGGGTAGTCCTAGTTCGCCTTCCTGCGGTAGGAGGGGGGATCTTGCGCGAGATGTCGGTCTAGGGTAGTCCGTATAGGAAGACGGCATCGTCGGTTCGTATTCGAGATAAGGCCGGGGGGATCTCGCACGCGAGGGAGGTCTCTGGTAGGGATTATGGGAGGCCGGGACCATGGCCATTGACATGTCGTAGTGTGACTGAGGCCGAGGGGACCTCGCACGAGAGGGGGGTCTGGCATAGGGATCACCAGAAGCCGGCAACATGGGCACCGACATTCCATATTGAGAGGGGGGTTGAGGGGATCTCGCACGGGAGGGAGGTCTGGCATAAGGATCACCGGAAGCCGGCAACATGGGCACCGACATGGTATACTGCGACTGGGGTCGAGGAGATCTCGCACGAGAGGGAGGTCTAGCGTATGGGTCATTGGAAACCGGGACTGTAGGCGATGGCATTCCATATTGCGACGGAGGCCGAGGAGACCTCGCACGGGAGGGAGGCCTGGCGTAGAGATCATCTAAAGTCGGCAACATAGGCGCTGACGCCCCATATTGTGACTGCGGTCGAGGAGATCTAGCGCGGGAAGGAGGTCTGGCATAGGGATCATTGACAGGTGTGAACATAGGGTGTGACAAATCGAGTTCCTGCGAGGGCTTCGGGGAGATCGCCCTCGAGACCGGTCTAGACCGCGTCGAATTCCGCCCCGTGGGCGTGGACGTTGAGGGCCCTGATTCGGGCGGAGGGCGGGGTGAAATGGCGCGAGACGATGGCCGGGAGGAAGTCCGAGAGGATTTTGAAGACGGCCGGGATAGGTTGTGTTGATTTTTCACAGCGCTGGTAGGCGTGCGCAGTGGTTTCGCCCGCTTTGACAAGCTGCCATCACGCGGGGGCGTCTCCGGGATCCCGCTCTTGATGGACGAGGGGGAGGTCCCATTGCGATTCAATTGGCCCGAGGGTGCCATCGCTTCCTTGTGGGCCTGGAATGGCTTGCGAAAGACGGTCTTTTGTTTCTTGGGGGCGGAGGTCGGGTTCGTGATCGGGGATGCGGTCGCCTGGATCATGGGATCTTCGGTCCGGGTAACGGGCACAAAGTCCTCTCCAAGCACTTCGACGAAGTTGGACGGGAACAGACCCATCATACGCCTATCGCGCCGTAACCGGCCCATCCACCACTGACCATCACCCGCGTTTATACACTCGATCAGATCGCCCTCCACAAACCCCAGATCCCGTCTCGTTTCTCCTCCCCACGAATACACGGCTCGACACCAGCATGGAAACCGGGGAGGCAGCTGCGGAGCGCCGGCCATGATGAACAGAGACGCAACACAGCTTGCAGCAGGGCGGATCGTCGCAGGGATTGACCGGTCAGATTTCGGAAGATATTCCTCGTGCAGGGCGTCAAATCAAGCGATCGGAGGATTCCAGGCCGGGCGGTCGAGAGCGGATTCGAACTATACCGTCTTTCGACCAGTCCCATCGAAGACGATTCAATAATCCGTCGGTAGGGTAGCAATTGGAGAGTATCACGAGCCGTGGAATGAAGGAAGCAACGAGAGCATAGCAAAATTAAGCGATTGACCAGGAGAATGCGGACGAAATGTAAGGGAAATGGAGAACAGGAAGTAAGATAAAAACAAAGAAAAAGAAAGGAAAAGTAGAGGAGAGGAGGGAAAGAAGGAGAACCACAACCTCATGCAGCAACACCAACGTGGGGAGGAAGAAGAAAGGGAGCAAGAAGAGAAAGTGGAAGAAGAAGAAAGAGAGAGAGAGAGAGAGAGAGATGAACAGTTCAGCTGAGAAAGCGGAGTGAGTTGGAGGTGAGGCCTGATTGTTTAGGTTGTTTACGTGGGTGCCTGTTTTGGCCTAGCGCCGCCTTATCGATAAGCTTAATGCGCATCAGATCGATCTCTCTCTTCCATCTGACTGTCTTCTCTCTTCTCTCTTCTTCTGATCTCGAGTCTCAATAATTGATTTTGCTCCAGATTATCGAGATTGTTTTTAATGACTGTGGTGGGAATTGAATGGTGAGAAACTTGTACACTAAGATGCACTGATCGACACACCAGCCACCGATGCCCGATCTATCTCCCCAAAGCTCGGATCCATGGTTGTCTCCGCTACCCGCTTCTCCCACCCATGGACTGCCTCGCCCTAGTTCCATTGTACACAAACACGCATGTCCATACCGTCAATGACAACTGACATTGTACATGGAATTTCTAATATACTCCTCTCCAATACCCTGGTTGGAATTGAATAAAACCTCCTGTCATAGGATCGACATCTTGCCATAGCAACATTTCATCCCTCCACCCCTACGATGCCCGTGCGCTCATCCCTTGCTCGGCGACCAGCCGCACCGTCGAGTCGCTTACCCCGGGGACCAACCAACCAAATCCGGGGGACAGCGTCAAGTGGGAGATTGAAGGTAGTGAGTGATACATTCCTTTGATCTGACTCGAGTGGCGGTAGCTTGCAACTTGCAGTGGTCACTTGTCGTGTATCATCATGCGGGGTAACATGCCACAAACTCTGGCCAAAACCTTGGACCAAAAATAAAATAAAAAATAAAAAATAAAAACGAAAGGGCAAGGAAATAGAGAGACCAGAGATTTACGTCTAACAAATGCCATTTATTGTGCATACCCTGTGTGTGTAAGAAGGGATGGCCTGAGTTCCAGCGACCGAAGCCGACTAGACGACAGATGCTCCAAGAGACCCGAGAGACAAATAAGGTCGGTTTCCCTGGTCGGCTTGCATGCGACCCCGGAGATGTAGAACGCCCAGATAATGCAAGGTCATAACAAAATAAACAAGCAAGGTGCGCTATAGCCAATGTAGAAATTGAGTTTAAGGAATGCAGAAACAAATACAGTTAGTCCCCAACTCAATGCCGATGTGCAACCACAGGACTCATGGCCCAACGATCATCAGAAAACCAACACGAACGTGAGACAAGTCTAATTCCACCCAAACAAAGTTCAAGGGAGGGACATCTCCGAGCTGAAACGGAGTCCACTACCCCGGCCGCCAATCCCAGGACTAGTCGGTCGGCTATTGGCGGTGATTTTCGGGCTCCGCGGCTGAGTGCTAGTGGACCGGGTTGAGGGTCGATTCTTGCGGATCTCCCGGAGTTCGTCTTCCTTTCGCCGCAGAAGGTCTTCGCGGAACCGGAGCATGGCTTCCACCTCGTGGACCCGAGCGAGATGCCGAGCCTCGTCATTCTGCAGGTTCAACTCTCGCAACTGGACGGCATTGCCGTCTACTTTACGCTTCAGTGCCTCGTTCTCTTGGCGGAGTTGACGGATCTCGTTGACGGACTGGGCGGCCGTCGTGGAGGCATTCTGGTACTGCTCGCGAGTGTACTCGCCCTGTTTGGCCTCGTACTCGGCCTTGCGTTCCAGGTTGGCATTCTCTTTGCCTAGCCGGCGGATCTCTTCGCGCGCCGCTTCGAGCTCGGCTATGCTGCCCCCGCCCGATTTCAGCTCTTCTCGCGTCTTTTCGAGCTCGTGTCGCAGCTGCGTGCGTTCGTCTTTCAGTTTCATGAGTTCCTCTTTCTGACGCTCGACCCGTTGCTCTGACGAGCTTTTGGTTTCGGTCAATCGATCGCGTTCCTGACGCGTTCGGTGAAACTCTTCGGTGCGGCTTTCGTAGCGATGTTGGAGGGTTTCAAGGGCCTTTTCTTTTGCTTGTAGACCGGACTGCGCTTGTGTCAAGGCCTTCCGTAGGGACTCGACTTCCGTCGCGTGGGAGCTCCTCAGGTGCACAAGGTGCCGCTCCAACAGATGTAGGTCGTTATCGAGAGTTTGGCTGGGGAACTTTGTGGACTCGGTTTGCTGGCTGGCTTCTTGTGACGTTTCTGTCCGAGGTCGTTTAGAGCTCTGCCCGGGAGATTCCTCCTCCGTCTGAGATACTTAGCTTAGATCCACAATCGGCACAGAAACTCGGATGGGACAACTTACATGTAAACGTTTCTGAATCTGGGGGGCGGGAAAAGGCGTGCTGTTGCCACTTTGCTCTGGATGTTGGGATTGGGTAAGATCCAATTCGTTCGCGTCCACAATGTGCAGCGGCTCCACTAGAGGCAAAGACCAATGCGCATTGAAATTGTCCGATACAAGATACGTTATGATTTCCTCGGCGTCTTCCTGCACTCCCAGTGCATCGTCCTGGAGGTCTCCGACCACGTCGCGAAGCCGCATGGTATATTGGACTAGTAAGTAGAGGCGTCTAATTTCAGGGAAATTCGGGAAGCAAAGCTCGACATGCTCGCTGGAATTTGATACAACCAGTCGGATTGCAGGGAGGAGGTTTCCATCGCGGGCAAAGGTGGTCCGCATGTGTTCAACCATTGGGTTCTTCGGGCTGAATGAGGAGTCCATCGCGATGATCGCGGACGGCGTCCTGTATGTACCGATGACGCCATCGTTCTGCGTGGACTGAATGCCAAAGCTCAACGATCCTTTCATCATGGAAACTTCCAAATTGGTGCCAGTTCCCATTTCGCCTCGGGGTCTGGTGTATACGAGCCCTTTCCCTGCGAGGTATCGCTCGACAACCTTCTGAGTTTTCTCTCCGTGTACCATAATAACGAGGTGCATGTCTTTGGAAGTCGCGTTCTCGGCAAGGTAGCCCAGAAATAGGAACTTTGCACTGGAATATTCGGCCCAAGCCGCCTCCTGCTTCAAGTCGGACGACGAATCCTTGATGTGCTCTGTGATGTTTAGATCGGGGTGAGTCGTGACATTGCTAAGCTGTCGAAGAAGATTGTACATGGCTGATACAAGGCGTCCACGCTATCCCAGTCAGATTAAAGGCATTCGGAAAGTTCAGGTCTCCAACTCACATCGCGTTCAGGGATGTTTTCCTGCGGGTAGGAACCCTTAAGAAAATCTTGAACGTTTTGGGAATGGGCTTCCAAGATCCGCTCATAATCATCCTTGACTCTAGAGTCCATGGGGAGTGGTACAGCGAACTCCGACGGCCCAAGGTGCACTGATCCAGGAGACGGTTCTTCGACGTGTGTCACCGTCAATGCACTAGGCTGAATTGTTTGCACCCCAAAATGCTGATTCTCGACCTCAGTCGGCTCGACCGCGGCCCCTGTCGTGGGCGGATGCATTTCATGTTCGACTGCAAGGGCTGGCTCCTTTTCCACCCTGATGCTAAGCGGTTCCGCAGTTTCTGGCATAGAGACCGGCGCAGAAGGCTCGATATCCCCAGCAGAGGAAGGGGTTGCGCTCGGATCGGCATTTTGAGACATTCCACCATTGGCTCGCGCGCGCATCTGGGCGTAGGCATTGGCCATTTTTTCTCTAGGGGTTGCTCCTTCGATCTGGCTATACTTTTCCATGGCCTCCGCCAATGATGACGACTCCTGGCGATCTTTATCCTCCATGATTGAGACTGAACGGACAGATAAGCTGCTTCGATGGGAAGAAATAGACCTCGCGAACCACTGTGACAAACTTTCGCTGCTGGCTGGAACTGACTGTGACACTGACTCTAGGAGATGGTCAATGGAGCCTACGCAGCAAGTCAGTGGCAAGTTGTGGACAGAAGCTGGAAGAACAAACCTGGCGAATGATGAGTGTTGCGGACGTGAATTCTGGATAGCAATGTGCTGTAGGGAGAAAGATAGCTGGTCGTCTGAGAGGATGACTGTGTACCAGAACGACGGCTTCTTGCTCCAGATTGACTAAGTATGATTGGACGGTTAACGGTGCTGGACTGGGGCGCCGGTGTTTCGGCAATTTCGTCTACTTGGCTGAAATGATCAAGCAAAGCAGGTGCTGGTATGTGCACAGTCGAGAGAATATCTGTAGTAGGACTATGAGGAGGTTCGGCGTCTAATCGATGTTCGTCGGCAGTAGGTGGAAGGGTCGAGGTTGCTTGGCTCGTGGGTGGGATTGCACTTCGTGTATCACGAGCAAGATCTTCTTCAGCTTCGTCTGGAAGTCGAAGTTCACGTGGAATTGAAACTCGAGGGGTGTATACAAACACAGCTCCCGAGTTGGTGGATCTACCGTCCTGAGAAGGATTTCCGCGATTAACGGCGGCGCGTGGTTCGCTTCTTATGGCGCGATTCGTCAAGGGCGTTTCTTCTATCACGCGATTATCTTGTAAGACTGCGCGGGTTCCTGAGAGCTGTGGTGTTTCTGAAATGATACCAAAGGGCACAAATAGGGGAGAGTTGGAACGGGTGCTGGTTTGCAAGATAGATTCCTCGATTTCAGGCGGATTAGGTTGGGAAGTCAAAGGACTTGAAACAGATGCGTCTGTCGGTGGAAAATCAGCCAAGAGCGCCTCTCGAAGAGCGTTACGTCGTTTCTTTCGCTGCTCCCACACGCCAACTGCACCGTCGTTTGCGTGCTCTTTTGGCTCCTGGTCACCGGTGTTACCTTGTCAGTGACAATTCCAACATAAATACTGGGCCCAAGTAACCTTCGATGCTGTGAGTCGGCCAGATAACTCACCCAAGTCGGCGACCAGGGTCCCTCCCAATCGATTAGATACTGGGAATCTGTCTCGTCAAGTATACACTTGATATACCATTCGTCTTCTTCTAGACTATCACTTTCGTGTTCGTTCTCGCTATCAGTGTCGAGGACGATAATATTTCCTTTTTGCTTCTTTGCTCTATGTGTGTCGGTGGGTTGTGTTGTTATCGAATTAGGAGCCTTGCGCTTCCGCTCCATTATGCGCAACCAAAGAACGCCGCGGAAGTGTTGTAGCCCATGTTGAAGATTAAGCAGTAGGGAATGACTGGGGTTATTGAAGAATTATTTCGGCAAATTAGGTGTTCCCCCTGCAAGGAGCAAATCTCTGGTGTGAGGACAGGGCTTGTGAAGGTGACAACAATGAAGAGTGAGGAGTATGAATGAAAGATAAATGAACGCATCACGCACTTGGGAGACGGGACAGCTGCGCGGTTGATCATGGACACGTGACCCTTATCGGGGCCCAACTCCACTCGGTCGACCGGGATGTGCCAGCTGTCGCGCCTCGGCCTATTAGCTTTGGTCTGTGGCGGTTACAACCACAACACTTCATGCTGCTAATTTCTATTCAAACCTTGTCTTCTATAGACTCTATTGGAAATTGATTCAGCCGCGCTGGACCCACGGTGGGATCCTTTGAAATCTACTATAGTGTGGCCTGTTCCTTCTGCCATTGCTCAAAATCATACCCAAGCTCTTCCAGGCTTCTAATGGTTCTCCGTTCCTCGCCTTTCTCGAAAAATACCCTCCGTATCTCAGGGGTCAATTGTCGGATCCATTTGTTCTTTTCTCCCCAACGGTTGCATCGCTTGCCGTTTTGATCGTTGGGAAGCCCAGGTCGTGGCTCGGCCTTGGACGCCCAGTCATGAAGCATGTTCATGTAGTCTGCGTCTAGAGGGAATGGCATGAGATGGAACGGTGTGCCGCTGCCCCTTTGCTCAAGAGTAGAGTACTCCCATTCTTTCATCTCGGCATACGACGGGAGAGCCAGTCTTCCGGATAGAACACGAGAAAAGACGGCCGCTTGATTCTCGGCCAATGGGAATGGAATGATCCGCTGGGGTAAGACGGGGAATATGAGGGTCGGGTTGGGCGCATAGAAGAGGTGCTGATAGATGTTTTCCACCCTGCGTCCGTCGGTAACCACCGGAGGGTCGAGTGATGACAAAAAGGGGAAAGAGTAGAAATAGCCGGTGCAGAATAGGACTGCATCGATCTGTGCTTCAACTCTGCCGTCTGCAAAGCGGACCGCTCTATCATGAGTGGCAGGGGACAGGAACTCCATGATCTCTGGAACATAGATCTTGTCTGTGGTAGTCGGAAGTGGCATGGCCCGGTGTGAGGCCAGTACTTTGCCCTTGCTCACTTTGTTGATCTGGTTGCCAATATCGAGCCCAGAAGCAGAGCTTCCCACGACAATGACTTTTTTGCCGCGGAATGGATCTGGGGAGTCGTAGAGTTTGGAGTGGGATATATTTCCTGGATACCCTGCATCCCAGTCTTTGATCCCCACTATATCCGGTAGATAAGGTACATCGAAATGACCGCTAGCGACGATGACGGCGTCGTAGGTTTCAGTTCGATCGGCTCTGGTTCGCAGATTCCGTGTCGTCAACGCCCATGTCTGGGAATTCTTTTCTTTGAGCCGCACATCCAAAACCTGGGTCTCGAATTGAACAAGATGTTTCACCTCCGCCGCATATTCGTCAAGATACTGCTTGACCGTCGTATACTTCGGCAGCTCCTGTGAATCAGCGGGAAAAGCCTTTTCACCATATGCCATCAACTCCTTGGGGATATTGGTATCCAAAGTTGAGTAAATGGGCGAAACAAATGTGGGCTCCATTCGATCTTTTGAATGTTCCTTGGGATGCCATACTGGTTCCTCGAGCCCCACGTTAGGAGTGGTCTGGGGCACCGGGGTTTTCATGAGCTGCTTGAAGGTTGCCGGACAATAATTCCACACCCCTCCGGGCTGATCTCTCCTCTCGTACACATCTATTTTCTCAAACGATTTCTCCGCGAGCAGATATCTAAAGCAACGGTTAGAGTGGCAGCTGGGTCACAGGTGGGGTTGGGTTGATAGCGAATGGTTCCGTACTTTACTGCAGCGAGACCAGATGGCCCTGCGCCGATGACTGCTATCCGACGGACGGGGATTGATGGCGACATTTCCAGGTCGGCTACAGATATTGAACGATCACCTGAAAAAAAGAAAAGATAAAGTGAATGATCTGACGTTTAAAAGTGATCCTAGTCGCAACCTCTGGGGATTGTTTCCAGTCATGACATCTGATGGTTCCCCACTGGGTCCCCATGCGATGTCGTGATTTGCTGCTCCACTCCAGCTGTCGATATCAGGTACTGTGTGGATGATAGGTATGTTTTTTGAATCTACGTTTAATTTGACAACAATGGACCAGGTATCTGAGAAGAACCAAGTAATATAAAAGCTTTGGAGATCGCAAAGTTTCCTCCAAAATGGTAAGACATATACAATAAATACATGGAATTCAATACTATCCCGCAGTCAAATGATAGAATACTGGTAATATTACACATCCGATACAACAGTACCTTGATGATGTAGCGGATCGACGAACCAAGCGCGCCATCTCTCTGTCGCTCCCGTTCGGACCTCTTTCTTCATCAGCTTTGAGCTTGTTTGTCTTCTCGGTCGCTCGCGACATGAAAGCATATCTTTGAATAAACGCCCATACCTAACGAACCATGTACTACTCGTGATTGGGACCATGTGGAAATTGCATACCGATACCTGGCTACAGCGATGAGTGCGGACGAACAATCTCCTGCGGCCTCCGAGCCCTTACAGCTGGCACCCACCCCTATCGCGGAACTTTCGCCAACGGTCGAGCACCTGTCAGATAGCTGCATACACGCTGTGGTTACTTTATTATGGCCTTACTCATCGTCGACAAAGTCACTGAGCCTTTTGTTGGCAGACCCGGACGTTCGTCTCCGCCGGTTGAATGGACAAGTGAAGGTGGTCTTCCATGGGGTGATCGCAGAAAATGTCGCAAAATCGCATGTTGGGATTGGTGACGTCGTTCGGCTTGGGCTGGCTGGCTCAAGGTTTGTGAGCAAGGAGACGGAGGCCCAGACGCCTGGGAAATGGATCGCGTGGGATGTTCATTTTGACGATCGTGTATTCTTGGAGGTACGGTTGAGAGCCCGGTATTGAACAACGTGTGCTGATTGGACGAATTCCTAGATATCGCGTTCCTCCAAGCATCTTTCAACCGTGAAAGTCGAACCTCCATCGCCTGCGTCAGCTAAAGAAGCTATTCCGAGCACGCCGCCGCGCTTACCTGCGATCACCAACGGCTATACCCCCAATGGGCCTGCTATATCAACCATGGGGCTCGGCGCCTGGCAATCTCCAGCATTTGCGGGACGTTCAAGGAAATCATACGGCGGCCTAGTCGATTCGGCTTTTGATCCTTTCGCAGAGGAGGATGGGTTCGTCCCAGGGAAAGGAAGGAAGCGAACTAGGTTCAGCATGCACAATAGTGACTGGCGCTTGATTGATGAACCTGAAAGCCCAGGCGAAAAAAACGTCCCGGCAGACTGGGCGTGGATCTTCGATGAGGAGGCCATATCAGATAATGAGGAACAGGCAGCTGGTGAAAGTGATCAGAAATCTTTGGAGACAGCACAGGCCCAAACGGAACCCCAGTTGGAGGCTGGATCACAAATAGGTGATGGTGCAGGCGTGGATACAGTGATGGAAGATGAACCCCCGGTGGACTCTGAGCAAGATCAAGAGCAACAGGTTGACCACCAAGAAAAATATCCTCACGCACACGAAGCTCCTCCCAATATCGACCAGCAGGCTGAACGTTTTCGCCTATTCCATGAGGCGCACCGCTTGGGATTTGCTGCCCATCAGCCGACCGATACACCACACCTATATCCTATTCCGTCCCCTGGTCTACCTATCCCTTCGCCGTTGGTCACCACCTCCAACAACTCACTAGGATATTTTGCCTCTATTGCGGCGGGCGTACAGTCGCAGTCTCAGAGGTCCGCCGCGACGGGTTCCGAATTTAAATTACCTGAAAATAACAATCTTTTTGGGGCTGTCACAGAAGCCGTGCCTAATACGGTTGACGATCGTTCTAATATACCCCCAACCTTCTCAAGCACGAAAGCCGCATCGGAGTTGGTATCGCAATCGGTCGACTCGGCTGTATCAAGCACTTCGGATACATACGTCGAACAAAAGGAATTAATACAAGAAACTGCGAACGATACAGGGGACGACGAATCAGCATCGTCTTTTGTTGAGACCACAGTGGATACTGAGGTTCGTGTCGACGACGCAAGCCAACAGGGAAGCATGGAAGAGGATGAGGAAGATAGCGAGGTATATGATGAAGATGAGCTAGAAGGATCGGAAGAGGAATCGCAATTGGAAGCAAGCGAAGACGAGAACTTACAAGATGACGTCTCCGAATCTGAATCTGACTCGGAGGACAAGGATCTTACCGAGGATTCATACCCCGAACGCGTGCCGGCCGACAGTGGGCATGGCACTTTTGAATATTTGAAAAGCGGACATATTCCTCAAGATATCGCCGAAATCGAATCGGAGCGCAGAACACGCTCGCCGGTGGCAATGACTGGTCCTTCTGCGGGCGAACGCGGATACTCAGCTGAAGATACCCGAGAAGAACGACGACATTACGACCAATACGACGACAGCGAAGGCGAAAATGGCGAAGATGAGGATGACGAAGATGGCGAAGATGAGGACGAGGATGACAAGAACGAAGAAGTTGGCTTGTTCGATGACGAAGATTCCGAAGAGGAATCCGATGAATACGATGAACAATCCGGCGAAATGGTTGAATATGACAGCGAGTCGGATGGCATGTCTCGTGAAAGCCTTGGCCAACAACAACAACCAATTCCCGGACCGGCACAGACGGAAGTCATTGTCCTGGATAGCGACAGCGAAGACGAACCTGCACCTCCATACTCCCCAGAAGTGAGAAAACAAGAACAGCCAATCCTGGATTCCGACAGAATGCGAAGTCCAGAAAGATCCGAGGATGAAAGCTCAGTCTCTGACGAAATGCCATACAATCTCGGGACCGGGGACTCCTCTGAGGTCGAGGAATCATCGGAGGAAGAGGAAGAAGGAGCACCAGGCAGCGATATGGAGGACCAAGAGGCAGGCAGTGAAATGGAGGGCGTCGAGGTGGAATATGAAGAAGAGGAAAATGGAGTGATAGAAGTTCAGGAAGAAGACCAGTCCGAAGGCGAGCAATCACAAACGGATGGAATAGGGAATGAGGGCGCCGAGCATGCTGGGGTAAAAGAGAGCATGGAGGACGACGCACGCGAAGTCCTGCAACCGGGAACGGCTCAGGAGGAGTCGCGGCAGGAAGACACCCGGCAGGAATTTACCCAACAGGAGGACGTCAAACAAGGGGATATCCAGCCGGAGGATATTCAGCCAGAAGATTTCCCAAACACCCACCGGGACGACTCCCGGCAAGAAGAGCCCCAGGTGGAAGACATCCGAGAGGCAAGCATCCGAGAGGAAAGCACCCAGGAGGAAAACATCCAGGAGGAGAACATCCAAGAGGAAAGTATCCATGAGGAAAGAATCTGGGGAGAAGATGTTCATGTGGAGGATGCCCAGCAAGAACACTCCCAGGAAGAAATCCTGGGTGAAGATGTTGAAGGTGCAGAGCCACAAGACCAAGCAAACATGGATGAACCTATGGAAGTTGCCGAGTTCCAGGTGGATCAAGAACCCGAAAGGACACGGATGTTCATGTCACGACAAGGACCTTCCAACTTGGATGGACAAGGGCCGGAGCCTCTCGATGTCTTGAACAAAGCAGAAGACACAACGTCACTGCAGAGTCCAGAACCAACTTTCTTTGATGCCAATTCGGGTATTTTGCCAACAACTCAACAGCATTATCCAGCTTATTCTTCTAGTGCTCCAGATAGCTTTGGACTAGCTATCGACCCAGCGCTGCAAGATCTGGGCCCTGTCCAAGGGACAATGGACATCGATGCAGTTCAAGACTACCATGAGTACCAAGATGCGCCAAGCCAGGAAGAAAACCACGTTGGAGATTCAACTCGACAACATGATAACGCTGTTTTGTCTGTGAATGGGTCGACCTCGGAGCATAATCATCCTGACTTTCCCAGCAAATCGCCCGATCACTCCAAAGTTCAAATGCCGTGGACTCCGGAACTCTCTCAATTATCGAAACCTGATGCACAATTTCCTATGGAAATGACCTCAGATGCCATTCCACCCACACCCGACGATACACAGAAGTCAGCTCCACCTATTGAAGCGCTGCCTCATGAACCGCCTTTGCATCAGGAACCGACAGAGGTGAAAGCGGAAGATTCCGAGAGCAGTGCCTTGGTCCGTGATGTTGAGGTTCCTGCTCAAGACGAAGTGGATACGTACCATAGTCCTAGAGAGCATCAAACTCCAGACACGGATTCACATGACGATTACGAGTCCATACACTCGTTAGACAGCGTTGATCTGGTTGATATGAACCGCCATACCGCTCGTCACCACCGCAAGCACGCTCACTTTGCTTCCCTGGCAACGCTTGTTGACCGCGAAAATACGCTAACGAACACGATCTCGATCGCAACGGAGGTTTATCCAGTGACCCGCGCCACCTCAGGCACGAACGACTTCTTGCTGGTGCTTCAGCTCACGGACCCATCCATGGCCGGCACAACACTACAAGCTCACATCTTCCGATCCCACCAAGAAGCGCTCCCATCACTAGCAGACGGCGAAGCGATCCTCCTCCAAAATTTCCGGCCCCAACTCTTCCACCACTCCGTAACGCTCGTAAACACAGACACAAGCTCCTGGGCCGTTCTCAAATCCGCAGACGGAACCCAAGTAAACGCACCACAAGTCGACTCCACCAGCTACGAAATGAGCTACGCAACCAAACTCCACAAATGGTACCGCGAAATTGGCACGGCAATGGTGGCAGACAACCAACTCCAAGCCTCCATCGGCCAAGCCAGTCGCGAAGAGACACCCGAGAGCAACGTCGCATTCAGCGACCAAGGCAGCGTCTGTTCCCCGTCGCGCGAGTTCCGCAGTGCGTCTTCTTCGGTGTCGCAGCGGAGCTCGAGGCGGCGGAAATCGCATCGGAGGATTACGATCCATGAGTTGCGGGATGGGAGGATGTATACGGAGGTTGGGTCGCCTAGTGGAAGGGGGAGTATACATGAGTTGAGGGATGGGACTGTGTATGCGAATCTGTGAGCGTTTTCTGAAGTTATCAGTTGAATCAATGTGCATGTCATGTCATTCTTGGATATCTCGATTTTGGCCTGCAAATCTTATGATATTACTCTCTTATCTCAGTTCCCAGGCCTGCGCTCCAATCATTTAGTCTATAGAACACACCGTATGTGAACGATGTATTTACACAACAGTCATGGGGTTTGAAGAAAAACATATATAGCCACTCTTTACATCTTGGACCCCTTCGCGGTCAGACTATCAATATTGACCGCAGCTCTGATGAGCTGATTAGCGATGGCAGTCGGAGGCGGCAATCTCAAGCCGCCCTCCTTGTACTCCGCACCGGCCTTCTCGCCCAAGGCACTGGTACCTACCCTCAACGCCTCCTCGACCTCCTTAACGTCGAACCACTTCGCATCTTCAAGCTCCGGGTCATGCAGCAAGTGGATCTCCTCATGGGCCGGATCACTGACCTGCGCGATAGCGCCAATCATCAAGTTAGCCGGGTAGGGCCACGGCTGAGACGAGTGGATGATGACGCGCGAAAGAGTCACACCAGCCTCCTCCCACACTTCTCTGCGGACAGCATCCTCGACCGACTCCGCGGGTTCGATGAACCCCGCCAGAGTCGAGTACCAGTTCGGCGGGAAGCGCTTGGAGCGGCCCAGCAGGATGCGCTTTCCGTCGGTGGAGACGACCGCGACGATGATGGTGGGGTCGGTCCGCGGGAAGGACAGGTTCGAGAGCGTCGTGCGCGTGTTGCACCCTGGTCGCTCGAGGGTTTTGCCTTCGGCGACTCGCGCGGCGTCTGTTGGCGGGCAGGCGCGCTTGGTCCCGGAGTTGACGGATAGGGTTGGGTTGCCGCAGGTGCCGCAGTAGTTGTTTCGGGTGTTCCAGTCTGCGAGGGCGCGAGCCTGCGCATAGATGGCGGCTAGATGGGTGTGAGTGAGAGGTATTCCACAATTTGGAGGGGGGAAGAAAGCGACGCACCGTCGTCAGCAGAGAAGGACATGACTACGCGGGATTGGAAAAAGCTGAGTCCCTTGGCTTCCATGGCGCTAATTACAGCGTTGGCGCCGTTTTGCTGCTCTTCGCATCCCTTCGGCGTCACATCGAGGGCGAAAAAGGGGGCGCCGGTGTATATCTTCCAGGCTAGACCGTCCTGTTTGCGGGTTTCGTCTACGCCTAGGAAAATAAGGTTCGCGGTGGTCTTCCGGGAGTCGAAGTCTTTGATCATGTCTTCCTCGGGCTTGTCGTAAAAGTTCTCGGGGACGAGATTGCGGACCTCGTCATACTGGGCGAGATATAACTCCGACGGCGTTTTCGTAAGCGGCGCGAGGTCTTTCAAGAGCACGAACCGCGTCGATGGGTGTCTTAAGGCGGCTGATAGGAAAGGGTGCTCAGAGCGCAGAAAGGACAGCCGGTTTAGAGGGGAACCTAGCCCAGTCAGTTTCAGTTGTTCCTCTACATCTTGGGGCAACCTTACTAGAGAAATAGTTCACAGTTTCCCTCCCAAAGTGACGAGACAACATTGAGTCGGCTTGTGTATGCGCAGGTGCTGGGATCTGAGGAGTAGTCGTCATTCTGTAGAGAGACTGGCGATTATATGTATGAGTTGTCTGGTATGTGATACGTATGAAATATGTATGCGACAAAAGCAACGGGTGGTATCAATCTATGCAAACAAGAAGCGAAACACGTCTAATGAATCAGACCGAAAAAAGCGAAATGAGCAGAACTTCTAAGACAAGCAGATAATCGTATCTCATCCAGCGTTGACAGAAGGCGAATCATCCAACAACCGAACGAGGGGACGATATCGTGGATTAATCAGCACTTGTTTGGCCGAGGATCATCGCGGCGGAGTTCCGGGGTGGCGGGTATTCCGAATACACATATTCCTCGCGATTAGTGTAGATAATGAATAATATACAGTAATACCGTGACGATAGAGGGGCACGAGGGGAGCTCCCCACACACGTGACCGCGATGATGTCTTCCGTCTCCAATTCTTATCAACGACTCCATTCTCGCTCAGACAGCAGATTGATATCGTCAAGGTAGTTATTGGCCCTGTTTCCTTTCTTGTACTCTTCATTTATGACTAGTCTTCTACTTAATCACCGCGCGATGGTCCATCGACAACCACTCCATTGCACTGCATTTACTGCAGTTACTGAACCTTCGCTGATTAAGTGACATGAGCTCGACAGACACCGTTAGTACCTTCGTCGTCTATCAGTACCATCTATAAACCCATATTGGGCTACCGGACAAGTCATTGAATTGGTGCACCGTGGAAGCCGGTTGTCCATTGAAAATGGGACACCTAGTCACTCTGGCAACATGGTATGGCACGGACAATTCAAATCTTCTCTTTTCGCGGATACGTGCTGATCTCGCATATAAGCTCCCTTAATCAGTGGGCTCTCGATTTTGAGGGAAACGCGGCGAGGATCATTGAGAGCATTCGTAAAGCCAAAGCCGCTGGTGCTTCCTTGCGAGTCGGGCCTGAGCTTGAAATCACGGGTAATGTTCTTCGATGGCAGTGAACGGAGCACAGACTGATGCTTTGGTGCAATGGTAGGATATGGAGTACTGGATGGATTCCTCGAAGGTGATACGTTCTTGCACTCCTGGGAAATGCTCGCTCGTATTATCGACCACCCTGATTGCCAGGATATTGTGGTCGATGTGGGAATGCCCGTTCGCCATCGGAACGTGCGATACAACTGCCGGTACATCCGACATATCGCTCTCATATGCGTACTCAAACTGACTGTCGTGAAGGGTCATTTTCTTCAACCGGAAGATTATTCTCATCCGCCCAAAGATGTGGCTCGCCAATGGTTAGTATAAATCCCGTCGACTTGTTTTCTTCCATGATACTATTTGTTGCGCCTCGATAGCCAGTGTTGCTAACTGCTCGTCTCAGATGGAAATTATAGAGAGATGAGACACTTCACTCCGTGGCAACGACCGCAAGAAGTAGAGGACTATTACCTGGAGCAGATTGTTGGAAAGATTACTGGCCAGTACAAGGTTCCGTTCGGCGATGCTGTCATCAGCACCAGAGATACTTGCTTGGGTCTGGAGACTTGCGAGGAGCTTTTTACTCCAAATGGGTATGTGGTACATTCATGATTGTCGCAGAGTTCTAGCTAATCCTATTTCCTGGCAGCCCGCACATCCCCTATTCCCTAGCCGGTGTGGAGATCATCTCGAACTCGTCTGGAAGTCACCATGAGTTAAGGAAGCTGGACACCCGTATCAATCTTATCACCCAGGCGACGAAGCTGGTAATGCTGCCCACGATATGCTGCGAAGGATGATAGGCAGTTACTGACGCTTTCCTAGAGTGGTGGTATCTACCTTTATGCCAACCAGCAGGGTTGCGATGGCGATAGGTTGTACTACGATGGCTGTGCGATGATCATCGTCAATGGAAATCTCGTGGCTCAAGGTTCTCAGTTTTCTCTCAATGACGTGGAGGTTGTCACAGCTACTATTGATATCGAAGAGGTTTGAGCTCCAACGCCCACCAAACTTTGGAATGCATTAACGCCGTGTAGGTGCGGACATATCGCTCGAGCACCAGTCGCAACATGCAAGCCAGCAAACAGCCCCCCTTCGTTCGCCTTGACTTAGACACGAGACTTTCCCGCAGCGACGAAGAAGCCGAGCCTAGTCTCGCTCCGTCTGAGACCATCATGCCTCGGTACCATGCTCCTGAAGAAGAGGTCGCTCTAGGGCCTGCATGCTGGCTTTGGGACTACCTCCGAAGATGCGGGGCTGTTGGATACTTCCTTCCACTCAGTGGTGGGATTGACAGCTGCGCCACCGCTGTGATTGTTCACTCAATGTGCAGGGAGGTAGTCAAGGCTGTCCAAGAAGGAAATGAACAAGTCATCGCGGATGTGCGCAAGCTCTGCGCAGAGCCTGAGGGCTCCGACTGGCTTCCCAGCACAAGCCAAGAAGTCTGCAAGTAGGTTTCTTTTTCTCTTGTGTTGGAAAACTCTAGGTATAAATCTTAGGCTCGGAGTACTGATTGTTCCAGTCGTATCTTCCACACAAGCTACATGGGCACGCAGAACTCTAGCAAGGAGACGAGGGACCGATCGAAAGCACTTGCAACGGACATTGGCTCATACCATATCGACTTCAATTTCGATACAGTCGTGACCGCCCTGACGAACATGTTCACTGTTGTCACCAACTTTCAGCCTCGCTTCAAGGTTCACGGTGGGGCTAAAGCTGAAAATGCAGCGTTGCAGAACGTCCAAGCCCGTCTGAGGATGGTCCTCGCTTATCTTTTCGCATCCTTGCTCCCGACTGTTCGCCAGCGTCCCAACGGTGGTGGATTGCTCGTTTTAGCCGCGTCTAATGTTGATGGTAAGTTCAAGATCCTTGTGTGAACTGAAGAAGACATTTACTAACTATCCCCCAGAATGGTGCGTGCATGATCCCACAGGATATATAGCATTATACTCCGTCCCAGACATTTTATAAACCAATATGCTAATTTCAACAGCCTCCGCGGATACTTGACCAAATACGATGCCAGCAGCGCAGATGTACGTCCCTCTCATACATACACTCAACCTGATACCATGTACTGACTCTCCAGCTCAACCCCATCGGCTCCATCAGTAAAGTCGACCTGAAGAAATTCATCGCCTGGGCGCGCGACTCCTTCGAACTTCCCATCCTCCACGAGTTCCTAGACGCGACCCCAACCGCCGAACTCGAACCCATCACATCGACCTACGTCCAGTCCGACGAGGCCGACATGGGCGTCACGTACGCAGAGCTCTCGACATTCGGCTACCTCCGCAAGGTCGCCAAGCTCGGACCGTGGTCGATGTACGAGCGACTGCTGCACGTTTGGGGCAACGACTACAGCCCTCGCGAGATCTACGAGAAGACGCGTCACTTTTTCTACAACTAGTGAGTTATCTGTAGTAGCATCACTTAAAAAGGATAGTATACTAATGCTGATGACAACCACAGCGCCCTTAACCGCCACAAGATGACCGTGATTACGCCCAGTTATCACGCGGAACAGTACTCTCCCGACGATAACAGGCACGATCTGAGACAGTTTCTCTGTATGTTCAATCCCACATTCAATAATCAAAGACAGCATCCAGCTAACAAACTGTCAAACAGACCCATCTTTCTCGTGGGCCTATAAGAAAATGGAAGACAGCGTCAAATACTGGGAGTCAAAGGGCTGGACAGTCGGAAAGGCGCAGAAGAAGAGCGTCAAGGCTGATTGAAATATAGGAGTAATGATATGTATGAGAGGTGATTGGAGGTGGATATCCTATCTTTATGACTTGGATACGTGTGGTTATGTACGGAGTAATAGGAATGTAATGTATCATTCTTGAGATTGAGTAAATGGTTTCAACTGCCTAGCTCGTGATGACTTCGTAATCAAAGCAGGAATGGATCAGACTAACTTTGGGATGATTTGGAAAGGAAATGATGAAGTGAGTGAGTGTTATACATAAGCAGATTGAGAGTCTCGGCGGGGTGAGCATGTCACGCGAGAACTATATAACTCGATAATGCAGTGCAGGGCAGGGCAGTCAGGCAAGAAAAAAGAAGAAATATCAAAACCAACACCAAAAAAAATAGAAAAAAATAAAAATAAAAAAACAACGCTAAGTGTTCAACAGAAGGAGAATCGTAACGAAGGACACAAAACAAATCCAACCAGCAAAAGCAAAAGAAAAAGAAAGAAAGAATAGTCAGTGCGTCATCAGCATACTTAGTCAACTAATTAGTCCGTCCAGAACCAGCCCTTTTTGCTCGACCCATCCGAGTGCTGCTGGGAAGGATGAACGACCTCAACGGATTCATTCGTCTCCTCGCGACCATCCGCATATCGTTTGGTTTTTGTCGTCTTGGTCTGCACGGATCCGTCTGAGAGGCGGGTGCGGTCTGTTGTGATCTTGGTGGATATGACGTAGGGTTGTTGCTGCTGGGCTGGCTCTACGGCCTTGGAAGGATCTTGCTCTGATGATGGGGGTGATGGCGATGGCTTCGGGACAGAATCAGGTACGGATGTCTTCTGGCCGCCTGAGACGAGGTCTATCCACTCTGTGTCGTCGTCGTTGTCCTCCTCCTTCTGGGCCCTCCTGTCTCGGGGCGAGTGTAAACCCTGGAAAAGGAAATGCATGAGGGGACTCGCGCGAGCTTCATCAAAGAACTCGCGCTGACGCGCCTCAATATCCGTCAAAAAGCGGTCATACATGTCCAGTTCCGTCGTCGCTCCGGAGCCATCCTCCTCGTTCCAGCGGATTTCCGTCTTTTCGGCCTGGTCGTCTGCGCGTTCCCCTTCCGGAAGGGCCTGATTATCCTTGGAGTTGTCGAGGGTGATCGAAGACCAGGGGTGACCGTTCTTCCCGGCGACATATTTCCAACGGTCTCCCATACTTCCCCTCTTCACCAGACCCTGCAGCCAGTCCTTTGCGGATTCCTGCGGCAGGCTTGGTTGCTGTGCGCCGGCGGCGCGTTCCAGCATGGGCATTCCGTTCTCGAGACGCAGAAGGTCTTCAAAGGCTTCGCGCCACTGGGGCTCGGCAGGGTCGTGTTCGGAGCTCGAGGGCTTCAGCGTAGACATGAGGGAGGTGAATACGCCGCGATCGCGGTGGGCGCGGTATTGCGCTTGGCGCTCTAGGTGGAGCGGCGAGTAGGGGCTAAACATGAGGTATGTGACGGGCCAGGCGGGTGAGTCGTCGCTCATCATGTTCGCGAAGAAGGGGCGCTGGTAAGGATGGAAGAACCGCGAGGAGAAGGCATCGTTGAACCAGTAGCGGTCGAAGAAGGAGTCGAAGAAGAAATCGACGTCATCGAAGAAACCGGACGGTGTATTGGGGTGCTTTTGTCCGCGACGCGTGTTCCACGGGTCTTCGGACTCTGGCCATCGCGACGATGCTGGCGAGTTCTCTCGTTGTGCAGATGGGTCGGTTGAGGTGGTTTGAGAGTGTGCGCCATCTTCCTGGTCGTTGCCACCCGCCGCCACCCGCTGGAGAGCACGGGAGTCTCTGTTGTTGTTGTGGTTGTTCTCTGTGAAAACAGGCCAATGGTCGCTATGAGGAGGATGCACCGAGGATGGGAGGCCCGTCACCGACTGGAGCATGGAGGAGATCTGTTCATCGGCGAAACGGCGAAACGCGACGAACGGGTTCTCGTCGTCATACCTCCCGCGGGAGCTATCCGAAGACTGCTGCTGGTTTTTTGGACGCTGAGTCTCGTCTTCACCCGCCATGACGACAAAACGCAGAACTCGAGAAGTATGACTGTAGACGACAAAAGACAAGACAGAGTAGGAAATGCGACGAATCGACTGGATCTGGATACGGATATGGATATGGATGAAGAAGTTCGGTCGGTTAAACTGCCAACTTTCTTAACTGTTGGGATCTCTCTCCACCGCCCCACTATCACCACGTGACTGGGCCAACCATCCACGTTATTCTGCCGTCCATCAAATTGATGAATCTGTATCTGCAACTGTTTCAACTCGATGGCCTCCCATCATCTGCCTACATCTGTCTACATGGGCTCAGACCCGCGATATGCAACTTCATTAAGATCACTAGTACCATGCATATAATCCTTGACCCCATATGTTCAACCAAACTCGAGTGGAGCCTTGGAATAGCGTCAACCAAAATTGATTGCACTAGTTATAGGCGCCCCCCACTTGGCCTTGGCTCCTATAGACGTGCTCGGTCCTCAACCCCAGCCCAAGCTTCTTCGAATCCCGTGGATCGCACCCACATGTTGTCCGATTTAAGGGTTGAATCCTTGGCTGTGGCTAATATTAGTTACGATTCCTATTGGCGTTCATAACGAGGGATCACCTACCCATGTTGCCAACCTTCAGCCACATATCCCCGGTAATCGCCAATCTCCCCTCGCGAGCTTGCGCCTCGAACGGACGACAAATGATCTCGCCGTGAGCGATCGCCCGCATCGCTTTTGAAAGGTGGCCATCATCACCGGGGTGCGCGTTGCCATGGGCGAATAGCGTGTTCCAGCTATCGGATGCCCGATGGCCCGTCACCTCGTCTAAGAGGAGATTAGGTGTACCGCGGGATACGTATAGCAGAAGATCCATTCTCCCTTTCCACTCCAAAAGACGGAGTTTCGAGCGTACATCGAGGAACGGCAGTGCGACGAAGGTGGAGAGGAAGATGGACGAGTTGAGCGAGTGCAGAAAAAAGAAGTCCAATTTGATCTTCTTGGGGGGGCGTTGGGCGGCACTCGTGTAGTAAACTGAACAACACTGTCAGTGCTATAAACTGGCGAAGCTTTGATTCAGGGTGTCCCTACCGGGAACGTTGATCATCTCCGCGACTTTTTCAGTCACTTGATCCTCAGATACGGTGAATTCAGCCGCATGTTGGATCATCTCCTCCGAGGCTCGTTTGAGAACTCCGTCTCGGATCTTGTTCCCATCAGACCAATGGACAGAATTCGCTAGTTTTTGGTTCGCACGGATCTCCTCCAGAATCTGCAGCATTGGCTTCTTCCCGGGCTTGCCAACACCGCCTGCGCGGGTCTCTGCCGGTAAGAGGAACAGACGCGCGACTGTGTCTTCGTGGACAGCTGTTTGCGCGAGAGCCTCTGCGACAATAGCCGGCTGGTGAAACTCAAGGCCAAATCCCAAGTGGATGATTGGATGCAGCAGACCTAGTACGCTGTAAGTATGCTTGGTAGCTTACGGTATTCATCGTATCACAGTGACATACCCCCAAACAGTCTGCTCAACATGTCTTCGGCATTATCGTCTCCCTTGAATACATATTCATTGAGGACATACCCCACCCCCTTCTTGTCGATCTCCTGCTGGAAAAAGGCCAAGAAATGGGGATAGTTCTGCCCCTTCCCGGTCAACTCTCTGAACCGAGCCTTGTCGGACAGAGACTGAACAACGGCCTCATCCGAAGGCAAGGCCGGTCTTTGGTAATTTTTGTTCCTGTTGTACGCGGCCGTAACCTCATCCGGCGACGCTCCAAGCGCGAACATTGTCAGGATCTGGTGAACCAGATGATCTACCAGAATCAGCACAATCCTGCCCAGGTAAATTGTTTCTTGAATCGCAAAACTGACTATGAAATCCTTCATTATTAAAGAACACATGGTGGTTCTCTAGATCGTCCTGCAGGAGCTGGCTTGCCGTTTGAGCAGTGTCTTCTCTAGGCCCCGCTGAGAAGACGCCAGCGTTGGCCAGGGACAATTGGACTTTGCGTGCTGTAGCCATTGCGCTAGGTCTAGCGGTGCTAAAACAGTGCCTTTGGGCTCGAGTAAAAGCACAGGCCGCAGCTATTGGTGACTTGGACGTCAAGGTCGAAGTCGCAGGTCTCCAAGAAATATAGCGCCCTATAGGAGCGACTCTGCAAAGACGGATCGTCGAGCGAAAAAGCAAAGAATTGCGACTCGAGGTCAATCTCATACACTACCTATGATGTCAGTATAATCTCGATGCCTCCAGGCAAACAAAACCAGATATTTGAGAAGAAACTCACCCCGAGCGAGGAAATGCGGGGGTTCATATAGTCACAAACCAAGACAAGTCGTCAGTTGCACAACGTATATAATCCAGACCCCAAAAGCCAATCGCTTCCCGTCCAATTAGTAAGAATTCGAGCCTCGATGCTTCTTCTGACAGATGCAGATATAAATTATATACGAGAATGCGGAGTAAGAACAGGGGTCGGAGCTTCGGCTTTTGGAGGTGGCCGATAACGAACGACGTCATCAGGCGAATCATCTGCCGCGGTTAGTAATAGGGTGCCAGATTTGTCAGGTTAGTATCTAGATCGGGCTTTTCATACTCAAGCAAGTATGTAGATTTAGAACGAATCATTTTGAGGATTCTCCGTTATCGATAGATAGATCTTGAATTACATTCTGTATAGCATTGACTAAATTATTCAAACGTGTATACAAAGTCAATACCAAAACAAATACCCCCAAACACCAAAATCAGCCTCACGAGATCGTCATATTAAGACCTAATACATATCTCCAAAGACAGTCAAGTCACCCCAGCGTATCATGCGCATGTAGGAGAAAGAGCAAGCAATCTCAATGGCAGCGAGCCCCATTCGCCGAATCAGACATATCACTATCACGATTCTGCGTCGAGATCGCCCCAACCGGAGGACCCGTGCATCCAGAGTCTCTGTACATGAACGCATCAGTACAGCCATAGCAGATAATACTACGTCAAACACGCAAGTCGGGGGAGAAAAGAGAAGCAAAAGGGGGATACGTACAACCAGAACACGCAAAGAGTACCCTTGTCTCCGCCGTGGAGTTTGGCATGGTGTGTTCTGTGGAGATCGTCAGCGTGAATGCAACTTCCATGGAGATGTATGTATATAGAGTCCATTGACTGGGACTGGCACTGGCAATGGCACTGGCACTACTTATACTTACCCCTGGAATAAGTCGATGCACTCTCCTGTAGTAGGAATGTGTCGGATGTCGGTTGTTCCACCTGTCATGGTGATCGTAACGTCGACGGCTAGGGCGTTGGTGATGAGGAGACCCAGGGGGAGGATAATGCTTGTGGGCTTCATGTTGGATGTGTATTCGGGGTTTGATTGAGAGTAGTATACAACCAGTGTAAGGTGAAAGTCTGGAGAGGAAGAGCCATGGTGAATTGAATGGCTATTTATTAATGTGGTAAATACTGTGACGTATCCCCGCCAAGCATCCAGCCACGATGCTCCAGGCGGCGGAGTTCTTGGCTCGGGGGGCCTGGTGCGAGGCGGAGTCTTGTTGAGGGTCTAATTGGATATGAAGACCTCGCAGGGTTTTTTTATAGATCCACATTAAATACATGGAGATACTTTATAAGGTAAATGGTTCCAAAGATAAATGATCGTCTTTAGATCAGCGGTAGGGAAACAACCCAATATGGAAAATCAAAGACATGATCGACAGAGAAGGGGACAAATAGCATTCTGTAAGACCAACGTCTTCACCGGAGGTCCGCCATATCCTTCTTTCTCTTTTGAAGATCCCGTTCGATCTTCCGGAACAGAGGATGGTGCGCTCCCTTGTCTTTCAGCTGCTTGTTCCGGCTCCGGTTGTATTCGACGTAAGCCATGTCCTCGCCTCCAGCCAATCCACTAAGAGTGGCGGCGCTCCGTTTCACAGCGGCCTTCTTGCCCTTGGCGCCGCCGGAGCGCTCCGAGAAGAGGTCGTCTGTGACATGCTCCACCTCCGCCGATGTCTCATTCTGCAGCATGACTTCTTGCAGAAGCTCGCGGCGCTCGCCGGGTGTCGCGTATGCAAGACCTTGCAGGTTCTCTATGCCTTGGAGGTGGGTGATCACCTTGAAGGCATAACCTTGATCGACAAGGAATGCTTGGCGCTTCGATGAGTAGAACATTTCGTCCGTGTCCTTCGACACAAGGGAGTAGAAAAATGCATTGAAGCCTTCGTCGTTTCGACGCTTAGCCCGCAGAATACGTCCAAGCCGCTGAGCCTCTTGACGCCGGGAACCGTAGTGCGAAGAGATCTGGATCAGACAGGTGGCTTCTGGGAGATCCAGCGAGGTATCACCGATCTTCGAAAGGAAAATCGTATTGACTTGCTCGTTGTGCTGGAAGTTCTCGAGAATTCGCATCCGCTCATTCTGAGGAGTACCGCCGTAGATATAGGCCTTGTTCAATTTGAGCGCATAGCGCTCGAGAGCATAAACATTGTCCGAGAACACAATGACTTTATCCCCCCGCTTCTCGTGGTAATCGATCAAGAATTGAGCCGCTTGGAACTTCCGGGGATTCATGATATAGAGGAGAGCTGCCTTTCTGGACTTCTCCCTCATGTATTCAGAATAAAACTCCGTGGTCATGGGGCACCACACCTCGGCACATTGGACCTTTGCAATGTGTCCTTGTTCAGCAAGTTCCATCCAGTTGGCTTCATACAGTTTGGGGCCAATCAGGAAATTCAGATCCTTGATCTTGTCGTCCTCACGCAACAGTGTGGCCGTCAGACCGAGCTTGCTTTGCGTGGCAATGGCCGATGTGACCTTTCGGAACATAGAAGCGGGCACGACGTGCACCTCGTCAAGGATCATAAGACCCCATTCCCGCGACTGGATCCAATCCATCATCTTCTGCGCATCGTGCGATCGGGCCCGTGTCTGGGAAACCATGGAGTATGTCGAGACGATGATACCGGTCGATCGGCGGAATTTCTCTTTGTTATCCGATGTGAACACGGCGATGTCACCGGGGTCAATATTGGACCAACGCAAAAACTCGTTTCGCCACTGCACCACAGACATGGAACTCGTACACAGGATGATTGTCCCCTTTTTGATGGTGCAAGCAGCAGTGATGCCAACTAGGGTCTTTCCAGCCCCACAAGGCAAGACAATGATACCGCTCTTCGCTCGTCCGTTGCCAAACATCTTACTTAGACTCTTCTCCTGATAGCTTCGAATCCGCGCATTTGGCTTCAGGTCGATGTCCAAGGTCGGGTTGATCTCGTCGTTGCGGAAATCGTACTCTTCAAGAGCCGGACAGCCCATGGCCTGACAGCGTGCTTTGACCGGTTCTACCGCCTCGTTTGGAATCTCGAAACTGTGAACTTGTTCTTGATCATCATCGTCGTCGTCATCGCGGATCGCCAGGAGCAGGTCATCCTCCTGGGTCCTTTCAACTGCCCCATCCTCTGCAGGCTGCTGTTGCTGCTCCGATGTCTGTTTCACACCGGCAGCATCTCTTGTTCCCGGAATCACCAGACCACCCATCTTCGGGGCTGCCTGCTGCGTAATCCCTTCCGACCCCTGCAGCCTCTGCGGCCCGATGACTTCATCTTGAAGGAGCATTTGAAGCATCCCCGGGTCGGTACTTTCCACGAAGAAGCGATTATGCTTGAGCACGACCTTGATCTTCCCGTAAGACTTGGTGAAATCGATGATGAATGATTTGATGGCATCTGGTAGCGGGGTCTTCGACAGCCGATCAAGGAAGTTGATGATGTCCTGAGGGAGAAGACCGACGGACACGGCCGCATACAAACTATTCCCCGTCAACCGGTATTCGTGCATATGGGTCGGACGCGAAAGAGGCTCGGCGATCGTGGTCAGAAAATCTTGCGCTTGGGGGGCCAACGGAGAGAAACTCTCCAGCGTGATGGTGCCTTTTAGCGGATCGATCCATAGGGGACGGTTGGCGTGGTCTGGCTTCAAATCCAAGGAAGAGAAGTCCTTGTAGCCGAAATTTGGATCGTGTTTCTGCACGTGTCCGTCGCTCTTGTTGCTGAATGACTCGAGAGAGAATTTGTCCACGACCTCTTTAACGATGAATCAGTAAGCCATTTATCGCAGTTCCTAACCAGGCGAGTTCCACTACCTTTCAGTTTATTCACCTTCGCATCCTCCTCGTAATCGGAATATTCGTCGCTACTGCCAACCTCATGGATGTCAGGCACGGGGGTGGCTCGTTTCGATGCTCTACTAGACCGACCACCTAGCTGCGAGTCAGCCCATATCTATGTGACTTCAAGTATCAAGCACCATACTGTCGGTCGCTTTGCGCTTTGCAGGAGGCATGATCCGTGCTCTGTTTGTATGTGTATTGAAATGATGTCTAAAAGTCTATGTTCGTATGATGGCTGCTGACCGATTCGTACACGGTGCAAAGATATGCTCCAAGGCTACCAGCGCCTTAGTTGAGAGTTACAAGTAAAACCATCCCCGAGAGACGATAGGGTCTTTCAGTTAGTTAGAAAGATATGGCCCAAGGGTCGCTCTGTACGTTAGGGGGAGATGGGGATGGTATGCGAGAGATCGAGAGAGTGTGAGAGAGTGAGTGAGAGAAAGATAAAGATGAAGTGGGAGCCTGAAGAGGATCGGCCGGAAGTATTCAAAGGCTAACAGAGCAGACATCTTAACACGGAAGGCGGTATCAAAACTGCCGAGTTAAATTCGCCTTCCGGATTATTGACGTAGTTCATTCTTCCATTGTCAATCAATCTTCTTGCACGCATTTAAGAAATACCTTGATCTCTGTGTTTGCACACTAGCTTCTACAACATGAACACGGTATGTTCCTACCTCACTACTTTTGTTTTCGAGATATACTGATCTCAGAGCTTTCAATAATTAGATCCGATCCACCTGGTGCGTCATCACTCCACCCTACTACACCCATTGAAACAAACATGCACATTCCAGGAGAACTAAGCTCTGACAATGCTCCTACAGGGTAGGATGGGGCACTCTTTGTGTCGGTAAGTACCTTCAATCCATCTCCAGACAAACTCCGGACACTATCCAATGGAATACGACGACTAAACAAACACCCCCTACCAGCCGGCGGCGGTGCCTACTACTTTGCGAAGAAATCCATCAACTCCGAGCGTGCATCCCGGTATGAAGCGGAAGTTAAGCGGAAAGCGCAGATGGCTGCCCTGGAGGCGGAGGATCGACGGAAGGCTGCCACACCTGGAGCGACACCGACATCTTCCGGGTCCGCCGGTCTGAACCGAGGCAACATCCCGCGCGGCGAAAACGCCGCCGACAACACCAACTCACCGAGTGTAGAGGCGAGTTTGGATCCTGCTCCGACTCGACACGAACCCCTCACCGAGGCCGATCGGGTACTAGAGAAGGGAAAATATGAGGCGGCCCAGCCTTTCCGACCGCCTCCGGGCAACCGATTCAGCTAGAGCATTTACGCTTGGGTATGCCAATCTGCCACGGCCATCTCAATAGTCAATGAGGGAGGTCTGGTACTGTATTATAAAAACCAGAGTTTTGCCATTTTTGAAAGTGCTAGCTGCTGGGAAGGGGTCGAACGATGTGGGTTCACTGCGGGCGCCACTAGCGCTGTACGGAGACCAAAGGTGCAGGAGGAATTCAAAAGCTAAAACATTCTTTAATTGTGCTAGATGCAATAAACACAATACTACGTGGTTGCTTGGATTCTACTCACATCAACAACTTGGAATTCACCCTGCGGCGCCAGGCCGCTAGTACTTGCATTATTGCTCAAGTTCTCAAGCTAATGCCCATGATGGACCCTTGAGCGCAATCCCCATTTCAATGCATGTCATTTCCACACCACATCAAGACGCGCATACTATCCTCACAAGAACCACCACAAAGTAAACAGAAAGAAGTCAAATCAACCCAAGCGATCGCCATGGCTCAAACGCCCCCAACTCCATATGCAAGATGAATCACGACGTCATTTGTCCCCACAGCGAGATGTAAGGGGCTTATATGTGTTGTGTGTACCGGTACGCCGAAAATGATGAAATATAAGACCGTCGATCAGAAGGGAATTGTAAGCCCCCAAAAAAGAAAACAAGTCGCTAAAAAAAAGAAAAACGAAAACAAAAGAAAAGCAAAGGGAAAAGAGTGATATAAATAGCAGGACGTCGTTCAACGGCACCGGACGGATTGATCTACCGCGCGTGGAAGCAAAGTGGGGGATGCGCTCTAGAATAAGGACCAGTCAGCTTGGTCGATTCTTTGATTATTGGAAATAGTATAGCGACTGCGACTAAGCTTACTTGTTGTGGTTGGGATAGCCGGACTTCTTTTCGCGGGAGCTCTCTAGGGCTGGTGGGACGAAAGGGAGGACCACTGCGGAGACGAGACACGAGCTTGTGACGAAGCGCGAGGTGCGAGAATCTGGACGAGGACGGCGGACGGAGAAATGGCGGATGGTTGGGCGGATCATTTGGACGGCGACACTCATGGTGGTGGTTGTGTTTGGAGGTAGCAAGTATTTGTAGATTGTATATATTGGTAGTAGAGAGTTGATTTTATAGTAGGCACGGTATCCAGATGGTGGAGTAGTTGTCCAAATCGAAAGGGTAGGTAGAGGAGTATAAGGTCAGACAGGCAGGGTTGTCGCTACCTTATATACGGAGAGAAACCAAGCATTCCCTTCTTGTCAGAGACTCGCATCATTTCTCGGAGAGAACTATGATCGAATCGAATCACCTGAGGGAGGAGAGGGGAAAGAAAGAATACAATACAGTGGAATACAAAACACAGAGTTGCCTATCGTTGGTACGGAGTTTCCTGCGGGGTTTCATACTTGAAGGCCCACCTGACCACATCATATACTTCCAGAATACTTGACAGCTACAAGGCGGTGACTTCAACCATCTGAAAATCACTATATAGCAGACTGTGCTGGCCTGGTACTGCTGAAGTACCTCGTATGTACCTCATCTACTCTCCAGAAGGGTAGGATATAAGTTCATTATACAACAGTATAGTATTCCGTACTAAGAATACCTACTAGTCTTTTCACCCTGAGCCACTGGGCCACCCATTATTTGACCCATCGTTCCAATCCAGTCAGTAAATCACCTCATAGAGAAGGAAGATTTTCCCTCACGCCATCCCTAGCGAAATGGTCGCGATCTCCGGCCGAAGACTCGGTGCGGGGCTGTCGACCCTCGTGTCCACTAGGCCAGCCACATCTCCCTCAAGCTCACCACACCCTCACAGTTGAAAAGTAATGCGGTCGCGGTGAATGGACGCCTTCTCACAAACCTCGACCTAGTATGGAAGAAGTCTCTCTCCTGAATGGTATAGATGGTTACCGCGCGTGGCCATTGGTTCCATGGGTGGAGAGTGGTCCGTTCGAACGTCCAGGGGGCGGATGTCCTGATGGCGGCAGACCCAACATCCGAATTGGTGGTGTGATCAGTTTCTGTTTCGGACCCTTGAAACTTCCGTACGAAATCTGACAGGCAAACAGCATGGCTGAAGGAGTGGCTAAGCTGGATTGAATCATGCCATACGGGGGTATGCGGCCTGAGGCATGCAACATGACCGACGTCATCACACGTGACCGTGCTCTCTTTTAGTCCCGTGATAAGCAGTCCCGTGACAGCTGAGTCAGCCCAGCTTAGCAGCGAATCCTGATCAACGTTTCTCCTTCCATACAGGGGAGTAGCTGCTCTTCAGTCAAACAGAGGCTGAACCCCTGTCATTTGGAATGCTGTTTCAAGTTAAGTCTGGAAATTCTCCAATGTTGACACTATAGTCGATTCGGGGTTGAACTTGTGGCTCAACCATGGATGCCGCCTCGATATTTAAGATTGTACTCGTGTCATGCTGTCAACCCTTGCGGCGGCTGTTGAATGTGTGCCACGAGCATTCACTGACAGGATGCCAGGATGATTGCTGAAGAACTGAGATGTCTGTTGAAGGGATGATAACATCGCCAAGGATTCCCAGTCTCCTGCTTAGCATCCAGATCATCGGCCTACCGCGGGAGTCCGGACAGATTCCCTTGTTGATCGAATCCTGCGTATACCAAGCGAGGTTTGAGATTGAGATACTTTGTGCTAAGTATACTACGCGAGAGCCGCGGAAGCTCCCGGCCTCGAATGGGATTGCTCTATGAATTACTCTGTGGATTGATCTGTGGGTTGTTTTGTGGCTTAACACCTAATGCAAATTATGATGGACAGGAACAAACCGCATATCATCTTCCATGGGAATCGTTGCTGGACAATGGGTTTCAAAAAATGGGCCCCCGTAACGGTCTCCAGCAGAATACGAGCCAGCCGCGTCTTAGTGTGCCCCTGACAAGCATTTTAGATCTTATCTAGTACTACCCTATCCCCATCCTATCTATAAACTACCATTTTAATGATAGAAACACCGGGGTCCGTGATACCTTCAAATGTACCCCAGGATGTCGATCACTTTTGGGCCCACTAGTAGCGTACTCATACATTAAGAAGTCAATGTCTCAATATGGGTTCTCCTTGCAATCCACTCTCCCCCACAGACACTCACTCTCACCTCCAGGATGGTGAACTTTTTGCGATCATCGTTGTCAGTCCTGGCCGTTTCGCTTCTGGCGCAACAGGGACTCTCTCTGGTGTTCGAAGATGCCGAGGCGCCTGCCGCCGTCAATTCGTTGGCCGGAAGAGGAGATGATTCTATCTATTCGCTCTTTGACCGCCTGAAGAAAGACTCATGGTACTGGCACGGTACGCGGCTTGCCAGAGAAACGGTGCCCGGTTCGATATCCGCTAATCCGATATGATAGGGTCCCAAAATGGCCACAAGACGCTGGCCAACCTCACTGTCGACCTCGGCGAAGATGAAGCGAGCATTGTCTCGATGGAACGGTTCCGTCACCTGTTGAAGTCCGTCGACTGTGCTAAAGACGGCATGACTATGGAGTTCAACGACTCCAAGGCGTTCGCACACACCCAGAAGGGATGGCAGTGGGTCAACGACGACGATGACCGGAAACTCGTCCTCGTCGCTGGGAAGAAACACTGCAGTTGGAACGACCACAGGACTCCTTTCGTGGTCTCATCGATCACCTTCGACAAGGACGCGCTGAAAGCGAAGCTGACCGGCGTGGAATCGACATGGAAGCGTCTCTTCCGCAACTACGAGCTCACGGTGGGCAATGACCCTGAAGCATCCACAAAGCGAGAATGGAGCCCCACCGCATCCCTCAGCTTCGACCACAAGATCCCCTTCACCCAATCGTTCCCGATTCCCAACTCCGGTGTCTCGGTCGAGATTTCCTGCGACGATTGTAAAACGGAGGGATCGTTCGACTTTGGAATCCACCTTAAAACCAAAGACGGCCTTCCAAAGGACGCATCACTAACGCTCTCACCAAACGGGGTCAGTGCGAGCTTAACGCCGCGCCTTGCATTGAGTGGCAATTTGCACGAGGATTTGGGCGATGAGTACGAGATTGCCACGATCCCGGTCAATGGTATCACCATCCCTGGAGGTGTCCTCGATCTTGGCCCGCAAATTGTCTTCAGCGTTGGATATTCCATCGGGCTCATCAAAGGCTCCGCAGGGATTACCGGTGGAGTTGAAATGAGTCTCAAGGATTCGGCGGAGCTTGAAATCGACATGCTGCATCCAGATGTCTCCGCGGGTGGTTGGACACCCGAGCTGGAGCTTGTGCCTGTGTCGCTTGATGGGAAGATCGAAACAAAAGCGGAGGTATACGGCAAAGCTGCAGTGCAATTTGCCGCGTCTATCCTTGGTAAGTCGAACGATCTTCACATAAATAAAAATAGACTAATGAAATGGCGCAGATCACGGCTTTCAAATTGGCGTCAACATGAAGCCTTCTATCTCGGAGACTATCTCGGCCTCTGCCGGTATGCCCTTCTCCTCCATTTCTGTCGGCTGCGAGAATCTTACTGATCAAGATAGACACCAATGGTGCTTGCGCTGATGACAAGGAACACCACCGGTACGGCGCGAACGTGGTTCCTGCTGTCGGAGTCAGCATCAATGTAGACGTTTCAAAGGCGGATGAGCCCGAAGACGCAATCATCCAGTAAAAGATTGCGGTAAGTTTCGCATGTATAATCCTTTTATTTGGATTGGACTTTTTGAAAGCTTTATACCGATCTCTGACATAATGCAGGAAATCACCGCACCTCTATCATCGACCTGTGTTGGTTTCGGTCCGACTGGTGCCCAGTCGAGCACCCCCGGCAGTCCAACACACTCTCCGAGCACTCCGGTCAGTTCATCGGTCGTGACATCGACAAGTGTTGTAACTTCGACTGCGGTTACTACAAGGACCTCGAGCTATACTTGGACTAGCTCATCACCATCGACGCCGCCGCATTCCTCCATCTCTGCTCCCGCGCACCGCCATTACCACGCCCATCGGCGCCATGGTATGGGGAGGCACTAAATTGAGCATCCCTATAGACAAGTGCTTCGGGCTTGAAGCCTGTAAATAAGATGAACTACTCAGCCGTCGGGCTTGATGCTCTAGTTGGTTTGGGCAGCAACATCTCTAGTACATAGCCCAGGGTGTCTGTTACTTACCCATGTATATATAGCGTTCTTGATCCGGTCTTTCAAATAAATAGAATGACACCGAATACATGAACACTCAAATGTAGACAACGTTAATTTTCAACGTAGTTGATGGTTGTAGGCGGAGTATAAAAAAAAGGTCACGTGCCGCCACGGCTACTCCGCAGCGGATCACGATGTCTCGTCCTCAACTCCAACACCTTCGCATCCCCAACACACCCGGCGCAATGGCCTCTCACCAACTTGCCATTGCAAAAGCCTCATTCTCGGCAGGGCTATTACGCCCCGACCCCACGTCCGTTCCACGCGACGAGATAGTTGCCTTCCACACCGCACTCGACAGGGCGTTGTCGCATTGCACCCCAGCAAACATCCAGGTTTGAATTGCGAGTCCCTGGCCGTCGAAACTCCCAAAATACTAAAACTTTTGCCCCCGGCACGCACTAGACCTGCAAAACATGGCTGCTCAATCTTGTCGTTTCATCGTCTAATCGGGTGGGCGGGTTGGCCAAATACCTCGTTGCTCTGTCTGGGTCCCTCGATGACTCGGAGAAGCCCGGCGGCGGCCGACCTCGTCCGTCCGGCAAACGGAAGAGGTTGCATATCCTTTATCTGTTGAACGACCTATTTCACCATACCAAGTTTCACCTGGACTCGACCGCTTCTTTTTCGACCCTGAGCGGCTCGATACAGCCGTTTATCGTGGAACTGCTCGGGTACGCGGCGTCGTACGACCGGGCGAAGAACCCCAAACACCATAGACGATTGGACGAGCTGCTGGATATTTGGGAGCAGAATGGATACTACGGCAGCGACTACGTCAACAAGCTTCGCGAGGTGGTGAAGAACTCGGCTCTGTCCGGGCCGGTCAAAGCCTCCGTGGACGTCGAGACGAGCAATCTGGACTTTGCGAAGAAACAGCCCGGGAAGGATGCCCCGTTCGTCATGCCGGCCACCCACGGCGATTCTTCCACCCCGTTCTACGATCTCCCGGCCGGCAACCTCGTCCCGCATATCATCCCCAACGTGACGGTACCGCTCCGACCGGACTCCATCAAACCGCTGCAGTTCCTCGCCGGACCGGCAGACGAGAAACTGGTGACGGCGCTCAAAGTGTTCCTCAGCGATGCCGAGAGCATATACGACGCGAGAAAGCCTGAGCCCAAGGAAGACCAAGTCGTGGACATCGACGAGCTAGGCCAGACTGTGATCCGGGACGGGTCCACAGGAGACATTGTCGCAGGGAGCACATACTACGGATGGTCGCGGGGATTCTGCCAAGAGATGAAGAAGAGAGACACATCGTCCAGCTTCCGCAGTCGCAGCCGGAGCCGCAGCCGGAGCGAGACCCCCCGAAGACGACGATACAGCGACAGTCTCGCCAGCGACGACAGCCGATGGAGCCGGTCCCGCTCACGCAGTCGGACACCGCCGCGCAGACAGGACCACTACGATTCTCGATCGCGCAGCCCATCAGGGCGGGGATCAGGGTCCCGCGAAAGATCCTACTCCCCTCAACCACCCGCCCCGCGATCCGTTCCTCCTCCTCTTCCACAACAACCACCCTTCCCGCACACCCAACAACACCCACACGGCTACGCCCCCCCTCACTTCCCACCTCCCCCACCACCGCAAATGCACTTCCCACCACCAGCAGGAAGCCCTCCAACTGGGTATCCACCCGCCATACCACCAGGCCTCCCCCCTCCGCCGCCACCACCAAACTACCAGGGCCCATGGCCGCCTCCTCCGCCTATCCCAGGCTACGGAGGTGGGCCAGGGGGAGGGGGGCCGAGTGCATTCCCTCCACCGTTCCCGGCCCAGGGCGCACAGTTCCCTCCAATGCATATGGGAGGATCGGGACAGCAGATGCCCCCGGGGCAGTATCACTTCCCGCCGCCGCATGCGGGGCGGGGGTGGGGACAGTATGGGTATCCGCCTGCGGGACGGGGGTGGAGGTGATGTATAGATATGATCATTTAATGAGAAGATATTCAAATATGAAGAAAGAAGTACAAGCATTCAAAAGGATAAAGTAGTACAAAGATCCAGCAAAGATAAAGTAGATGGTACAAGAACATTGACTGAAAAATATATAAACATATCGCATATAGATCCAGAAAAGCAGAGCCGACAGAAAGAGCCAACCCAACTCAAGCAATCAACCAGCCATACACAAACCAACCACCCACCAACAAAGATATCTACCCAGTGCACATCCATACAACCCCTCCATAAAGCCCACCTTTACACCCCCCCAGGCGTAGGCGTAGCAGCAGCAGACCCCACCCCAGGAGTCCGACTTTGCCCAGCCAACGGAGTCGGAACGGGCGTCGAACTCGCCACATTATCATGCCAATAACCATCGGCGGAACTGGCCCTACCCAGCGCATCAGCGAGGGGATGATCGTCGCCTTGTTCCTTGCCCTTTGCTTTGTCTTTCATGGCTTTGTCGTAGGGTTTGCATTGAATTTTGTAGGAGTTTTGGTCCAGATTCTGTTGTTTTGTTCTATATTAGTTTTGGGGGATGGTGGGTTTTTCTTTGGCCGTTGTAAAGAGAGGTAGGGAAGATATATGGAAGAGGTTGGGACGTACATTCGAGACCCCGCCACAGCACATGACATCCATAAGGCACTGATCATGAGGGTCATTGTCATTCATCCCCTTACCTATATATCCAAATATACACCATTAGCACTCACCATCACCTTACCGTAGGAAAAAAGAGACGGGGGGTAAGTACAATCAAACGCCGCAGTCGAAGAGATCTTCACATCCTTCAGGATAGGAATCAGCTTGCCGATCTTGCCGAAGAGGGAATCCGAGATGCTGTTGATAGAGGTGCAGCACTGTTTGGAGCGGTGAGAGGGCGGACAGGTGTCGTATTCTAGGTTGGCGGCGGCGGAGGATGAGGCGTTTGCGAGGGGGGAAGAGAGGGCAGTGGTGCGAGGGAGGAGGGTTGTGGGTGTTGGGTCTTCGATGGCGAGGGCGGTGGTTGTGAGGGTGAGGGTGAGGAGGGTGAGGAGGTTCATCTTTTCTTTCTTGTTGTCTCTTGTTTTCTATCTTGATTTTGTTTGGCTTTCTTGTCTTTTGGGTTGTTATTCTGTTGGTTAGTGATATGTCAAGCTTGATATTGGTGTTCAATGTTGTCAAGGAGTGAATAGGAATATGGATATGAATATGATATATAAAGAATGCTTCAAGTTGGATCAATTGATCGACAGCAGACACCATCAAAGAAAGACTAAGTGAACAGAAGATGTCTACTTCGCGGGCTGTTATCGACAGAAGAAGGACAAAAGAAGGGAGAAGAAATTAGGGCTAGCACGCATACCATACCCTGACTTCATCCCAGCCAACTCCGCAACATCCAATTACTTATTCTTCGCGTTCTTTCAATTCAAGGAGACCAATTAGATGTCATAGTTAAATTATTCTGCGACATCTTTCTCCCTCTCTTGTTCTTTACTCCTAGATAGGGTCGTAATAGCTACTGTATTGTCTCTCAATGAAAAAGTGGCCGAAAGAGACTAACAACCCTAGTATACATGTCACCAAGAGATGCCTTCAATAAACAAGGGCGGGACAAGCGCGTGTCCCATTCAAAACAAAACAAAAAAAAAAAAGGCCCTTCACGGCGCGGTGCGGATCTGCCAGGTTTCTGGCATGCGCGTCCTGGCATAGTGGAATGTGAGGGCCTAGAAAGAGAAAGGCCCGTCCATCATCAAGTAACTTTCTGACTTTACTCTGACTAAGGTGGCAAGTACTCACTAGCATGCAAGAAAAGATAAAAGATAATAAAAAAAGAATGTCTCGTGCAGATATGCCGTGCTGGTATCCTCGACCACGATCTGAGACACCCCTTGCTTGCTGACTAGCTAGACACTTTGCTGTGGTGATTGATGTAAGGGGTTGAGCTCCGACCTATTTGTCTGTCTGGGCTAGATGGCGAGTGTAAGATTGTAGTAGTGCGATAGGAAGGGGAACGGAAGATGGTGTTTTAGATTAGTGGAAGTAGATGTTTATTGATGAAGGGCTGAAGACCACACCGAGCAAGTCATATTACATTGTCATTGATGCAAACGCCGGGTATAGCTAGGCGGGTTCGATGAGTAAAGAGATAAAGCCTTCAAAGTAAATTGATGTACCAGCGGTGATATCATCAAGAGGCTAGTGTATTCAAAGCATACAGCAAAAAATATATATATATACACGAAATCATAAGACAGGAGCCAGTCCTGTCACCCAACCCAACGCCCAAATAGAAAGACAGAATACCAACACACGAAGAGAAGTCAAATGATGCTACCAGTTGGTTAGGCACTGGGTCAACCAGGGCAACATCCTGCGGTGCGAACAAAATGGATATCAATTGCGTATTTTGTTGGCGACGGCAGGAGATTCTTTTTTCATTTCTGAAAGCCAAGGTCTCTCCAGACTCACTGGAGACAGAGACCATGGTCGGGTTTCAAGAAATGGCGATGATGTCTTCTGGAGGAATCAAAGTCAAAGCAACAGCCAATGGCACCGGGTAATTGCTCTTATCCTGGAACGGAAGGCAAGAGGATTGGCTCCGTGTATCACCCAACCTCAAACCTTATTGATTCAACCTTCAGGTACACATCATGTAAACGAAGCGAAAGGTAAACACGAAAGGACAGAAAGTGTAATGACCATCGAACGAGTGATGACCTCAGGTCATCGTGGGGAATCAAAAGTGTGCTCGCTGATGCCATCCACCACTAGGGAGGAGAGAAGATACTCCCACAAATCGACAGAAAAGTTCGCTGAAATAAAAAGGTCCTTGTCTGGCATGACTCTGGACAAGGAACGACCACCAAGCAGTGAGTAAATGATTTATCAGATTATAATCACCACCGACTCGACTGCCTTAGTCGACAGAGGTACAGACTTAAGATGCCTTCGTATCCATACTGTCCTGAGACCTGTTGGGGCTGTCATGACAGGCACCACCCGGACCAGGAACGGAGGCCATCGCGCGAGCGCCACTCTTACCACTGCTGCCACTGCTGCCACTACTGCGGCTGGAAGCAGACGGCGAGCGCTTGTCCTGGTCGACGTCGGTGAAAGATGACATCCGTTTGTGGGTGTATTGAAGCATGACGCGGCTGTAGTCCTCGATTGATTCATTCGGGTTGACCATCCTATCTGTCTGAATTTGGCCCTGACAGCCTGCTCCACGACTAGAACTGATGGGGGTGTCCTTGTATTGCATGGCGATAGACATAAGTGAAGATCTAGGACACACGACCGTCAGCTGCTATTGCCCTTCTTCGTAGTTTTCTTTCAAAAGCCCAGAACAGTCCATGATAGGACTAGGTGACGACGGTGACAGTGTCAGGGACCGGATTCGCCATCACAGCGCCCGACAATAGTTGCCAGGTCTTGGGCTGCAAAGCATTGCGCAACAGACTAGTACCAAACAACACACGATTCATAGATCCGTACCGGGTAGAAGGGATATCGGTGTTATTGTGCTCGCTCACCGTATTTAAACCCGGAGATAGACAGGGAGATGGGAAGTCTCAAGATCTAGGCGGAGCGTGTAGCTGAGGATGAAAAACCGTACAGATAGACGGACTAGGGTTGGTCTAGTATGTCCAAACAAGCAGGAATGTCCTAGGGAACTGATAGTAGGGGAGGATGCAGTTATCGGTCGAATCAATAGAAAGAAGAATGAGAATGAAAAGGAGATAGTTCGAAAACAGCGAGGTCCCAATATAAAGGTGTCGTGTCCGAGATGAAATCACCGAGCGGATGCCAGCCACAGACGGATCATGAATATCAACAATCAGCGAATCCAGACGGATCATGAATATCAACAATCAGCGAATCCATAATGATCGAACTGGGGCCCTTGTGGGGACAAGTGGGTACCGCGAAGGGGGGAGTCCCATCGGAGCCAACAACGTCGGCGTTAATTTGCGACCATGACATCATGGGGATCCAGCAGCGGCGAAACGGGGGTAGCCATGGGCCTGGCCGACAACACTCCCCCCTCTTCCTCGTCCCCATTTTTCTTTTCACGGTTCAAAGGATCTATTTCTTGAACCCTTACTCGAATCGTCTTAGATTTGTCTGGTGGACGAATGAATTGGCCTCTTCTCGCTGGGGGCATAAGATAGTGATCGGTGTCACGGCGCTCTACAAGCTCATGGGCCGGCGTTCCCCCAAGATGGTCCACAGATCCACCGTCCATGGTGAGAGATGAGGTCACGGGATGGGCTGCCACCCTGGACCCCAAGGAACAAAAGAGGGACCAGGTATTTTGTTTTTAATTTCTCTTTTTTTTTTTTTTTCTCCCCGTATCGCCAGCCGCATACTACGTAGTAAGTCGTCCCTGCAGATCGTCGGTGTGACGGTATAATGGCGGTGATTCTTTACTATTGTAGTTCGACGCATATAGAGCGGAAAAACAGGTATAGTCTCCGGGGCATGTCGCTAAAGTACCTCATACAGCGTACAGTCTGTGCAGACTTAGCTTATGTCTAGTCTCAACTCGATGAAGATGGACGCCCGCATGGAGCAGACCTGCAGCGGAGAGATGCAATAATCCCGGGCTGACGAACCACCATGCGCAGCGCAGACCGTAGCTCGAGGCGCGATGTGTCACGGATAATGCCTAACTAAGAGATGAACTAACAGAATTAGTTGGATTGTTACGGGGGAGACCTCCCTCTGGATTTTCTGGCTCCAATGAACGCGCCCCAAACCCGCGACTCCACATGCATGGGATGAGCGAAAGTGGAGCCAAATCGATCATTTAAACGACGCGGAAGGTATAAAAACTGGGGACATGCGTCAGACCCATTGGAAAGGTACAGATGGAAGATGGCACCCTCGCTGAGTGGAAAGCGAGGTGAGTGGAGATCTCAACCGGGGAAACACTTGGAGACAATAGTGTCAGGGGGGACACCTTGACGTATTGGTGTCTTCATCTTGTGATGTAGTCAATACAGATTTCTCGGGATGAATGCATTGATCATGAAGATGAAATGAGAAATGAGAATTGAGATCAGTCGAATTGGGGAATTTCGAAGATTCAGTGCCTGAGGTGGAAGATATGACGTCAGATTCTTTCCTACAGTTCTATGTGCCTAGGTGCCTTAGGTATCTCCTGCCTTGTGATATTCCAGATCAATATCAAAAAGCCCTAAGACTATCTCATCCAACCTGCCCTATGGCGAATCATTTCCGACTTCATAGTATTTGTCATGACTTTACGTGGTCAAGATAGCTCAAGCAGAGCCAATAAGTTCAACTCTCGGAAATAGATTCCATCGTCTCCACACGCTCATCCTCCTATCGTATGGAAAACTTCCCAAAAGGTCCCACTAAACGGGCCCAGCTTCCTGTCTTAGCCTTCTACCTCCCTCGCACACCCCATCTTCCACCCAGACTGCAATATAATGCCTTGTTTTTAACCTTAAAAACCAGTCTCCCCTTTCCTCCCCCCTCAGTGGTCCACGCCGATGGGACAACCCTAACCATGGACATGAAAGCCAGCATCCCACGGACGGAACCAGCCAGGCCACGATAACGCCCATCCGTCGGGGTGGGAAGAGGGGCGGGTGCAGATCGAGTCGCCACCTAGTGGGCCATTCCCGAATGAAAAATTGAAACTGATAATGGTACGGGACCCTGTCCTTCGGCCGAACTACAGACCGAGGAAATTCCTGTTTGGTTCCTTTAACCCCAGGTATTGGGAGCGCGTGGCTAGGACTTCATTTCATCACAGGGGGGGGAAGAACTATGTGCTATGTGCGATACAATCCCTGAGGCAAACACCCCTCCACAATCAAACCCCCGTTGGTGGACCCGGTGAACTGCTAGGATAGATCCTACGCAAGCAGCCCTTGGTCTTTCGGCCGTTTCTCTACGTATCTCCGAGTTCAGGCCAGCAGAGAGGTGAAGCCTCCAGAACTGCCGGGGGGGAGGGGGATGTCATTCTTGCGCATTCTACGGAGTAGATCCTCTCTACTTTCCCCTCAGTCTGACGTGGTTCAACAGAGCATTCTAGGCCCCTCGCAGGATCAATGCAGAGGATTGCTCAGCAGGATTAGTGGAAACACGAGCTTCCAGGATTGGATGTTTCACGTAGCACTAAGACTAACACTAGGGCAAGATACCTCTCTCCAGCTTTTCCTCCGTCATGAGCTCATTGTATCAGCGGAGAAATGTATTACAAGTGCCGCCGAGAAATAGACCAACATTATAAGCAAGAGTAGGCAGCAATGGTAAACTAATGGCGATCTAAAGACACTGCCAAGATAGCCACATGTCTGACTCTCCGTAACATTCAAACGGAGTCAACGCTCAGGGTTGAGAAATCAACCGATAAATTATACAATAAAGGCAACAACTAAAAAACCGAAACGCCACAAAGGTGGAGATAGTTGAACCTCAAAACAAACCAAGCAAGCAAACACCAAGGGCGTCAATCCAATGTAGCACAGCCTAGACCGACATCCGACTGCTCATTATGTCGCCAACTAGTATTACATCATCGTCCAGCCCCCTAACCGGCTCTTTATTTTACTGACAGAAGGGGGCCACGTTGACCTCCCTGGTGTATGAGATCATGCCTCGTAGAAAGATATTCGAGAAGGGTCGAGTTGGCATGATGCTAGTGTCGTTGCTAGGGACGTCTCATCCACCCATTCATCCATTCATCCATTCATCCCCCGGGGTCATTTCGTCCCCAAAGACAACCCCCAGTCAACCACTCTCCCAGAGTTCATGCAAACCAACGTCATATCTTCGAAGGGGCCTTGCGAGGCTGTCATGTTGATCCCTGTCTCGCAGATGGGTCAGACTTTCTGCTAGCCTCGCGCTTGTCGGACGCTGGATGATATCAGTTTGCTCCACCGAGTACCTAGATAGGCGATTGGCACAGATTGCATATGGATAAATGGCGAGAGATGAAAAGAGAAAAAGAAAACCAAATAAATGATTAATGAGAAAGAGACCAAGAATAGAAAATAACCCTCTCCTACCAGAAAGATTATATATATAAAATAAAAAAAAACATATAAATAATAGGAAAAATAAACCACACCGTCTCATCTTACAGCATCCAGTCTTACAGCATACAGCATACCCTCGTGGGCCCCCATCCCCGGCCGCAAAGAAAAGAATCATGTGAGATCCTAGACCCTGGTTGATGATCGTTGCTCGATATACCATCATGACCTACCACCACCCACCACCCCCCACCCCTCGCGTTGAATGACCTAACCTAGCCTCTTGATGTCTCCAAGCACGACGTCAAGGACGTGACCAATGCCGCGCGCAGACCGACACCATCTGTACAAATGGACTTGTATTTCGTCATTGTGCTCGTAGGCCTTCCTTTCCCTGACGGTGCAATGCTCGTCGAGCATTCCCCATTGGGGTCCAGCCCTACTTTCGCGTTTTGATTGCTGCTGGGTATAGCCCTAAGCTAAGCCAAGCTCGGTACTCGACCGTAAGAGTAAGAGCAGTCGACAGCGAAGCGAGGCGAAACGAAACGAAACGCAACGCAACGAAGCGGAGAAAAGGGCCTGCGTCATACCTATGTCAAGCAAGGAAACAGCAGGCCGATCTAGACTAAGAACCAATAAGACGCTCAACGCATCAGCATCAGAACCACCCAATTTGGTAAGTTGCTTTCGATTCGACGAGCTCGTCAGTCAAAAGGACAGATAGTTCTCTAATAATCTTGTCTTATATGAAATGGTGTAGTAGGTAGGTAGGTAGGTGGATAGATACAATGCTTGCAAGACGCCACAATCCAGAAGAACAAGCGGGACATGGGATAATGAAAATGATAATAATACTAATAATGATAATCATGCATACTCATCAAACGTAGCCTACACAAATAAGAAGCGAAAGTTAGCCACGGACCAAATGACGTTACGGGGGCAAGAGTCTTTCTTACCTTTGCGAGCACCCTGGAAGAAGAACCGGACAACAAAGACCTGCAACCCCGCCATAGACACCATCATCAAGCTCTCGATAACGCTAAAGTTCCAAATTCTCCGCTCCGTGCTCCGCACCGTGCTGAAGTTCCGGTTCTCGCGCGTGCGGAAGTACTTCTGGTTTCGCGAGATGGTGGACAGCTGCGCGGACAGCTTGAAGATGGATTCCTCGAGCGCCGACGCCTGCTCGGGGCTGGCGCCCTGGCGCGAGGGAAGCTGCGCGCGCTCTTCGTTCTCAACCTGGAGCACAAAAAAAAACCCGTGGTCAGTTCACTGCTTCCTGCTAGTACCTTCCCCTCCCCCTTCCCCCTCCTATCCTGGGTGATTATTATGGTTGTCCCTTACCGCGATCTCAAAGTCCACAAGCTTCTCAGCAAAGGTCGACATTTCGTTATTGAAGCAGAACTTGTACTCTCCAACACTCTGAGCCGAAAAGACAAAATCGCCCTGTCGCTCCTTCGTTCCCTCCAAGATCATCTTGTCACCGGGCCCGGACACGGCGTAATCAACATCGAAGGAGCCGCCAGATTGAACCTGTCACAAGAAAATGCACCGTCAGAATCCAAACCAAGACGTAAAATTTTATATCATCTTAATCCTTACAGCAAAATAGAAAGCCACCTTCGTGTTAGCCTCCTCAATGTGGTTGTAGAAGCAGGCCTTCTCGTTAGCCTCGAGCCGGTAGGTGAGAGCGGTCGCCGTCACAGTCGACACCAGAGAGGCCAAAAGGCCGATGACCAGGGTTGCGAAATGCATCGTGACTGGAGAAAATATGGGAGAGCCGGTAGCTCGATCTGGGGTATTTCTCCAGGGGTGACGGTGACGGTTGGATCTACGCGACCTTTGGAGATGGAGGTGAAGTTCTGGCCAGCTTGTAATCTTCCGCGGTGTTTGTCATGTTTGCACCACCACCAAAAATAAACTACCTTGTCCGGAAGAAGGGTCTTACTTACTCCGGTGTACTACTTGGACGATGGATCTTACAGATTATACTGCGATAACTTTGTGAATTGGATTCTTTTTTCCGCGTTACTCATCTTATCTTGCTGATAACTATTTTATATATATATGTCATGGGTCATATCAAGAGAAGTAGCAGGAAAATATGAAATGACGGGGAATGACCATAAGGCGCATCTTTGCGCAAACCAACATAACAGCGTGAGACCTGCCCCATCTACAGAGACGAAAGGAAAGGCAACAAAAGAAAGAAAGCAAGCAAGAAGAAAACAGAAGAAAGGAGAAGAAGAAGAGGAAAGGGAAAAAAAAGAAAAGGAGGAAAGGAGGAAAGCAGAAAGTCATGAGACAACGCGGCAGCAGGTCCAGAATTCGTTCAAGCATAAGGTCTCCGTAAACAAGATTGGAAAATAGGCGGACGGTATGTTCTCTGCCCTTCGCAGAATGATGGACTGGCCAGGAAAGCTGCAACAATGGTACATTCTGCCTCTATCGAATGAAGAAGGACTCGCTCCGGTTCCAGAAGCTCCGGCTTTTATTTACATGGTCAAGACCAAGGAGGTCGTCCGAATCGCCGACAATGTCAGAAAGTATATCATCTAGTTGAGTCAGCATGTCTGCTATGTCGGGCAAGCACAAGGGAGAAAGTTAGGCGTACCATCTTCAAGATAACGCGGGTTGGAGTACAGAGTCCGGGGGACAACAGCGAACTTGATCTTCTCAAATTGCTTGCCCTTGATCCCAGTCCGCTTCGACAGGCGTTCTTTGGTTTTGCTAAACACCTCACCCTGACAGACGTTAGCAGGAGACTTTGCACAAAGGGCGAAATTTACTTACCGACTTGACCACAAACTTGAACGGTACCCCATGGGGTCTGCTTGGTTCCCGGTCGAAGTTGTACGCATTGATCAGTCGCTCCCCCTCCGCAATCTCGACCTCTTCCTCGGGAACTCGCGTCGCGTATAGCGTGACGAATTCGTTGATTCCGGCGACCTTGGACTCGGCCTGGTACTCCTTATAGATCTTACCACCGTGGGCTTCGTAGATCCGCGTGTTCCGGATCGTCTCATCATCAAGGTTTGCCTTCTTCTGCAATCCAGAAAGGATGTCGGCGACGGTGCCGTCTCGGGGAACTAAGACCTCGACAACTTGCTGATATGAAAGTAAGCAACATGTCTCCTGGGCAAGATTAAAAGAATAACTTACCTCCTTCGTGATACCTTCCGGAAGCCACGTCACTTTCAGGCAGATCTTGGACTCGTAGTCGCTCAGGCTCATCTCGAGCACTTCGTAGTATAACGCATCAGACCGATGCAAGTTGTACCCATAGCCCGTCATCTGGCCCGAGAGGATCTGACCTAACGTCTGGCTGTTCTGGTTGGCATTCCGTTTAATGAAAGCCTTGGGCTTGCCCGTGCTCGCAAGAACAGGAGCGAACCGCAGATGGGTAGGATCCACGTTCAGACGTTCCCCGACCTTCTTGGATAATTGGTCATAGGTCATCCTTCTGCTCAGTGTCAGGGTGAACTCTTCGGCCTCGGTATCTCTGATCGGCGCAAACGTGACAGGCATCTGATTCAAGAGGTGATCATAGTATTGTTTGGCGTCCGGAAAGATTGCAGTGGAAGGCACATCCGCTTCGGCAATCGTCCTCTGGAACGTGATAATATCACCGTCTTGGATTTCGGATTGCTGGAAGGTCTGCTTGGACTTCATAGGCTCGATCATAGTATGTTTGATCTCCTCGAATAGTATAAACTCTGTGCCAGCAGGCCATCCCATCTTCTCAAGTATCGTTGGTGCAAGATCGGCCACTTTCTGGGATTTGCGGACGTATACGGCACCCACGCCGGACAGTGTCTGGCTTGGGACGTCGAAGTTCTTTAGGAAAACGAGGACGGAATTATTATCCGGCCATGAGATGGTGCCGTCTTGACCGGGCTCGCCAACTTCCATCCAAAGCCTGAAGGCATTTCCTTTGGTACCGAATCTGCTATAAGCCTCCTCGAGGGTCATTTCCGGGTCTCTGATGACCTGATCCGGGCGAGTGGTCTTGTTCTGGCGGTTCACCATTACCCAGAACCGAATTCGATTGACATCTAGGCCATTTTCTTCGGCCATCAAAGCTGCAAACTCGCCGACCTTGGTCGATCGAAGAATGCGGTGGTGCTTTGGCACGGCGGGATCATCTGCCGGCAGGTCCATGCTTGTGAGATCGAACCCGTGATGCGATCGGAAGGACGCTTCGGTCAAAACACCGACGCTCATGTATAAATGAGCCTCCTCCCTCTCTTTCTTCCTCCGGGCTAGTTCAGCACGGTCTTCAATGAGTTTCGTCTCTGGATTTCGGTTAGCAGAAGAGGCCACGGACGGAGTGAGGGCAATGGCACGGTGACATACCAATGTGAGACGGAATCTCATCCTTCGTTATGGGTAAGAGTACCTCATCAAGTTTCGTCTTCCGGACATAAACAAGCATGTATGCGTTCATGGAACGCTTGGTGGACAAACCTCGGGTGTACGGCTGTCTAACCCCGGTGGCACCGTTGGCGAGTTCATATTCGCCGCCGTAGTTTTCTTCAAGAACCTCCTTGTCGGTGGCTCGGGTCACTCTGTCGTCATCGAAACGATACCAGTGCCCATCCTTGGTAGGCTTCAAAAAGGCATAATAATGGCCAGCATTCAAATCACCACTGTGCACCAACACGCCATGCAATTCGTAGATCCACGGTTCCGACTTGTCGGCGTCGTTGGAAAGGTAAGGCGTGGCATCGAACTCCATGGGGAAGGCGTGCCGGTCGTTGATCTTCATCATTGCGTCTCGGTGGATATCGTACTCGAATCGTTTCAAATGAAGGTGCAGAATTGGGGGGAAGCTCTCGAAGATGACGCCCTTCTTGGCGTCCTGCAACCCATACGGCGAACCGGCATCGTACTTGTTCTCCCCCTCGAGGGTTTCCACCTGGATGTAGTCTTTGAAGCTGTCGTCCAGGGTCTTGTTGCCTCGCACGTTCAGCTGAATATCCCAGAAATCTTCCACCCGGGACGACTCATAGTCGACGTTGATGCAGGAAATGTACGTCTTTGTTTTTCCAACAAACAGTTCGGGGAGCGCTTTTTCGGCCGGCGTGCCCTTCATTTTCTCTTCTAGTCTCTCCATGAGCTTCCGCGACAATTCTTGGACATCCTGCTGTTCGAAAATTTGCCGAGACTCCCAGCCAAACGATGCAGTAAGCTCGGTGGTCGAGACAGAGTTCTCGCTGGTTTGCAGGTTATAGAAGAGTCTTTGAAGAGTCCAAGCGCTGTTGTCCTTGGACGCTTCGCTCTCGGTGGGGATTTGATAAACAGCCTATGACACATCAGTACGTAGGCCGGGTTGACATAGGGCCCGACAATCAGAGAGATACCTTTCGGAAAGCGTTGGTAAAGTACAAGGACTGCAATAAGGAGTTGAGATAGCACGTTGCGCCTTGGTTCTTCAACCCGACCATCCCAGTTTCCCGTTTGGAGTCGTAGCTGGGGAGTAATTAGCATCTCGTCGATTGGAAGCGGCGGAACTGCATACTTTTGGAAGCTATGCCACAGGACACCCGTCGGATCCTTAACAACGCGAACGTAGGCTGTGACGTTGGCTTCTTCGTTCTGAATCAGAGGCACACCGCGGCCCTCCCAGGGCATGGTGAAGAGTCTGCGCAGCTCGTAGAATCGGGTAAAGCCCCAGTCACCCTCGTCTGCGTTGAACCGATGTGTCGCGTCTATGATTCCTCATCAGCGGAACTGGTCTCTCATCTCAAGGGGCAATAGTAGTAGTAGCAGCATACAGTGCGACACATATATAGATGGATCATTTACATTCGATAGCACCAAGGCGAATTGTACGCATGCATACCAATTCTCCGGGGGCTCTTCTTCCCAGGCGTGCTCGAGATAGAATGACGCATAATCGGCGTGGTTTCCATACGGGAAGAAAAGGATTCGCCTGTGATTTTTGTAAGCACTGGAACACGATCCACGCGGGCGGCGGACCGTCCGAGACACTAGGTCCCAAAAAATGAAAAGGAAGAAAAAAATCCTACCAAGGAAATCCTGCGCATTGGAACACCGGGCCATGTTCCTTCTTTTTCAAGTTCTTCCAGTCCTTAATATGCCATGTATGCCACGCCTCATCTTCGGTTTCCAGATCCGGGTCTTGGGGGAGCACTCGAGCCATCATTGCCGCATCTGTATCGAAAATTTTCCGTTAGACATGCTTCGGACGTAAACCAGTCGATTATACCGGTGCTAGCAACGGCAAAACGAGAGACCCGACACCTCCGCGGGGAGGCTGTGATGCCAGTCGGACGGGTCTGGGGGACGTGCGGGGCTTGTGGCATCGAACATCAAGGGCTGCGCGGGAGAGGTTCTCACGATCATCTGCAAGAGGCTCCGACTCCGGTTCGTCCGAACCGGACTGAGAGACCACGACATCATCGGTTTTGTCATTTTGATACTGCTCATAATCATCGACGAGCATCTCATTATCCGCGACCTATAGACCGGAAGAATCGTCTTAGTACGTTGACAATCACCATAGTCGTATAATTCTGGAGGGAGGGAGGAATCGTCGACTTTGGTGCCGTCACTGCGAAGATCAAACGACGAGGGAAAGACTCACGCTGTCCATCTAGGATAAAGAAGTGCCTCCACGCACTCGAACGGTCAGAGGAAACCTGTTTTGAGCAGTCGGGCGGAGATTTGAGGGAGGAAACGACGAGAGAAAAAAGGAAAGAGGGGAAACCAAATCCGAAAGGCAAAGCAAAGATGATCAGTCGTAGAGAATGAACTGAAGATGGGGAAGTAATGACGAGGTAACCACCAGGCAGTAGGTCAAGACAAAAAGGTCTGGTCCAGCGGGTTGGAAGGAGTCAGTCCAGGTTAGAGTGAGGAAACTGAAGCTAGTGGCGGAGTTCCCAGCAATCCAATCATATTAAGTCAGCGTCTTTCTACATCATTTACGACTTCAATCACCATGAACTCATGCTTTACTTTCGATATATATATACATATATATTCATTTCTATAATGATGTATCTCTATACAGGCAGCGTATAATAAAGAATACACGCCAAGCCAGACAAACTGCTCGAGGTGTTGGCGGTACTATACAGTCTATACTGAAGCTGTTGGATCAACTTCCACCCTCGAGCTTCATAACAGTGAATATATGCTTTGACAAAGAACTTGAATACAAAGCAAAGCTTCCCTTTTTCAAATATCTCAAAGGATCCTGTAACGACACTGGTTTTCTTGTGGGACTCTTTCTGATGTCTGATGAAGACACTTGAGGATACAACGAGTATCTCCTCTCAAACCAACCATCCTTCTTAATGAATTCAATACCACTACTTAAATTGGTATATCGTAAATCGAACTGAATCAATCAACAGACTATAATCTATAAAACCACCATCTGATCCTTCTGTCCAGTTGAGACAATAAGTCGGCAAGTCACATGTCAGCCCCGGTTTCTTTTCTTCTCACCGCCTGCTGTATTGGGTCTTCTCACGGTCAGTCCATATGAAGCTGCAGCTTGTCAGTCATACTACCATCTCTCTCCTCTTCTCCTCCTCCCCTTCCTTCCCCCCATCCTCGGGACAAATGACATGTCAAATACAAGACTCTGCTTCTTACGGCCTCGATGACGGTTGTATATAGACCATGCCTTAGACGCTTCGAGAGTCTGACTCCACGAGACCTGTTTGACCGAGCCCTAGCTAGTCACCAACCCAAGATGTTGCGGATTGGCACAATGCGACCTCTGTGGGCGCTCCGACACAGATGCTGCGTCGCTGGCCGACGTTCATATTCGAGCCATACTGCACAGGGTGTGCCGCCATGGCGCCCAGCTTCTATTTTAGACGAGTATGATCCCAGGCCCAACCCAGTGAAAGCATCTGCTAATTGAATGTGCTTTCCATAGATGGGTGGAACGCGAGATGCGACCTATCAGTTTACGGCAATTAACTTTCTTCGGGCGGACGTTGACGGAAGCGCGCTTGATCAGCTCTGCGAATTATGTACGAACGGAGCTCCCGAGCAGACTGGCGCACCGCCTCCGGGATATCCAAAAGCTTCCCTACGTCGTAGTGTCCAATCCCCATCTGTCGCTCGTCTATGAACTGTATTACCAGGCGTTCGAGAGATTTCGAACAATCCCCGAGATCAAGTCTTTGGACGATAACGATCGGTTTTGTGACATTCTCCGAAAGACTTTGAAGGACCATCTGGTGGTGATTCCTCAATTAGCCATGGGTGTTTTGGAATGCCGGGATCTGTTGCCACGGGAAATGGTCGACCAATTCATGAACACCTTGCTTCGGGCGGTAAGTTTGCAGATTGCAGATTGCAGACTGTCATGTACGCCGCTGACATCCACCTCAGAGGATCTCCCGTCGCGTTATTGCGGAGCAGCATCTGGCTTTGACGGAGACTTTCAACTCTCCGTGGCACTTTGCGGGGCCTTTTGATAACGCCGATGCGAACTCGGAGTACATTGGAGAGGTATTCCTGAAATGCAATGCCAAGGAGGTGATCGAACGCTGTGGGAAACTCACGCAAGACATGATGCGGGGGAGCGCGGGATCCGACAATATCCCCGAAATCAACGTCCAGGGCCATTCGGAAGCGACTTTCCCCTACATGCTGAGCCACCTGGAGTATATCGTTGGCGAACTACTGCGTAATTCGATCCAGGCGGTCAGCGAGAAGTACCGTAACCTGCCCGAGCGGCCGCCCCCGATCGAAGTCCTTGTCTGCGAGGCGCCGCAGCATATCATCCTGCGGATATCCGACCAAGGAGGCGGGATCCCGCGCGAGTTACTCCCGTATCTATGGTCGTTCAACAAAGGACCCCATAGTAAAGCTCGACTCCAGAATCTCGAGCAGGTCCCCGCGATGGCTGCGACCATGCAAGAGTTGGCCGTGTCTAAGGAGAGGAAGCGCGAGGATAAGGAAACTTTCCGCGAAGGATCGCTCGACTCACTGACCTCGCGCCCCCCGAATCTCCGGCTCGGGATGGGGCTCCCGATGAGCCGGGTCTATGCGGAATACTGGGCCGGTAGTCTGGAACTGCACAGCCTGGAGGGGTACGGGGTGGACGCGTTTCTCCAGATCTCGAAGCTGGGCAACAAGAACGAGCAGATCACGACGAGAGCATCAATGGATGCCGTGTGATCACCTCTAGGCTTATGGTCTGCTACTTCTCTTGGACGTGGATCGTGTCTAGGTGACAATAGCCCGTCAAACAGCCGTTCGAGCCATACCTCGACTATCATCACTCTCACACTATTACTAAAGCCGTGTCATATATGCCATCATCACACTACGCACCCCACCTTTACCAAAGTCCCACGATTTGTACCCCAGATTTCGTGTGCGCCATGATCTACTAGCCGGAACCGGCAAGGGAAGAGTTGACTGGCTTCGCACGTTCGAGCTCGAGAGCTCCCCCCACGGCTTCTTCGGGATGACGTCAGCGATCTCTACCACGGGAGGACATTGGACAATTGCAGTACACTCTACAATCATTACTACCCGTGCATGTAGTGCATGTACTTCTTCAAAGTTGCGACGTGGTTGTCGAATGTGGCGTGTGGATCCGCTACGTCAGTTGAAATTGAACACTTTTCTCAGAGGGTGAAATCTAGCATTCTCATCTTCCTATCTACAATAATTTTCTGTGCCCTAGACGCTCATACCTACGCCTAAGCTCGACTATTACACTCTTAGATCTTTAACAGGCAGAAATTGGACTCAACATGGCGGGAACAGGTTCCATGCTCTGCGTGATTCTCATCACCATATTCAGTACGTATCACTACGTCCCAGTAGCATCGATACATACCATGCCACGACCAAGCATCCTTCTACACAGCTCAAAAAGACATCTCTAACAACAACGCAGTTCCTCCCCTCGGAGTCTTCCTCATCTCCGGCTGCAGTGCCGACCTCCTCATCAACATCCTGCTCACTTGTCTTGGGTATGTCCATCCTCTAGGAAGTTCCAGCCACAGCCTCCCCTACACCCAACTCTCCCTCACCCATCCCTCCTTTCTCTCTCCCTTCCAAATCTACCCCCAACCACAATCACAACATAATTAACAAAAACAGCTACTTCCCAGGCCACATCCACGCCTTCTACCTTGAATACGTCTACTACCAGAATCGCAGAACCCCAATGTACGGCACGTATCAGCCTGCGCCGGGCGTGTACTCCGACCGCATCAAGAATGGTCCGAACCAGGATATGAATTATGGGACGGTCCCGCGGTACTAGCTGATTGTGTGATTTCTGTGGGGATATTGCGAAGGTGTGGATGTGATGGTGAGTGTAGTGTGGTGTCGTATATGGTATATGCTGAGGAGTGGAGCTGAGTTGAGTTGGGTTGAGTCGGATTATGTTGATTAATGTATCAAGGCGTTGCGACTGAATAGGAAATGCATCGGGTTAATACAAATCAAAGAAGCAGGAAAAGGTCAACGAAGAGTCCACAATGCATTCAACAAAAAAATAAATGCTAATCAAAAACTCATGATAACTCATACCCCCTACTTAGACCCAGCACCCTCCACCTTCCTCGTCTTCAGCGGCGGAAAATCAAACGGCTCACTCTGCGCCGCCTCCCCCAGCGTCCTCTGCACCGCCGCCCCAGAGCGCGGACTCCACCACAGCGCCCCCACCCAAGGCTGCACATTCCACCCCACGTTCAGCGTAACATTCTTCCTCTCCGCCAGCCGGCCCGTAATATCCGAAAGCTGATACTTCGATTTCTGGCCGCGCAGACGGAGGACGCCTGGTTCGGTGGAGGCCGCGCCAGCCTTCTTCTTGGATGCTGTGTTCGTGCGCTTGGACGACTTCTTCGAAGACTTGGATGAGAGGAAGCGCTCTTTCAGTGCGGAGAGAGAGTAAGGCGATGCTGGGGCCTCGATGATCGTATCCCAGATGATGGACTCGGAGTTGAGGGCGGAGGTGGAGGAGGGGTTATCGGAGGAGGAGTAGGAGGCGTAGACGTAGACGAAGAGCTGTTTGGTGTTCCAGTTGAAGAAGGGGGAGAGGTCTATCCATTAATTAGGTTTCTTCTTCTTTTTGATGTTGTTTTCTTTGTTCGGGGACATACCCGCGTCGAGGTCGAAGCGCATTTGCGCGTATTCTTCCTTTTTAGTGGAGTAGTAATGGGGTCTGCCTTTGATGCTGTTTTCACCTTGCTATTAGTTTGGCTCCAACCAACGAGAACATATTAAACATACACCTTCACGTCTTTCAGAGAAACCTGCGCCGTGGCATCATCCCCGGGATACAGCAGAACAGAAAGCGCCGCGAAGCCCGCGACGAACAGGGCTACTGTGGTGAAGAAGCCGAAGACGGCCTGCAGGCGGTTGAGGGAGGAGTGCATGGTGAAGGTTCTCCAGTGGACAGTAGAAGCAAATATCAAGTCAGACAGGAAAACTCCTGCGAGGAACAACTTGAAGTGATGCTGGGCAATGATGATAAGCAAGCGGATGAAGCCAGATGGTCCTTTGGCGTAGGCGGTGAGAGGGTGATGGGAGGGCGGTGAGTGCTTATCGATAAGAGTATCGTGGCTCTATCTGCAGCATAATAGCCTCATGTTTATTTTTGGACAGATAGTCATCATTCTCTAGCTTGTTGGGTTATAATACTGGTTGAAGGTCATAGATTGTCTTCCTTCCACTGTCAGCGAAATCTCAAACGCTCTCCAAGACCCCAATAATCGATATACAACCACCCCAGACCTACTCCAACTCGCCCCGCACTCATCCACTGGACCCCTCAGTCCTAGAATTGAGATAGAGCACAGTCTCATTATAATCGCAATATTCCTCGCAGGTCTGCTCTGCAATCATGGGCGACCACGTTCTATTCTTCTATGGTAAGATCTCATCTCAATATCAAATCAATCCAATGTCAATTGGCTCTACATCCACTTGATACAACATATCTCACATACTTTGACTCGACATTCAACCACTCCATGCAACTCAACTACAAAGATATCAACATCGTTCACCCCCTACCTCCCATACAATCAACTTCCACCTCTACACACAAACCCCCACAACTTTCAAACGCCAACCCCTAAACCCACCTCATACACACAACAAACCAAACTACAAAACTAACAAAGCGAAAGGCACCCTAATGGCCCCCCAAATCCTCCACCGCGTAATCCACGGCTCGCCCACCCCGGAAGCATGGCAAAAAGCCCTCCTCACATTCAAGCCCGCCGTGCTGCACGGGTACCGCCGTCATCGAGTGCGGGGGGCTGATTATCCGGGTATCGTGCGGGTTTCCTCCACCACCTCTTCTACCTCTACTGCCACTGGGGAAAATACGAAAGCTCCCACCGGAGAACTAGATACAACAGCCTCCGTCCTCGGCACGGTCGTATCGGGCCTAACCCAAGGAGACCTCCACCGGCTCGACATCTACGAAGGCACAGAGTACGCCAAGGAGCGTGTCTCGGTACGTATCCTGCGTGAATCTCTCCCGCAGAGCGAAAACACCATTCCCTCCGGCCACGACGGTGTCAGAAATGTTTCTGGCTCCAGTCATACAGCCACGCCTAGCGTGAACGCGGGCAGCAAGGTAGCAGACACAGACACAGACACAGAAACAGACACCCACCTCCGCGACGTTCTCTCCGCCGCGGAGGCGGAATTCGCCGACGAGGGCGAGGAAGTACTCGCCGATACGTACGTGTGGATTTCAGGTGGCGAGATGCTGGAGTCGACTGAGTGGGATTTCGAGGCGTTTAAGAGGGATAAGATGGCTTGGTGGGTTGCTGCTTCGGAGGATGAGTGGTGATCTTTCTTCCTCTTCTTCTTCTTCTTCTTCTTCTTCTCTTTCTTTTTAAATATATCTTTGGTTGGGTTTGGTTCTTCTTTTGTTGTTGGGTAGGGTAGATGTAGATAGAGTTAGATGGTGGTGACTATAAATATATGTACTTCATCTTTATGGACTATTTGGATACATAGATTGACTGCGCAGGTTAATCAAATAAGATGACACCCCTATCTATGAAGTACTCTACAAGGACTACACCATCAACATACGGCACCAAGCCAGCCAGCCAGACTGAACTTGAATAGGTGACCGAAACAATAGATATATGATAATATATGTGTGTATGATATAATACGTAAAAACTATGCAATGCTTGGTATCTTATGCACCCACCACAAACAACAACAAACAAACAAACAAATAAAACTCAACGGATCTACATCCATCCATCCACCAGAACGCCACGTAAATCCCCACATAGAACACAAAAGAAATCACAATAGATAGATAGGTAGGCAGGCAGGTAGACAGTCACATTCACAAAAGAAACAGAGATCTAGAAAGAAAAAGATGGTTTGGTTGAGCCTCAGCGCGGGCTTCTCCTAACCCTTTCTCGACCGGGAGATAACGATGATGACGCCGACGTCTTTGGCGGTGTGCCCGGGACCTGCACTTCCAGGGTTTGCTTTTTGGGAGCTGCTTCGGGGGTTGTGGCTCTCTGTGTCTGTGTGTCTGTGTCAGCCACCGTCTTGGGTCGCTCGACGATAGAGATGGCGTCGTTGTCGTCTGTCACCGTGTCCGCTGGTTTACCTGGCCGTTTGATAACAACCCTAGGTGGGGTACATTGCGGAGCATGGATTGGCTCTTGACTGTCTGGGACTTCGACGATTTCGTGCTGCGCCGGTGGTTGAGGATCAGTTGGCTGGGGCTGGGGGTTTGGGCTCCGAGATGGTTGCCTGGTTGCTGCTGCCTGCTTGGCGTCCTTTGACCCTGTTGGCTGTTTTTCTGAAGCGGGGCTGTCTGCACCATCCTTGTTGTCGCGTTTCTTGACACCGTCAGACTCAGACTCAAACTCAGAAGACGACTGACGCGGGGTCGCACTCTCCTCCTGTTTAGAAGCCTCCGGCACACCCAGAAGATAATCCACAGGCTGTTTATCCGCCATCGTGATCTTCTCACCAGCCGTCTCCCGACTAAGCTGCATCTGCTCATCATACAACCTATCTAGAAAACCACGCAGTCGAGTCCGAAGGAGCCCGGACCGCAGCGGCGGCCAGTCCTCCTTCACCCGCATTTCATTCGCGAGGAGCTTCTTGACGAACGAGTCCGGGTCCTGGACGAACTTCTCCAGGTACGCCAGGAGGTACAAACCGCAGTCGGAGAAGTTCGGCTGGAGAGGGATGTGTCTGTGGCCTGCTTTCATGCCTTTGATGAGGCTGGTGTTGATCTCGACGCCTTTCTTGGACTGGGCTTCTTGAAAGAGGTAGTCTTTGAGGAAGCGGACGGTTGATGGACGTGACATGTCTAGCGAGTCGAAGGTGATGATGCAGGGTCTTTGGGTGGAGGCTTTGCTGCTTGATTTCGCGCTTGATGGTCGAGGGTTCTTTTTCTTCCGTGACTGACGCGCCGTTTTGGAGCCCTGTTTCGGATCATCCTGCGGAGTCTGTCTGTCGGCAGGGCTGGCGAAATTCGCCCGGGTAAGACTGGGATTCTCCTCATCCTCTGGCCATTCTTCGTGAGCTGTATCCTTGGGTTTGGAATCACTATCCAGGTTCATGGATGCAAAGGACTCCCGGGCTGATTCTTCCTGCGATGATTCCGAGTCAACAACCTGACTGCTGCTTTGGTCCTTGCTCGAGGCACCACCAGAATCTTGCGTCTCTGGAATCTCCTGGACATCAGTCCCGCCGGCTGAAGACACTTTGCTGTCTGGTTCCGGGTTCGTGTCCACTTCCCCCATGGAGCTCTTCAGACTAGGCAGGTTGCATATGATCGTAAGATACCAGTGCGCATTCTCATTGATAGGCACAACCACATAGTCATAACCAAAGAGATCCACATTCCTGGTCCATTTCTCCACCCCCTCGTAGTTGATCCCGCGCTTGCGGCCAGGCGCATTGGTGAGGGTTGCAAAAAAGTAGGAGTTGAAAAAGTATACCCGCTTCGCTACCTCCTTGTTACACCGATCTAGGTGGTCCTCAAGAAAGCGTATGTAGAAGCCGATGAGGTTGTCATTCAAGAATTCGGAGGCACGCAGCCGCTCCAGGTCTTGTGCGTCTACTTCTGCCTTTTTCTTCCCAAAACGGGGGTAAACAAGGGGTCTGTTGTGGTTAGTACTGAATTAAAGCAGAACAGATGACCATAGGAGAGGAATGTCTGACCGATGCCACTTCTTATGTTTCACATCAGACTTCGGCGTGAGATGGTAATCATCGTCGCCATCGTCACTGTACCTGTTAGTAAGACCCAACCAGTTATTGTCAAGCAGACATACCAAACAATAGTCGTAGGCGGCATGCGGCGAGCCATTGACCTCGTTGATCTCGTCGACGACTGAGGCGTATATTTGATAACGGGTATTTCCACGCCGTGGTCATCGGTGCTGGGCGAGCGGCGAGTACCATGACGTTTAGAAGAAGGCGAAAGTTTTCGGCTTGCGCGCCCACGAGCGGTGTCAGAATATGGTTTTTGTCCGGCAGTATTTCCTCGCTCGTCTTGCAGACGGTCTGACAGTTTGGCCCTTCTAGGGCCTTCAGTTTTTGCTTCTGCTTCTGGACTGCTTTCGGAACGAGCTCGCTTGGGGCCGTTCGTCGGACGCTCGTGGCTGGCTAGTTGCCGTTTGTGTGTCCTGAATGCTTTGTCCATCCAGTCACTGCTCCCATTAGTCACATGCCCAATGGTTCAAGATGGAGGGAAACCTACCTGTCTTTGACAACTACGCGGACATCCCTTTTTTCAAGCCCTTCGCAGAATCCTCTCCTTGCCTCTGCAGATATAAACTCAATGTCCGCCTTGCCGTCTGATGTCTGGGTCGCCGGGAAGTGCACCTGGGCCTTGCGGCTGGATCCACCCCCTTGAATGACCTTTGTAATTCTTTGGATGAGAGTTTCCGGGTGCTTAGGACCGGATTTGCCAAGCAAGATGATTTTTCCACTCTCCACGTCTAGACGCAGCGGCACGGATTCCCCTTCTGCTGGCAGCAGCTCCGATGATCCCAGCTGAACACGAAGGGTCTCAAAGACCGGAAGTTCGTCCCGCTTTTTGGCTTTGTTTTTCTTCTTCGACTTCCCTTCGATGAAAACAGTCGGTATGATATCGGATGGTGATGATCGCGAAACGGGAGCTGCCTGGGACAGTTTGGAATCGCGTCCACGAAGAGCGCCAAACGCCCGTGCCTGTGAGACCGTTGCGGCTCCTTGCAGCTCGTCGGAACTCTCTCTCGACCGCCCGCTTCCAGCACGTGTCGGGGACGGGACGGGACCAGCGGGATTGGCGGTGGGCACGTGCCCCTCCGCAATCTCGACACTCTGGAGTATATCACGTTTCGGCAGGTGCTGCGTACGGGGCAAACCAGAGCGTCTCTCTTTCGTCGCGTTCTCGGTGAAGCGCTCTTCATCCGGCGACCAGACCGTCTCTCTGGGACCACCATGCCGGGGGCTATTGTGGGAGGGACGGCGTACTTTGACGCCTCGTTCAACGTCACGAAATTCGTTCAATTCCCGCGACTTTTTGGGCTTTGCTGAAAGCTGGCTGGAGGTTGTTGATAGGCGTGCCGAATTCTCAGCTACCGACGAGGTGTCCGGCACAGCCTGTACCATAATGTCGTCATCGGAAATGCTGACTAGACCGCTCAATGCCGATTCGTGACTTCCTCGGCGGGGACGTTTGGCGGGCCGTTCCAGCGCTTCATCGTAGGCAGTATTGTCCGAGTGGGGGACGCCAGAGCGTGGGCCCGGTTGTTGAACCCTCCGACGGCGTCCTGGCTGTCCGTGTGCGGGGACCGGTCCACTTTGACGGGCGTGTCGCGAAATCGTATCGAACGGCTTGGGGGTATTGATATTCTAGCAGCCAAACATGTCAGAGGTGAAACCGTCGCAGGAAATATACCAGCTGTCGCATACCGAAAGGGCCTGATTCTTGGATTTCTTGACCGTCTGCCCTGGCACTATTCTGACCCCATTCGGGCTTCTCGAGCTGGAAGAGTGTCACACGTTAGTGACTGGCCGCTGATATATGGAACCTCCAAGCTACCATCCAGGACGTACTGCTTGAAACTAGGTAGTAATCGTTGCTCGTCGTCTTGAGTCTGCGAAAGTTGGACTTTACTCCGGGTCGGCGTCCCTCCCCCGGCTCTAGGCACCATATCAGCGTCAAGTCCCGTGTTGTGTCGAAGGGCCATATTTACGGAGGAGTCATCCCCAAATCTGGTTGGGGGACGGAGCGGTATTTCGGAGGTGGCGGTTGCGGTGTGTCTGGGGAGGGTTCCAATTCTTCGGCATAGCTGGAAGTAAGCTGCGGGGCATAGCAGGAGGTCAGTCGCTGTATTGTCGGTGGGTTCAGGGGAGTAACGCAAGTGTATAAGAAAGAAAGAAAAAGTACAACACAAGGGAACACTAGAGATGTATGGCAGCGAACAAAGACAAATCGAACAATCACCATAACCATAACCATAAGCGAAAATAAAATCAAAAAACGAAGAATCAAAAAGACAGACGAAACAGCTCGTAAAAGAAACATACAAAAAAGAACAAACCGGAAAGGGAAAGGGGAAAAAAGAAAAAAGAAAAAAGAGCGGCCAGACCGGACGAAAAAGAAAAATTTCAAGAAATCAAAAGAACAAGGATACCAAACAAATGTAATAGCACCCCGAGGTTATCCTAATGTCCCAACTCACCGTAGAATCTACATGCAAAAAGGAAGTCCCTTCGTCGGACGTAGGCTGTGCCCGTCGCACCTCATCGGAGGTCGCATCAGACGGCGGAGGCGAAGGACGGCGGTGGTGGTGATCAACGAGCCGGCGCGGGGAGGAGGAGGAAGGACGATGCGGGCTCAAGCTAGGAATCAGCTTGGAGAGGCTTTCAAGGAGTGACATGTATTCGAGAGAGCAGTGAGGATCATGGCCGGACCGGAGTGGACAGGAGGGATTTCATAGCCCGAACCCGGTGGGAAAAGTAGACCTGGAGGAGTTCAAAGTACTGCAAGATGGGAAGTAAAGATAAAGTGGTTCACTTATCATCGGAAGTTCACTCCAATCAGGTTGGCTGGCGGGAAGGCGGTGGGGGTGCTTTCTGCCTGTCGTATCATTTCCATCGGTATCATCTTTTACTCTAGATCATGTATAGATACCTCAATACTTGAGACACTTGATCCAGTTCACAAATCCACTTGATCAATGGACTGTAGATTAGATAGTTCTCTACCCAGCAAGGTTCCTACTCCAAACAGTTCACCCAAGGAAACCAACCAAGCAGTGCATGTTTTGACCCACGCTTTTACCGACCAACTCATCTCCCCACTATTAAAGAATTGAAAGAGAAAAAAATATAAAGGAAAGAGAGAGAAATAAAAAGAGAGAAAAAATGACATGACATAAACCCAATCGAATCAGACGCAATGTTCGCCCCAAATGCCCCAATCCCAATTCGTTGCAAATGACATTTTTTGGTTTTCCTTTTACTATACACGACCCCCCCAAACCCCGGCTCCGAAGAAAACACATCAGGACGCCGTTCCCTTGCCTTTATCCCCAGTAGAATCGTCAAGGGTCGGGGCCCGTCGTCGTTCGGATCCCAGTGCGTGTTGGGGATGGTGATGCTGATGGTGGGTGTGGTGGCTGCCAACCGCCTTCTCCTGGCGGGCCTGGTCGATGGCGGACCGTTGGGCGATGCTATCGTCGTGGCTCTTCCACACGATGTTGGTGTCGGCCGGGAAGCCCAGCAAACGCTTGATCGTTTCTCTGGAAAATCAGATATTAGCATCGCCACATGGGAAACAGCGGGGAGAGAGAGAGAAGGGAGAAGAGCATACCTGATCTTGATGTTGCGCCCGCCATCGATCCGCGTCCACACACTCAGCACATCCTCCCCACTCCGCACCGAGAGGACCGCACCGCAGACCTCATCGCCGGCCTCGGCGAATTGGTCCCCCACCATGGCCAGCAGGAGATCCTCCCAATACCGGTCTGCCACCCCTTTCTTCAACCGCACGATCCATTTCCCGCCCTTCTTGTTGGCCTCATCCTCCCATACCGGACGGATGCCCTTCTTGAAGATGTGGTAGTCGGAGACGGTGGGGAGGAGGGAGGGTCTCTTGAGGTGCGAGTAGACGGACCAGAAACTCTCGACCGAGTGTATGGAGGCGAGGGGGATGGTGGACTTTTCGTAATCCGAGTATTTCGGGGTGGGTGGGCGGTACCAGATGACCCAGGTGGACTTGAGGGCGTGCTGGCGGGCCGGGGCCGGGGCGGCGCCCTTGGGCTTTGCGGCCTCGGTCAGATCCGACTCGGACGGGGTGTCCCGTTTTTCGCCGGGGGTCTTGGGGGCCCCGAAGGAGGCGAAGGCGCCGGAACCCAGGCCAAATGCGGAGGAAGCGTTTGTCGACGGGGAGGAGACGCCGCCGGAGAGGGGGGACAGGGCGTTGAAGGGATTGGATCGACCGTGGGAGCTATCCGGGCCAAAGCGCTTGGATGAACGGGGGAGTTCGACTCTGGCGCCACCGTCTTTACCGTCGGTCCCGGTCATGGACAGGGACAATTTGGAAGAGCTGCAAGGGCACGTGGACGGTTAGCTGATGGGCCCCTCCACGGAAGAGCAGAGGGAGGTGTGCGCCACGTACTTGGATCGACGAGTCCAAAGGTTTGCGTTATCCATCGAGATAGCTTCTGAGACAGCTCTGGAAGCGAGCGGTCATCAGGGAGGGAACGGAGGGAGGGCGGCGGACGGGTTTGCAGAACTCAAAGAACCGACCAACTTTTCAAGTGTGCTGTATGCAGGGGAAAATTAAATAAATAAAAAATAAAAATAAAAATCAAGGGCAAGAAGCGTGGCAATCCAACAGACGATAAAAAAAGGAAAAGAAAAAGAGAGAAAAAAAGAGAGGAAGAAAGAAGAGAAGAAGGCCAGTAAAGAAGAAGAATTTAGACCAGCGACAAATTAGGAAATTTCGGAGGAGAAGAAGGACTCGTGATCGTGATCGTGAACGTTAAGGATGGAGGGTCGAGTTGGTAGTGGACGTGGGGAGGGGAGAGAGGGGGAAGAGATGGAAGGGAAGATGGATCCCAGGTCCTGAGTCGAGAGGCAAACAGGGAGAGTCTGCGAGGTACAAGACTTGACGAGGAAGTATGTATCGGGGTGGGTAAGTCAATAGGTATGGATATGAGGGAGTATGTATAAGAGAGAGAGAGAGAGATCTGTTACAGTTGTATGTCAGGAAAATAACGATGAAAACCGACTTGCAGCAACAGAGCAAAGAAAGTCCAGTGACTTAACCAGCTCCACCTTTTTTTTCCATTTTATTTCACCAAAAAGTCCCCCACCAATCACATCCCTCCTCGCCCTCTCCGCCCGCATCATCATTCTTCCACCTCCTCTCCATTTTTTTCCTCCTTAAATACTCTGCTTTCCCTTCCCTCTCTCTCTCTTTTTCTTTTTTTTTTTTTCTTCCACAAAACCCAAGACCACCAACTCAAATCATCGCCAGGTGTTAGCTTTGTTTCTTTCCTACTGCCCTGACGATTCCGATGAGTGTGTCGAGAGTAACCCCCACCCGCTTCTAAAACCATCATCACGAGGGCTTGGTTTTCCCGGCTCCATGATGCGGTGATGACCTGATAGTCGGGACAATCTTTTAAGAAAGATCCCTTTGAATATATATTGGAGATTGGAGGCTATAGCTATAGCTGTGCTATACCTATAGCTAGCTAGCTAGCTATACGAAGGATAATTCAACCAATGAAGACAATGACGTTATTGAAAAAATCAAACCCGTAGACCAACATAAGCCGGTGCGTCAACATCTTCCCTACCACCGCACCTTCACCCTGGCACAAGAAGAATCATCATGAGGAGAGAAAGAATTACTCAATTCTCTGGTAATCCGAAAACTCAACCGCGTCAACTACACTGGCCTGGGAACTCAGGCCACGACGCTGGTCGAGTATGAGTTTAAAAAGGCAAAGTCTGATTTGATGACAATTTCTGCTTGTGATTGGTTTATCTATCTGTGCGATCATGGTTTGCTGACGATGGGTGGTCCGATTGTAGGGAATGTATACCTAGTTAGTATACTGTGTTTCGGCTGGTACCTGTACCTATCGAACATCGATTCGATATATACGACTGGTACACTACCTAGTACCTTAGGCATCAAGTACTATCAAGATGAAAAGAGGTTAGGTTGGCTATAATTTATGCCAGATCTGTATAAGGTAAAACAGACTCTACAGGCATATCGCCTAGATACCAACCAACCCTACCCCAACCCCACCCATAACCTCAAATAATAGATACCCTCAACCCATATTTCAAATGCAAGTGTGTGCTTTTCCGCTACAAAAATTCATCCCGATGCGTAGATCGTCCATTGCGACAAATGTGCTAGATGTAAACGTAATGTCCAAAGAGGCCTATCCCATCATAGGGCATCCCGAAGATGTCTGATGTGTCAGGCTAGAAGCTCCGTAATGCACCCGTACCACGCTTTTGAAATTCAAGAAAGATGCGATGCCAATTATAGAGGGTCAGGGTCAGGGTCAGGGTCTACGGCATAACAGACGGATCCTCCGGCCTCGCACGCTTCATCTCGCGTTCACTCGCCGGGACCAACAGACCCGCCTTGCGCTTCTCCTTGTCCCGCTGGTATTCCGCCCGGCGCTCCTTGTCCTTTTCCTTGCGCAGGGCTTTGGACTCGAACTCGTGCCAGTCGCCCACGATGTTTTCCAGCCTAGAGTAAACCAGTTAGTACGAGAAATCATTATGATCTTCATAGGGGAAGGACTCACTCAATAGCCTGCTGGGGCTGGGGCTCTTCCGACATAAAGTAGGGGTGCTGAAGGACTTGCTCCGCAGTCGGCCGTTTGGCAGGATCGTATTGAAACACCTGGGACACCATGTCCAACGCGGCAGGCGACAGAACCTCGCGGTACGTTTCTTCGAAAACCCTCCTCTTGCGCTCCGTCGGCCGCATCAGCTCGAACCATGGCATCTCCACGAGATCGGGCCACTCTGCCCGAGTCGGTGTCCCGAGCGAGTTGTACAGCTTGTCCAGTTGGCTGATCTCCCCGCCTTCGCCTGGGAAAACGGCCTTTTTCGTGAACATCTCGACGTAGACGCAGGCTGCACTCCAGACATCCACGGCGGGGCCGTACCGAGTTTCGCCGAGAAGGAGCTCGGGTGGCCGGTACCATATGGTGATCACGCGATTCGTGTAGTCGGCCTGGCGGCTCTTGGAGAAGAACCGGGCTAATCCGAAGTCGGCGTACTTCAGCTGCCCTCGGTTGCTGATTAGGATGTTGGCAGCTTTGATGTCACGGTGAAGGATGCCCCGGTGGTGAAGGTAATTCAGCCCCGCAAACATCTGTTTCGCAAGGTCCTTCTTATGAGCGGCCGTCAAGGCAAAGGTCGGGTGGTTGATGAGACCAGTCAAATCGTGGGAGAGATATTCAAACACCATGAAACACTCATTCCTCTCAACCATGACCTCCAGCAGACTGACCACGTTGTCGCTGCGGAGGTGCTGAAGCAACTTAATCTCGCGGACGGCGGTCACAGGAAATCCGTCTTTTTCGCCTTCCATCCGGATCTTCTTCAGGGCCACCTTCTGTTCGGTATAGACATGGATCGCCTTGAAGACCTTTCCGTAGGTACCAGCGCCGATCACCGACTCATTTCCAGGCTTCCGGAAATAGACAGAATCGGACTTGGCGAATTCTTCAGGCAGGGTCGGGCGCGGCTTGGGCCGAGTGAGGATCTTAGGCGGTTTCGGCGGCTCTGGAGAACGTTCGGGATGCCGTTCGGGACGGTAGTCGGGTCGGCGGTCACCACCGCGTCGTCTATCGTGGCGATTATCGAACCGACGATCGTCTCTCCGAGAATCACGTCCACCTCTCGGCGCATCACGCCCACCCCTAAACTCACGGAAACCGCGCGAATCACGAAAGTCTCGGCGGTCATTTCTCCCCTTCTCGCGATCTCTGTCTCGCTTCGCGTCCCACTCCCTATCTCGGTCGCGTTCGCGGCGCTCCGATCGTGGATCGGGCCTAGATTTGGGCGGAGGCCCCAAGGGCATCCTACTGCGAGGAGGCTCAGCAACCCGCGATTGCGGCTCTCTCGCGAGCATTCTTTGAGCCAGATCGGGTACTGGCTTGGGAGCAGACGTTGTGTTCGGCTTCGCCTTGATGGCAAAGCTGATTTTGCCCCCTTTGTTCGGTGCGGCTGATGAACCGGGTTGCTGCTGCTGTGCAGCCGGCGCAGGTCTCTCAGAATCACCATTCTCTGATGCGGGTCTTGGTCCTTCCCCTTCGTTTTCGAAAAATTGTTTGAAAGGTTTGAGTGCGCTCTCACGTTCGTCGGGGCCATAAGGCAGCTCGTCACCTGCGGGAGCCGTAGGCGGTGGCGGAGGACTTAGTGAAGAACGGTGGCCCATGCGTGGACTGCGAGGACCTCCTCGACCACCCCTATGGAAGCCACCCCGACCACGTGACGACGGTCCGTTGTTATAACCTTGTGGGCCAGGGCCAGAGAATCGACGGTCGCCCCCATGGCCTTGATAGCCTCCACGGTACCCCGAGCCAGGGCGATGTGACGGACCCGAGTATGAGTTTGACGAGCTTTGATGTTTATAGTACTGGCTCTGGGGTTTGTTTGCCGCATAATTATCCTGCCAGTATGGGGGGGAATTACTGTATCACCTGATATTAGCCAACGTTGGTGAAGGAAATTTTGTCAAGGAAACTGACCCAGCTGGTTCGTGATAGGGAGGCTGCGGAGAGCCGTAATTTGAGTTGGTGGGGGAATAACGCGGGGATTTTGAGTATCGCCCAGAGTCTGCATGCATCCGAGAGGATCGGGGATGGTGGTCATGTCCTTCAGGGCCGTGCACTTCCTGTCTCGGAAAGGAGTCATCCATAGCATCTCCATCGCCAGATATACTAGCATTATCCGCATCAAATCCCGACATGCGACGACGAGGTGGTGTCAGCGACCTAACCGAGGAACCACCCGTGGATCGGACAGGGTAATTTGAATGCACGGAGGGATCACCCCTCGAGTTCCTGCGTGATATTACCGAGTACCTAGAGTCATCCGATCGGAAGGAATCCCGGGACATAGATCGGTAACGAGACCCTTCTTCAGCATCACCCTCCCGGTAAGGACTGTGGAATCGCCGACGAGGGTACGTATAAGACTTGGCACCACGGACAGGAGACCGAGAGCGCCTTTGGAGGGAGGAGTTCCGACGACCCCCGCGCCGATCTCGCCCTCGCCGGGGATCCCCCCGAGACCTTCCACGGCCTGGGAATCGGCCCCTTCGTTCACCTCTGAACGGGGGGCGACGATGCGGTTGGTAGTGAGGATGATGGCGATAAGGATTCGGGGAGGGACTCCGTGTCCTCTTCCGTTTAGAGGGAGGTGCCGACGGAGAAGCGTCTCTTAGATAGTTTCTCTCAAACTCGGGAGAAGGACGCGAACCCATGTCCGAGTGTTCGGCATGGGTAAAGGGACGATGGCGACCAGGGGAGCCACGGGCTGATGCGGCGCCGGGGGAAAATTCACGTCGTGGTGGAAGGGGTTGATCGTTGTCGAATGGGGGGAAAGGACGCGGTGGCGGCGACCGTAAGGCGTGATCGGATCTGCCTTCTTTTGGTCGGCGACCACGGCCTCTGTCGCGAAATGTGTCTCTCTCTCGGTCATGGTAAGAACCACGCGGCCTGTGCCTATCCCGATTCCTCTGGTCTCTAGGGTCGCTGGCACCTCTCCACTGATCATTCAGTGGACTCCTATGGGACCCAGCCATGTAAACTCCTCCAGCAGCATCGGGTTTGAAAATAAAAAAGGATGTAGGACAAGGTCGACAGAGAGCAATCAAAACAGCCCACTGTTTGATAGAAGTAGTCGCATGGAGGTAGGTGGTAGCGTGTTATAATTTGCTGTGGAGTCTATCGTTCCTCTAGTCAAGTAGGCGTGTCGGCCGCGTCCAAGGAAGACTTTCTGTTCGGGAGTGGGAGGGGATTGGGTGGTGCGGAAGGCCGGTTTTTCCGGGGCGGATCGTAAAGGTTGGGGAGATGGAGAGCCTGAGGTATGAGGGAAATGAACTGCAGTGTTAGAGCATCATCGTTGAGAAAGAGAGCAACCGGAACATCAAAAAGATAAACCTCCTTCAGGGATGACGCACCTGGGTTTAGATATTTGTCCGTTTGTGCATTTCTCCTTCTGTTGCTCCCTCCTTTTTCCTTTATGTTTTATTGCCACTTGAATACCCGATCAATAAGGTACGATATACTAATCGCCATTGCCTGGGTGGTAAGGCAGTGGCGCGCGGGGAGGAAGGGCTCTACTAAGTTGCTAAGACACAGTTACTTAGCCGGTGTGGGAAAGAAGAAGCTAGCCGCCCAGTGGTGATGACTGGACAGGTGGACCAGGCAAGATCTCAACTTTCCACCTGATCTGTAAGATCAACCCTCTTCCTCTTGTTCCCTCTTGTTCCCTCTTTTTTTTTTCGCCTGCCAGTGCGGCTCTACGACGAATCTGGCCTCGAATTCGGTGGGTAGGGACATCCCCGTCTGCCACGAGGCTGGGCGCGTTACCATCAGCCTCAGCTCAGCCCTCCTGCGTGATGTATGTCCCTCTCGGGGTGGAAGGCAAGTCGTAAGTAGCTTTCAAGCTGTTGCGGCCTTGACTTCAAGGCTTAGATGTGGGCTTGGAGTCAGCCAGAGGGTGCCCTTTTCTCGACTTGATATCAGCTTTTCGCAGTGTTCACGATGTCGGGTAGCTGGAATGTCTGGTAAGACAACGTGCAGTTTTCCTTCTTGCCCGTGGAACTTCCGTTGCCCTTCTTTTAAAGTTCTCCCACTTGCTTCATACCCCCTTGCCGCCGTAAAATTGTATGTTCTTGTCACAAGTCATCGGGCGAACAGCGCCCCTTTGCATCAGAAACAAGTAGACCTATCTACGGAAACCAGAAGCCGTGCTTGAATAAAAACCAAATCAAAGGATAGCCAAAGGCTGAAGGTCCAGGCATGCGGGGCCCACGGGAACAATATCCTGACCCCGTCGGTCTCACCCATGAGCCCATGCGACTCCTCTGGTAGCGCAGGATGTGCGGGGTCGTAAATGGTCACGGTATCCTTGGGTGAGCTCCGAAAGCAACGACGTCAATAGTGTACGCTGGTTTCCAGTATCTCTGGGAAACAGTCGAGGTCGGAGTGACAACGCGACGATTCCCCAATAGACCCCCAACGGCCAGGGAATGAAACACGGGGTCCAGTAGTAGGACACGCCTTGTTTTTACTCAAAAATGTTTCAAGCCTCGAGACAAAAACAAGCATCGCATTCAACCAAAGTGCAGCAGCGAGGCTTTTCGCAAGCCCTCACACAAGGTCGACCATATCACCTGCGGCGAGAATTCTAACAACCCACAATATTTCCGAGTGCGCCGAACCGGTAGCCGATTATTTAAACAAGCCATGACACGTTTTGATCCTGGAGAGGGTTCCCCCAAAGGTTGGAATCTGCGAGGCGTACAAACTTCCATACTGCGAGTGTCGGACGACAACAGACACCCGTTAACGACTCAACGGCCGACCCCACAATGATATTGTCGGTTAGTGGACAAAGTAAGTCTATTAATGCAAGATGCAGGTCCTGGTATAAATCCACCATCACTAAGTGTACCAAAGCTCCCAAGAATGTACCCCATAGTCCAAAGGCGGTGGTGTCTGACGTGTGCACGAGTGGGCGGGTGGGGGATGCGAGGTCAATCAACTAGGCAGATTGAGTCTGGTGAGAACAAGTCGTGTGCGTGAGACGATCGCAAGGTGTCTGGATCAGATGGTTACAAATAAAGCCGAGTAGACGTATATGAATTAGAGTAAATAACGAGGGGGGATAAAGGAAGTTGAACAATATCCCCAGAGCAGCCACACCTCGCAGCGACGAGTGGTTGTCGTTGGGTTTGGATGACCCCAAGTTCTGGGAGTTTCACTACGGGCGAAGTCGCTGTACGTGCACGTGACCAGGAAGGAAGGAAAGTATTCATTTTAGTGCCTAAGGCATAAATGTAGTATCAATTCAATGTACATGTATGTACAGTTCCCTCAATTTCACAACAATCCATTAATAGCAAATTCCTTTATTTCACCCGCCTGATGTTCAGCTTCTGGAAATTTTCTTAGTCATACATATCGAATGCACTCAGGGCTACGAGACTTAAGCCATGACCTAAACGTCCCTTTCTGCTGCCGCCCAGGACTGTTCCAGTATCACCCAATCCATCCAATCCTCCCCCGTGCCTCTAACTGCTTGACGCATTTCCTCGTCCCATGTAGCATCTCTAGAGTCAGGAGTGGTGTAGGGCTGTGTATTGCCGAGAAGAAAAATGTCACGATACATAGTCTGCATATGCAGTCCTCTTCTGACCATTTCGCGCACGACGAGTTCGTCCGGGCGCTGCAGTATCTGTGCTCCGTCTGTTGGACGATACCCTTCGTACTGGAGCAGCCCCGCCTGTTCAGAAGGCACGCCAAATATATACACGCCGGGCTCGCGCTGCTCCAAAGTGTACTGCCATCGGACGAAAGCGTCGACAACTTCAAACTGGTTCGTCAGCGCAGTGTTTGTGAGAACTCTCCACAGGAACATCAGACTGGGCTGCGCCATGACGAGACGCCGAAGAGCGCCGTTCGGCTTGTTGTGCCGCCTTCTCAGACAAATGTCGAGCTGGACGAGGAAGAACATCGCGAAGAAGAAGTCGATGTCCTCCCACAGTCTTCGATTCTGGATTGTCCACTCGCGACGCCGGTTGTCAGGTATGTCCATGAGGAACCACAGCTTTTTGATGACCAGTGTACAGGGCGTGGGCAGCCTGAAGCCCTCTTGTTCCATCAAGTGGACGATATCGTTCACGACTGCTTCCCTGTGGCGGACCATGGCCAACCAGCGGAACGTGGGTATCGGATGCAACTCTACACGTCGGTTAACAGGGTGATAGACATTCAGAGCAAACTTTCCCGGGATGAAGAGCCAGTAGTAGCAGAGGTACGGGAATACACGTGCCGATTGGGGAGCATTCAGCCGGGCGTGGCGGAGGGTAAACCTCGGGTAGTTCTGGTTGAACATGCTTTGGCAGGATCTGGAGACGGAATACAGATTGACCAAATCCTGCACGTCCAGGTAGTCGGTAATCATCTGAGCCACATCTAGGCATCGGCATAAAGCCTCTAACAAGTCGAACCCGTTGTGTGGAGCCTCGATGCGCTGCCCAGTTCCACCTCCAGGTGCTGAAGGTCCGTAGCCCGCAAAAGCTCCTTGTGCGTACAGAGTCGATCCATCGCCCTGAGCCTGAGGCCAGTTCATATTAACAGTAGGCTGGCCCCTGGGCCTAAAGGGTATTTGCCCCTGGATGTAGCCATTGCCCGTTCCAGGCGCGGGGGGCTGAGTGGCAGTGGTATGTTCATCAGAACCATCCCAAGGACCGCGTCTCACAACAACACCTGAGCTTAACATCACCGATCTACGTGGACGACGAGATCCTGAGGATACGGTACGCCTAGGTGCAAATCCGCTATGACCCGACAGTGGTCTAGCCGCACCAAGTGGAATCCGATGGCCATATGCAGCAATCAAGCCAGGAGCAAAACCACCAGGTCTGTGGATTCGGCCTTGTGCCGTCTGCGGCGGATGAAACACTCCGTTGAACCTCGCTGGCTGGATGTGTGGCGCCATGACTCCTCTATTCGAGACTTGCACAACGGACGGGGCATTCGGGTTGTTGACAAAGCCTGACTGCTGGTATTGTGGACCAGGGTAAGGTACCTGGCCCGTCATGGGAATCATGTGCTGGGGAGGGATTCCGGCGAGGATCTGCTGTCTGATCAGGTAGGCCTGCAGTGCATTTGCGGGCGTCATCTCCACTCTCCTGGGTCCCGTGTCTCTCTGTGGGGGATTGGGGTTAGGATTTGGGGTCACGCTTGCATGAGTCTGCACTCCAACAGAAGTGTCTATCGTAATTCTGGTAGGGCGTGATAGACGCACCCCTTCTTCGTTTCCTGGAGGGTCGGAGCTTGTACCCCTAGAGCTTGGAGCAGGAGCTTCTCCGTGGGACATGACGGGAGGACGCTCCTGGGTATTGTGAGAGGCATTCTCTCTTGGGTCTTGAGAAAAGAGAAGCAGGGACTCTGCGGCGTCACGTTCTTCGTCTGGATCCATTTCGGTTCCAGTCTGAGAGTTCCCAGACACACCTGGTTAGAAATATCTTTTAGGAATACTTTGACAAGGAACCCTCGCTGGCAGCCAACAATCAGATGGTAAAACTTTCTTTGTTTGCAAATGACGATGGCTTTGTTGTCCCTTTTGATAAAAGCAGGTTGTTGGAAGCGTGTGTCAGATGAATGGTATGACTACAGGTACGTGTTTAAATAGGCAACTAGACACTGTGGAATGAAATAGGTAAAGGAATAAAAAGGTGACCAACGCGTGCAGTGAATGGATAGAAACATGGAGCCTACAGCGAGTCACAGCCAAAGATGGACTGCTAGGGCTGTATTTCCTGCAGTGACTGTCTGTCAGTGACTGCCGTACATATCTACGGAATGATAATATTGTCCCAATGTTCCGGCGAGGACAAGGATTGAAGGACCCACATTATATAGCCAATATATAACTGCTTAAAGTTTTACTGTTTCGATGAATATACTTGAGAGAATCACGGAATATGCATATATTAGTTGAAAGTATACACGAGTATGGTAAGTGATGTTGAGTATCCTTCACAAGAATCCACTAGGATTGGAAGTGATGTCGATGGATATCTGAAGTAGAACCAGAGTCCAAGGTAAAGAAAGAAAAGTGAGTGTTGAAAATGTCACCAGAGGGTATGCAAGTGCAGTATATAAATCCAAGTCGTCCACCACAACCAGGCAAGTCCAAAAACTGGAGCCCGCAACGACATTTCCCCTGCAGAATCCCTCTGTTGGATATTTGCCACATCTATCCATATCTTGCAAATTTTCAACATAAATCATTGAACACAAGCTGTGTCTGCATGACGGGTATGAAAAGCAGGGAGGGCCATATGAGTCATCGAATCTATACAGGTTGAGTCTGCACTCAACAAAGAAAAGGGGAAGGAAAAAAAATAGAAAACAAGAATAGAAAATAACAGAGCAGCCGCTCACATGGCCAGGGTAAATCCAAAACATCAAACGTCAGAACCTGTTGAAAGGTAACCACCGTAACTCCATCATATCATATGTTCCACCATAAAATAGGGGACGAAATGTATGCATCACACATCATAAGTTGAATAGGCTTAGCCATTATCTTCGGTGGAGAAGGGTCAAGAACTCTTCTCTAGTCTTTGCGCTAGAGCGCATGCACCCAAGCATACAGCTAGTAGTGGTAGTGCTGCTGGTCTTTTGCACACCACGCATCACCATGCAGAGATGCGAGGACTCCATCACAACACCAACACCGAGCGGCTTCAATACGTCGGAAATGGCAAGGGCAACTTGTTTCGTCAAGCGCTCCTGCACTTGGAGTCTCCTGGAGAACATCTCCGCCAGACGGGCCAATTTGGAGAGACCCAGAACCCGTCGGTCAGGAATATACCCGATATGCATCTAAGAAAAGGCCCATTAGCAATGGATCTTGTGTCCACAGAATGAATGTGTTGCTCACCTTTCCCGTGAAAGGAACCATATGGTGCTCGCAGAGAGAGAATACTTCAATGTCCTTCACGATGACAAGCTCGTCATGGTCCTCGTGGAAAACAGCCCCATTAACAAGGTCACGGACATTCTCCTCGTAACCTTTGGTGAAGTAAAGCATAGCCTTGGCATATCTCTCGGGTGTCTCCCGCAGTCCCTCTCTTTCGGGATCCTCACCAACGCACTCCAGGATAGTTCTGACGGCTCCGGCCAACTTCTGAACACGATTATCAAACTCTTCCGGCGACGACTCCAGGCGCGCTCTCGTTCCGGGGCCTATTGGTCACAAGTCAGGATATGAGACGGATTATGACGATGGCGAGACAGTATTCAAACTTACACGGCCAGCTCAGACCATCGAAATCGATAGGAGGGAACAAGGTGTAGGGGCTTAATGAGCGGCTGACGGCTGCCGATGGTGTCACGTCGCGCCCCTCCTCTCTAGGCTCGCGGGCTTGTTCAGTTGCGGCGGGAGGTCTGGTAAATATTTAATCAGGGAAAAATCCCCAAACCAAAGCATGTGATCAACCTACTGCACAGCACCTGCATTCTCCGCCACTTCCTCGACATGGTTTGTCTGCTCGACCGCCGGGTGCGGTTCGGCTCCCTCGAACTCGACGGGAATCTTCGGCGCAAAAGAAGAACGAATCGATTCGGCTCCCTCGAACTCGACGGGAATCTTCGGCGCAAAAGAAGAACGAATCGAGGAATTGAGAGACTCGCGCTCGCGAGCATCACGAGAATTCATCGACGGATTCAGAGCCGATCCCCCATTCAGCAAACGAGACGGGATAGCCGATTTGGGCTTGGGGCCTGGGCGAGGAGGCGATCCGGAACCCATGATGGAGGGGTATCGGAGGGGTTAAGGAAGTAATAAAAATACAGGGCAAGATGCGGGTATCAAAGTAGAAATGGTCCAACGTTTGGGGTAGACAAAAGAGGATAATGAGAATTTCACGACGTCCAGAACATGACAGGACGATCGACGTAACGGTTCGAAATCTGGGGGCGAGAAATGTTGCGGATGGAGTTTGGAAAAAAAGTTCAACGGGGCAAAGCCGTGCTCAATAAGCCCCTCCGATACCGACGCCGATCGAGACTTTTCTCCGAACTGATCTCATCGTTTTCACCGCCTTGGCTTCTCCGCCACTCGTTCCCACTACTCCGTTCAGTTCATGATCCATCATTAATATTGAAAAGGTAGCTATAGTAATATTATCTACAGAGTAGTGGGAAAGACATATGATGCTACAGGGTATTGTCTACTGGTATAACACCTTTGCTGAATACTAATACTGCCAAGTGCTACTCTAAGATGAGTCGCAGCATGTTTGCCGCCAAGATATGTCCCCACGATGAGCCATGCAAGTAACTCTGGGCTTGGGTCGATTGCTGCAGCGAACCGCAAGAATTCCACCTAAATGGGCCTAGCTCAGCTAGCAATAAATGTTGCATTTTGGATCGTGAGGAACAGTGAGAAACACCAATTGCGTGGCGTGTCTAGTCAAGCTGTTGTGGCGGTTGTCCCCATGAGTATATACTACCTACCTATTTCCCCAACAGTACACGGAGACCATTACTAGGATTGTAATACCGTTAGTGTATGTCTGGCTTGTCCTACTTGATAGGAGCTAGGACTACATATCTGCCTTTGTGAACGCAATTCTATGGAGCAGATTCGCTGGCAATAACCTCCGAGCTGTATAGCAAGATGTCTACATCGACATAGGAAAAACCGTATTTTTGGTATAGAAATCATTTTTGCAATACATTCATACAGTAAACAAGTCCAACCATGGCATATGCATCAAATCCTTTCAACGCCTCTCCATCGAAGACTATCTTATGGCTCCAGCTCTTCGGTCGGCACGTCCTCCAAATCCTTACCGACAATCGCATCAGCGACCTTCCAGACCTGTAGAAGGTTGTCTTCGGCAGCCGAACAGAGGACCCATGGGTCATTAAGGTTCCAGGTGAAATCGGAGATCCGGTTAGTGTGGCCGCCATGCATGAAGAGACTGAGTAGTGTTAGCGAGTGTAGTCGACAGAAGAGACCGAAAGACGGGGGAAAGGAAAGAAGAAAGAAAAACATACAGCTCAGGTGGCCCATCCTGTGCATCCTCGGGGGTTTGCTCCTCGCCGGCCCGGCTAAGATCCCAGAACATGATCTTTCGATCGTAGCTTGCGCTCGCCAACACGGACTCCTCAAACGGATGCCACGAGATGGTTGTGACCGAGTCGCTATGGCCTTCAAGGGAGTGAAGCTTCGATTTGAGGTTGCGCAGGTCCCAGAGACCGATCGTTTTGTCCGCAGACCCGGTGGCCAGGACGGTTTCAGCAGCGGGATTGAAGGAGACCGAGTTGATGGCATCACGATGCTGGCCGTCCGCAACGGCCGCCGCACGGTTCGTCTCGGGCTCACGGATGTCAAGGATTTGAAGGGTGATATCATCAGACACCGTGCCAATGAGGGAAGAGTGAAGAGGGTGGTATTGGACATCATTGACAATCGATGTGTGATGGGTGTAGGTTCTGGCGGGCTTGAGCGCTTTGTTGCCCTTCTGGAAGGTCGTCAAATCCCTGATTGGAGTCAGTCGACCGATTTCACACAACAAAAAGTACCCCTGAAAACCCACCAAAGGCGAACAGTCTTGTCCTCGCTACCGGTAACCAGATGTCCCGCAGAGTGAGGGCTCCAGCTCAAACCAAATCCTTCCTGCGTGTGACCGAGGAGCTCCATCTGAGGGTTGACAGTTCCACTGGGCAAGCTAGGGTGCTTCGAGCGGTCCCAGATCATCACTCGTCCATCGGTGCACATGGTGGCGATTACATTGGGGTTCTGTGGTTGGTATCGTGCCTTGTTCACCTCCCCCTTGTGATCGATCTTCTGCACAATGTTGAACTTGATCTCCATTGGAGCCTTCTTGGAGCTGCCACCATACCCTCCAATTTCCCCGCGTTCCTCATCGTAGTCATCGGGGTTAGGGGCGCTCGGGTTCGGAAGTTGGACCTGGGCAATCTGCAAATAGTTGGGTGCATCGCTCGACGTGTGGGTGCCAATCAGCAGGCGATGTGTCGAATACGGCTTGTCCGGAATCCTACGCTGGTTAGTTTGCGCAACGACCACCAACCAGGGTAGAGTGGACAAACTCTTGCTTATCGGGCAGCCATTGTGTCGTAAGAGTCGGCCATTCTAACGCGGTGCTGAGGATCATGTCGTAAAGGAATGGTGCGTTTTTCTTCCATGTTTTGTATTCTGATCGGTCGGTCTTAGTCTTCAACTCGGGACATATCATGGGATTCGTCGGCCTAAATACCTTCGTTGATCACCTTCTCCTCTGTCCGCTCCTCCTCCTGCTCCTCCTGCTCCTCAATGAAACCTAGATCCCATACAGATTAGAGTGTCTCCTGAAAAGCGGTTGGAAGATGGTCGCACCGTCGTCATAAGGCTGGTCCATGATGTGGGTGTATTGTGTGATTGAGGCCGAATGCAATGCAAATCAAGGATATCTTCAAAGGGAAGAAAGTCAACAAGTGACAAATACAAGAAACCACCGACAGCAGCGAGGTTCTGAATTTTGCGAGTCCAGCAAAGCAGAGCTACCAACAGCCACAAGCTCTCGCAGAAACGTCGCGCGACTTTGCCGGGCAGCGCGTTAATGAGCGCATATCCCACTAAGCCTGTTCGGGTAGGGTGGTCTTGGCACATCGACATGGGGAGATGAGGCGAACGTGGAGTCATTCAACTCCCACTCATCTTTGCGGATTCAATCGGCGCTGTCGTCGCCCCAGACTTACCTTCCTTCTCATCTCTCCTACTTGATTTGCTTGGATTACCCTTTCTTCCGCTTATATTTGGTTTTGAACACTTCTCTCCCTCTGTTTTTATCTTAAGAATTTTCGTTGCTTCGTCTACGGCCGGTTTATGAGTGTTGCCTCCGAGCTCCGATTCTTAGCGTTCTGACGAATACCACGACTGACTACGATCCCTCCATCTGTTACTCGTTTGATTTGAGTCCGGTTAGATTATTGTGCAGTCATCATGGGTGTTCCCAAATTCTTCCGCTGGCTGAGCGAGCGGTATCCCGCCATCTCGATGTTGATCGCGGAGAACCGGATACCGGAATTCGACAACCTATACCTTGATATGAATGGTATTATTCATAACTGCACCCACAAGGATAGCGATTCTCCTACATTTCGCATGACGGAGGATAAGATGTTCATTGCTATATTCAATTACATTGAACATCTGTATGGAAAGATTAAGCCAAAGAAGCTTTTCTTCATGGCGGTGGATGGTGTTGCTCCTCGCGCCAAGATGAATCAACAGCGCGCGCGGCGATTCCGGACGGCTTTGGATGCTGAGACAGCTCAGGAGAAGGCCATCAAGCAAGGAATCGAGATGCCTAAAGAAGATGCTTTCGACAGCAATTGTATTACACCCGGTACGGAGTTCATGGCGAAGTTGACGGAGCAGTTGAAATATTTCGTCAGCAAGAAGGTGTCGGAGGATAAAGATTGGCAAGGAGTCGAGATTGTACTGTCGGGCCATGAGGTCCCTGGTGAAGGCGAACACAAGATCATGGAATATATTCGGCGTTCGAAAGCACAGCCTGAATATCATGCGAATGTCCGCCACTGTCTCTACGGGCTTGATGCGGATCTGATCATGCTGGGGCTGCTGAGCCATGATCCCCATTTCTGTCTGCTGCGTGAAGAAGTGACCTTTGGTCGTCAAACGCAGAAGAAGCCGAAGGAGCTTGAACATCAAAATTTCTACCTCCTGCATTTGAGCATGGTACGAGAATACTTGGAAATGGAATTTCAGGATTTGGAAAAAGAAGGTGCTGTCGGGTTTGACATGGAACGAGTTATTGATGACTTCATCTTGATGGCTTTCTTCGTTGGAAATGACTTTTTACCTAATCTGCCTAATCTGCATATCAACGAGGGCGCCCTGGCATTGATGTTCAAGATCTACAAGGACATCCTGCCGAAGATGGGCGGCTACATCAACGAAGGGGGAGAGATCCACATGGACCGACTAGGCACTCTCCTCGACGGTCTGAGCGATGTGGAGTATCGCTTCTTTGAAGCCGAATACTCGGATGCGGGTTGGATTAAAGCCAAGAGAAATGGCGCGGAAGGTTCCTCGGGAGCCCAGGAGAAGCCAAGGGGTCTTACCATCACACCACAGCAGAAGACCATGCTTAAGGACGTCAAGAAGTATGTTCTGAATCGACCTGAAAAGGCGGAACAGACAAACCCTCTTGACTTCCCACCTACGCTGGCCGCTCGTGACCGGAGGTTCGTGGAGCAGCTGGCAGACGATCTCCGGCTGCCATGGACCACTGTCCCGGATGAACACGGCGAGCGTTTCATTAGGCTCCAATACCCGGAACGCGAAGGGGAGGACAGTGACGAGGAAGACGAGGAGGCTTCCATGGCCGTTCAACGTATCATCCGGAAGTATGAGAACGCCAAGGTCGAGGAGTTGTCTGCAGAAGACGCCCAGAAGGCTGCGGAGAAGAAATACCATGAAAAGTTCCAGGAATGGAAGGATAAATACTACGTCACCAAGTTTGGTTGGGGACTGGACAACCACGAAGAAATGAGGAAGTTGACGGAGAATTACGTGCAAGGTCTGCAGTGGGTGCTCTACTATTACTACAGGGGCATTGCGTCCTGGCCGTGGTTCTTTGCCTATCATTATGCACCCATGATTTCTGGTCAGTATTGGCATGCCCTACATTGTCATTGAAAAGAATTCCGTTACTAACAGCGTGTAGACGTGAAGAAAGGCCTGAAAGCAGACACCAACTTCCAGCTGGGCCGTCCGTTCCGACCTTATGACCAACTGATGGGTGTGCTCCCCGATCGAAGCAAGAAAATCGTGCCAGTGGCATATCACGATTTGATGACGTCGCCAGAGTCCCCAATTATCGACTTCTATCCTCGGGATTTTGAGTTAGATATGAACGGAAAGAAGATGGAGTGGGAAGCAGTTGTCAAAATCCCTTTCATCGACGAACGCCGTTTGCTGGACGCTCTGGCCACGAGAGAACACCTCTTGACACCCGACGAAAAAGCGAGGAACGGATATGGCACCAGTCTGAAATTCACCTACTCTCCAGAGGTGCAGTACGTTTATCCCTCGTCTCTGCCGGGTGTTTTCCCTGATCTCCCGGCTTGTCACTGCGTGGAAAATATCTTCGATCTGCCCACCATGGAGGGTCTGGAGCCGTACGCTGGGCTGGTCGATGGTGTCCAGCTCGGAGCCGCCGCGCTGGCTGGCTTCCCTAGCTTGAAGACCTTGCCACACTACGGCCACCTGGCCTTCCATGGTGTCTGCGTCTTCCAGCAAGAAAGTCGCAACGAAAGTATGGTGGTCACGATCCTCGAACCTGGAAACAGGTCAAGCAGCGAGCTGGCCAAGACGAAGCTGGGACAGCGAGTGTACGTCGGATATCCGTTCCTCCAGGAGGCACTGGTTGTCCGTGTTTCAGACGAGCTTTTTGATTACACCTTGCCCGAAGGCGAACAACACGTGGTTGCGACCCCTCATACTGAATTTCAAATTCAGCAGTGGAAGAAGAAGGCCGATAGGATTGAGGGTCAATATGGTAGGAGATTGGGTATGGTCATCGGCTCGGTGGAGTCGATGGTGCATGTCCAACCCCTCAAGGGCTTGGTCAAGACGGATGAAGGAGCTACAATGAAAGAGTTCATGGATATCCCAGGCCAAGAACCTGACCACGCCCTGCAATTGATTGTCGATGAAGTGATCAACCCGGACGAACGGTTCATTGAGCGCGAAGCTTTGCCGATCGAGGAAGAGTTCCCCGAGGGCTCTCGGGCCTTTTTCCTGGGCGAGTTTAACTACGGCAGGCCGGTGCATATCACCGGATATGAAGATGGCAAGGTGAATGGGTTGATTGCCTCCGTCAAGGGCCGGGAGCCTGAATTTGGCAGGGAACGTGCGAGAGAAGCCGAGCGTTTCTGCCCGTATATGCCGTCGTTTGCGATTGCACGGAACCTGCGATTGAACCCGCTGGTGTTGGCCAAGATCACATCGTCCTTCTCCGTGGACATCGACGGATCGCGCGTCAACCTTGGTCTTAACCTGAAGTTCGAGGCCAAGAAGCAGAAGGTCCTTGGGTATTCCCGTCGCGGAGACTCCGGATGGGAGTTCAGCGCCAAGGCTGTCGAGTTGCTACAGCAGTACATGATCAAGTTCCCCGAGTTCATTGCTGGCATCCAACGAAACCCTCAGAATGATCGCTATAAGCCCACGGACTTCTACCCGGAAGACGTTGCTCTTGCTAAGATGCAAGAAATTCGCGATTGGCTGAAGGCTATCGAATCCAAGAGCTTTGAAAGGGTCCCTCTCGATGCCGAGCAGCTGGATTCGGATCTCGTCAAGTTGATCGAACAAGATGCGGACGCACTGCATCACAATCAGCCGCCCATGCAGGCGAAGAAGATCCGGGGTGTTCCTCGCAGCGCTCTCCTTCGCCCTGCGGATGTCGAGCAGAGGCTGGGTAACCAGAGCTTCAAGCTAGGGGACCGAGTGGTCTATGCCCAGGACTCCGGCAAAGTGCCCATCGCGACCCGCGGCACCGTGGTTGGACTCACCCGCACATCCCGAGCCGTTCTTCTCGACGTGGTGTTCGACGCTTCGTTCATGAGCGGTACGACGCTTGGCGATCGCTGTTCGCCCTTCCGCGGACAGACGGTCTTGGCGTCTTCCGTCCTCAACATCTCATACCGCCAGCTGTTGGCCGGCACCCGCGCGGGGGCTAACCAGCAACAAAGCCAACCTACACCTCTGACGGTGAATGGATACGGCGCACCTCTGGGGCCCGGTGGACAGGGCCAGCTGAGAGAGGCGTCCGCCCCTCCCCCACTGAACCACTCTTACCGCGGTGCCGTATCCGGCGGTGGCAATGGGCGCGGCAACTTCTCTCGTGGCCGTGGTGGACGCGGTGCTTTCAATGGAGTCGGTGCGCCGACCACCCTGCCTTTCCGCCCTCACCCCAACGGGGGAGACTCGCAGGGCAACGGCCAAGCCCGTGGTGGTCGCGGTCGGGGCGCCGGGAATGGTGGTCGTGGCCGTGGAGGCGGAAACCGTGGACGCGGCGCTTATGTCACTATCGACCAGAACCCGGATGTGGGTGTCGTCGACAACCCCAACTTCCGGCCCCAGAATTATAACCAGGTGCCGCCTCCCAAGGGCCTCGATCGAGGCAGGGGGCGAGGTCGAGGTGCCGGGCGTGGTGGACGGGGAGGACGGGGACGAGGGGCTGCTGCGGCGAGTGGTTCCGCTGAGACCAGTGCCTGATACAGGCGGGTTTCTTCAAAAGGCGATGATGTTTTCGTCTCCCTCTTATCCTTTCAGGACTCGGATTGTCAGCTGCTGGATGGGAAGGGTGGCATGGGTTCGCAGCATGACATGCGACTGTCTATATAGCAAGCTGTGTCATTCCAGTGGATAGAATTGAAACGGCCACAATGGCCCTCGATGGACCGATCTTCTAGACGATTGAAACCGTAGTAGGAACCATTCGGCTAGTCAAGTAATTCCCCGCATCCTGAAATGCGGAGATGGAAAGTATCCGCTAAACCATGACTTGTAACCGGATTCTCTCCAGCAGACAAGCAGACAAGCATCACAATAACTATCCGACTACTTTTCCTTCCTTCCTTTCTTCTCATATAATCCCCAGTATCCACCAGAGTAACAAGAACTACTTACACATACACCATGACCCATTCCCCAAAAACAACACCCCCCTTCAACAACCTCACCCTCGACCCCGCCGGACCCCCAGGCAACACATGGGGTCTCTGGGGCCGTGACAATGACCTAGGAATGCTAAATCTGCTGACGCCAGAAGTGGTGCAGAGGACAGCAGCCGAGGAGATCCGCACGGGGGTGCGGTTCTCGCTCGACCTCCCGCTGGATCGACTGAAGCATCCTAGCTATGGCAGGGAGCCGTTCGCGCAGCGCATGATCAATAAGGCGCCGAGGGTGGTTAATGATGACGTGTTGACTTTCAATACGCAGGCGGGGAGTCAGTGGGATGGGTTTCGGCATTATGGTATCTTTTCTTTATCCTTTTTTTACTGGGTGGATGGTTGTACAGCTAGGATATTGCTAATGAGATATGATTGATACAGGAGACCAGAAAATGGGCTGTTTCTTCAACGGACACAAGCAGGAAGACCTGACGCTGTCACCCGTGATAGGAATAGACTGTACGCCCCTCGTCCTCAACCAAGAAAGTCGAAGAAATCAATATTAACATAATTAACAGCATGGGTCAACAAAGGCGGCATAATCGGCCGCGGCATCCTCCTCGACTACGCAACCTACGCCCACAAGAACAACATCCCACTGTCCCCCTTCACAACATCCCCAATCCGCCTGCACCACCTGCAACAAATCCTCACCGAAACCAACACCACGCCCCGCCCCGGCGACATCCTCCTCATCCGCACCGGCTTCAAAGCAGCCTACGACGCCCTCACCCCCAGCGAAGAGCGCGCCCTCGCCGCCCGCCCCTCGCCCGACTTCTTCGGCGTCGAAAACGGCGAGCCCACGCTGCGCTGGCTGTGGGAGAACCAGTTTGCGGCGATCGCGAGCGATGCGCCCAGCTTTGAGCCCAGTCCGATTTTGCCGGAGGAGTTTACGCTGCATCGGTGGTGTCTTGCGGGGTGGGGGATGCCGATTGGGGAGTATTTCGATTTGGAGGGGGTGAGTGAGTACTGTAGGGAGAGCGGACGGTGGAGCTTCTTTTTGGCGAGTGTGCCGTTGAAGGTTCGTCTTTCTTGCTCCTTCTCTTGGTCTTGATTTGGGGAGGTTGGTGAATTGGTTGTGCTGATTTTATACTGCGGTGTAGGTGCCTGGTGGAGTGGCGAGTCCACCTAATGCGGTGGCTATCTTTTAGAATTCGTGATGTTTTATTGTTTATGGTGATATGGTTACTGTAGCTGGAGGAGTCAGTATTGCAGTCTAGTTGAGGTCTGGATCGAGTACACATGTAAGGTACTGATACTTTATAAGCTTGATGATGAAAGCTGCCAGCCAGGCAGACAGCAGACATGTAGCATAAATTCAAGGCAGCCTACGAGATACGTAAGAAAGAACAAGAACCAGTGACCCAAGCGTAAGATTCATATATTCAACTGCATCACTACACACTTGTGTAAAGAAAGAAATAATAGATAAAGAAGTATACATATTTTATTTACCAAGCAGCACAGGACCCAAACTTTTGATGTCCCCTTTATCATAGAAATCCAGGTAGGTATCCCACAAGTACAAGTTCAACGCCAGACGCAAATGCAAAATCTAGGGAAGACGGCACACACATGAATAATACAAAAGAAAGCAAGAAAGAAAAAAGAGTAGTTTATTCCAGACCCATCCATTCCCCATCTCCCTCTCCCTCCTCTGCATCATCCTCAGCCATGGCCTCGTCCTTTCCACCGTTGACCTCAGGCTCGATGGCTTTCAGCGTCACCGGGGTCTCCTTCTTGTCGAGGGCAGGGCGCGAGAGGAGGTAGGTGAGGTCGTAGACGTTCTTCTCGGCTAGGCGCTTGAGGTTCTCGCGGATGTCGTCGACCGCGCGCTGGACGGCGCGGAGCTCCGTGGCGAAGGTGCCTGCGTTGTCCTTGAAGTAGCGGCCGTGGTTGCTGAACAGGGCCTCGATCCAGAGCAAGTTGAACTCGAGATGGGGGGTCTCCTCGGCGGCGTGTGCCACAAACCGGAGCAGGCGGGGGAGGTAGACCGTGGGGACGGCACGGACCACGTGGTGGATGTCTGATGGCGGGATGGCCTGGTGGACGACGGACATCAGCTGCGCCTCGTTCAGCCGGAAGGCCATGATGAGGGCTTTTAAGAAGCTGTTGTCCTCGTCGACCTCGCCCGACGCACGGGCCGCCTTCGCTGCCTCCAGGGTGGCCACGATGGTCGAGGGAGTGATGTCGATGTCGAGATCGAAGGGATCGAAGACGAATTGCGTGTCGAGACTGTAGACGAGGAGTCCCTCCGTGGAGGCGGCGCAGAAGGCCTGTCCGGCTGGAGAGAAGTCCACGGACGTAACCCGCACTTCGGGTCGGGTGGTGCGTGCCCCAGCGTCTCCACGCTTGGCGCCTGGGAGGCTGCGGTCGATGCGATCTTCGTGGTCCGATGCCTCGCCGGTCTCGTCGATGAGAGCCCGCGCGCCTGCCTCCGTGAGGTCGCGGCTGTTCAGGATCTCCTGAGTGCCGTCGATCGAGGTGTTGACGGACACGGTGAACTTCTTGACCAGCGAGCCGGTCCGCACGTCGTACAGACAGATGTATTTACTGTTGCCCGCTGCCAGGACGCAGCTGCCGTCTGCGCTGTATGTGACGCAGGTGAAGGACTTGGTCCCTGCGGCGTTGGCGGCCGTCTGGCGATCGGTGACCTTGCGGCCACCCGAGATGTCACGACGACCGTCCAGTCCGCCTTGTTGGACCGCGTCCTCCACGGACCAGAAGGTGAGCTGGCCATCGAGGGAGGACGCCGCGACCTGCTTTCCATCGGGCCGGAAAGCGACACTCAAGATATCGGAGGTGAGGATCAGAGGTTCGCTGGTCTGAGACCGCCCGAAGATGCTCCACAGCCGGACGGTTCGGTCCCAACTGCCGCTGACCAGATGGCTCCCATCGGCAGAAAACGCGAGGGCCGAAACCGGGCCCTCGTGGCCGGACAATTGATCCAGCAACTGGCCCGTTTGCACCGACCAGATATGGATGTCGAAGGAATCCGGAGACCCAGCGCAAATGACCTCCCCGCTGGGGTCGACTGCCAGGGAGGAGAAGGACAAGCGGGACGGCGCCGTGAAGGTGCGGAAATTGCGATACCGGAGCAGATCCCAGGCTCGGATAGACCCGTCCAACGAGGCGGTAAACAGGACATTGCCTTTCTTGGAGAATTCACAGGCCGTCACCCCACTCGTATGCTCCGTAAAGGTCACAATACAGAAGCCCGACTTGACATCCCACAGTTTGATCTTGCCGTCATCTGCCGCAGTCACGATCCTCTGTCCGTCCGGCGTGTACACAAGCGAGTTCAGCGAGTCCAAGTGGCCCTGTTGCTTCAAGATATAGGACTCCGATTGCCACTCCCAGACCAGCAACTGGCCATGTTTCGAGGAGCCGAACGCCAGCCACTCGCCGGACTTGTTGATGGTGACATTGTCGATATTACTCTGGGAGACACTGTATGGAATGAGCGTTGATCGGAGGAAGGATCTCTTGCTTGGCTTACCTCAACTGATGGATCATGTTGAACTCTGGCAGATCGTAGATCCCAAACAGACCGTTCGAGAACCCTACGATCAAAAGACCGGTGGGAGCATGGAACGCAGCACAGTTGACCCTGGCGTCGTTTTGCATGAAGTAATCCTTCTTGACGATCCTCCACCGCTCGTCGGTGATATCCTCCATCGTGTCGGGGTCTTTCTTGGTCACGTACTCCCAGCGGAAGAGGGCGCCATCCTGGCTGACTGTGTAGATCTACAACGGCGTTAGTGACAATGCTGAAAAGAGGCGATTTCAAATCGGACGGGACTTACGGATTCTTGATCGGCCGAGAAGTACGCAGCCTTGACACCCTGGCGGTGTCCCGCCAGAGTCGTCGGCTCAAAACCATCCTCCGGGTCCAAGCTCCATACGCGCGCAGTCAAATCCTTGGCCGCCGTCAGAAGGAAGCGAGAGTCGCTCGACCACTCAATGCTCTGGATAGCGTCAAAATGCCCGGCCAGATCGCGGTGCAGAACGAACGGCGCAAACTCGAGTTCTCCATTGTTATCGGCCCCCGGGGTCTGCGGCGTATGCCACAGCTGCAGGCGTCGGCCCACTCCGACGGCAAAATGACGGCCTGAGGGCGAGAATTTGAGGGCGGAGACGCGGCCTTTGAAGGTGAAGTGATGGATGACGACTCGGCGGGGGAAGTTGGTCAGGATCGCGCGACCATTCTCGTCCACGGTCAACAAGAGGTTTCCTCGGGGCGAGAGATCCAGACGATCGATGTTGGTGCGATGCGCAAAGGGAAGGGTATAAGAGGTATTGCTGTGCGGGGAAGCCGATTAGTCCATGCATGATTCTTCTGCTGTCTTTCAATTCGGATTGACATCCGTCTGACTCCTCCTGCGTAGCTCATTTTCTAGAAAACAACATACTTGACTAGGTCAAACACCGAGACCCGGTTGCCCACGGGCGAGAGCAAGCAAGTGCCATCGGGGGTAAAGAGAATATTCCCTTTGCGATAGACGGTACCCAGAAGGTTGGAAAACTGCGACTGTCAGTGGGGGAATTGGTACTGTATAAGAACATCCAGAACTGACCTTGAAATCCGTCTTCATGATCACCAGCACCGGACAAAACCAGCAAAAGCAATCGATATCGAACGGTCCTTCAATTCCAAGCCGTCGCGTTTTCCAGAAAAAAAATCACGATAAGGTGGAGAGGCGAGTTAATCCGCTCCGAGATCAGCCGCTGCTGAGTCATCCATTTGCACCGTTTGCACCGTTTGCACAGTCCCGGCCTCAGGCTCGCCGTCTCCACTCCCCGTCGATTCAGGGGCAATTCGACCCAAACTTGGCCAAATCCATTGGATTCAGACCGATCCAGTAAGGTAAACTAAGGTTGGGAAAAGAAAGTGAGCTCCTGCTGTGTTACGCTCCCGTCCTTGCTAGACCCAATTCCTATCGCACGAGGTGAGTGCCCAGGGAAACCGCGAACTTGGTCGTTTTGTCTTCCCTTCCTGCTACTGCCTCCCTTTCCATCTTCTCCCCTCTCTTCTCCACGCTTCTCTGCCAATCTCCATCCTTGATATCATCTTCCCCCTTAATTGATTGTTGGTCTTTTACAGGGTCGTCGCCTTTGTTCTTCTTCGATATTAATATTTAATTCATCCGATTTCGTGTCCGATTGACCCCTTTACAACAATGGCCTCCACTACCGAGACGGCTTCCCCTATTGGCATTGCCAACGTAAGTAGATCTGGATCTCGATCGATTGTTGGGAATGTTTTGGAAATTGACTGATCATCGCAATAGCTGCCCAACCAGCGGTATGTTGATTTGATAAGAAGGGATGGTGATGGAAGAAATCAGGCGATACTAACCCGACACCGACAGACACAAGATCGTCGCTAAACGGGGCGCGGCCTTCACTGTTATGGTTGGTTTTGGCGAGAAACGATGCATTGGGTGTGGGTGATACTGACTGGTAGTGTAGGTTGCTGGAGAGTCGGGTCTGGGAAAAACCACGTTTATCAACACTCTGTTTTCGACCACCATCAAGAACTACGCCGACCACAAGCGCCGTCACCAAAAGCAGGTCGACCGTACCGTCGAAATTGAGATCACCAAGGCTGAGCTGGAGGAGAAGTTCTTCAAAGGTTAATACCGGATCTGCCGAACGCGCTGGATGATCGATCGCTAACCGCGTGCTCTATCTAGTCCGTCTGACCGTCATTGATACCCCCGGATTCGGAGACTATGTCAACAACCGCGATTCGTGGCAACCCATCATCGAATTCCTTGACGATCAGCATGAGTCCTATATGCTGCAGGAGCAGCAGCCCCGCCGCTCGGACAAGATCGATATGCGAGTCCACGCCTGCCTGTACTTCATTCGCCCCACCGGTCACACCCTGAAGCCGCTGGACATCGAGGTCATGAAGCGCCTGAGCTCTCGCGTCAACCTCATCCCCGTCATCGCCAAGGCCGATACGCTCAGCCCCGCTGATCTAATCCGCTACAAGCAAAGGGTGAGTCAATCCGGACTGCCACCCGGTCCGTGTCCGCGACTAACTTGCGACGTTTATTAGGTCCAAGCCGTCATCGAAGCCCAGGGCATCAAGATCTACACCCCTCCGATCGAAGAGGACGACGAGCACGCCGCCACCCACGCCCGCAGCCTCATGGCCGCCATGCCGTTCGCCGTGATCGGATCCGAGAAGGATGTGAAGACCCAGGACAACCGCGTCGTCAAGGGCCGTCAATATGCCTGGGGTGTTGCGGAGGTGGAGAACGAGGACCACTGCGATTTCAAGAAGCTGCGCTCGATCCTGGTCCGTACCCACATGCTGGACCTGATCCACACCACCGAGGAGCAGCACTACGAGGCCTACCGCGCACAGCAGATGGAGACGAGGAAATTCGGCGAGGCGCGCCCCCGGAAGTTGGACAACCCCAAGTTCAAGGAAGAGGAGGAGACTCTGCGCAAGCGATTCACCGAGCAGGTCAAGGTCGAGGAGCAGCGCTTCCGACAGTGGGAGCAGAAGCTCATTTCCGAGCGGGACCGCCTCAACAAGGATCTGGAGGCCACTCATGCTGCGTATGCTCCCCCCAATCCGTCTTTATAGTGAATCAAGGAATACTGACAAAACCAGGATCAAATCGATCGAGCAGGAGATCGAGGGCCTGCAGGGCTCGTCGACCCGCAGCCATGGACGCCGTTAAATCTCACGTTGCCCTCTAGGGTTCGTGCGAACTGGTGGAAAAAGCAGCATTGTACCTTCGCGATTAGTATTGCCTACTTGACTACCCCTTGACTTCTTTTGTGGTTATTTTTCTTTTCCTTTTTTTCTTTTTTTTTGGTTTTTTTTTCGGCTTCTTGCGACTCGGATAAGGTCACCCACTACACGGTGTGGGGGACTTGATTGATTTGAAGTACCTGATGGTGACTAGCGCTGGTTTGTCTTCTTGATAATAACCGACTGTATTCCGTAGCATATCAATACAGATTTAATTGTTGTTTATTTACAGTAAATTTTTGGATGTATTGTATGACAACCAGTGACTTCATATGAACCAGCATCTGTCTATGAAGCAGTAAGTTGTCTAGACCGTTGTGGAAACTACGGAGTCGATGGAGATGCGATCTAGATACCTTAGATAGGGTTTGGAGCTCCATCCGGTGGGGCCTCGGCGGTGAGCTTCATCCTCAACTTCAGTCGATCTCCATCCATCTCCCCCATAGCTCCGTGCTCCATACTCCGTATCCCAGTCAAACCACAATCAATCGAACTACTTTAACACCGCGAAATTTAAGTGATATTTCCACAAATGCCAGCAAAACAATTCCCCACGCAATTAGCCCACACCCTCAAAACCCATCATGGTAAGTCAAGTCCCCAACCAGCACCTCCCCTCACTCTACCACCCAACCCCTCTAACCTAACCTAGGCCCGGTAAACACCGTCACATTCTCCAGTATAACAGGCAGCTATGTCCTAACCGGATCCTCCGACCGCACGATCCACCTATCGCGCGCGATCCCGGACAACTCCCGCGCGCAAACGGTCACCACGACCCCGATCCAGAAATACGAGGCGCACGGGTACTCGGTGCTGGACGTGGCTGTCACGGCGGACAATGCGCAGTTTGCGAGTGTGGGCGGCGATCGACAGGTGTTTTTGTGGGATGTTGAGCAGGGTGCGACGGTGAGGAGGTGGGGTGGGCATGGGGCGAGGGTGGAGGCTGTGCAGTTTGCGGGGGAGGGGGATTCGGTGGTTGTTTCTGGTGGGTTTATCTGTTTCTTTTCTCGTGCCGTGCAGGGAGGGGGGGAGGATAGATGGTTTTATTCTAATTGGGTATATATGTGGGTTATGCTAATCAATTGTTGTACAGGCAGCGCAGACACAACCATCAACCTCTGGGACACACGGTCCAACGCACACAAACCGATCCAAACACTCAGTGACGCGGGCGACACCGTCTCCTCGCTACACACACACATGGCGTCCTATTCAATAGCCAGCGGGAGCTATGATGGACGCGCGCGCATCTACGACGTCCGCACAGGCCACGCGACGGTCGACGTGCTCGGCCACCCCGTTACCAGCGTGCGGTGCTCCACAGACGGAAACGCCCTGCTTGTGTCGACGCTGGATAGTCGGATACGAGTGCTGGACCGGTCAGACGGGAAGCTGTTGAAGGCTGTGGGGGGGAGGACGGGGGCGACGAAGGAAGAGGAGGAACCCGAGTACCGCAATACTGAGATGCGGATGCGCACTGTGTTTGCGCAGGGGGATGCGGTCGTGCTGAGTGGAAGTGAGGGGACGGCCAAGCAGCAGGCGCATGTGTTTGCGTGGGATGTGGTTAGTGGGGAGGTTGTTGCTTGCTTGCCTGCTGGGGAGGGAGTTAAGGCTGTGGGGTGCGTGGCGTGGAATGAGAGAGGGGGATGTTGGGCTGGAGGGTGTTCTGATGGTATTTTTTCCCTTTTTTTCTTGCTTTCTCATTGCTTCTGTCCTCGAACGGCATACTGACTACGAGCTGCAGGAACGGTCAAAGTTTATCGATAAATGGATGGCATCTGCTAAAATTACACTATACCAACGCCGTCCAATACGGGGAGCCTAGCGAGTCTGTCCATGTGGACGAACATGCGTTGCTCAGGCCCTCCAGCAAGATCGAACTCTATTTTCCTTGTCAGGCCGGCAACTGGCCAGTCAGCCGGCCAATTCACGCATGTACCCATGCAGAGAGGACATGACACGATACGGAACCATCCGATCCAATTGCTGCTAGACTAGGAATCTAGCTGGTGGCGCGAACTGATCCTGTCGTCCAACATGAGCACAGCCATGTGATACGGACATGACGAACCCATGAAGAACAGACCTAGTCCTGTCTTACAGTTAACTTTGTCTATAGATAGACTATATGAACTGTCTAAAACAAGACAAGAAGAAATCAAGCTCCCCCAATGACTGCCGATGGCGATGATGACAACCACAACCATGCTCCAGCAGAAAGAGACGAGCCGTGCGAGTCTCATGACACTAGCCATATACTCTTTTCATTCTTCCACATGCTGTTTTGGCTCATCATGCAAGATGATAACGCCATTCATTCTGTCAGAGAGAAACAAAGAAACCATTCTACTGGTGGTGTCTTACACTTGATCTACCTGATGCACGCACGGGCACAATCTAGTATGGGTCATCCGTGAGAGCTACCTCCTTTTCCTCTCATTATTTCTTTCTCAAAGCTAGTCCTATTCTGTACTTAGCTAGCCAAATGATCCAAGTAAGCCTTGAACCATCCAAGACCGCACTCCATGCTAAGACAGCAAACAATAAGTACGATGATGATGCAATCTTATATACAGTATGTCTTCATCGGTAGCCAGTAAATCACATGATGGAGTGACAATACACCGGTCGAACTCAACCGAACTCAGCCATATTCGTACATTCAAATTGCTGTACTGAAAGGGATCACACCCACAAAGACGGTTTCTGTTCATCCATCACTGCACGAACGTAAGTTAGTAGCATGCTCGTACAAGGGGGTCTTGGTCAACACTAACAAACCCTATAGATAGATACTGAGTAACCACGAATCACAGAAATCTAAATAATGCCACAGCAATAACAGCAAGGACCCCTCCGCGTCCTCCTCACAATCTCCCACAAGAACCCACACTTCACGCAATCCTGGTCCACACTCACAGATCTCCTCCCACGAGCATACCAAATCCTAACTTACAACAACCTCATAAACATAAAACACCCATGCAACTCCTCGCGAAACCGAAATGGACATCACGCGCGTCTTTCTGGTGTTCGATATTGCGAATGCCTCCTATGACACTCACAAGGGACACTTACCAGAGGAGAATGATTCGCCAATTGTGATTGTCCGTTTTGGTGGGAGTAGTGATGGCAGTAGCAGAGGTGGGGAGAAAGTACAGGCTTATGCAGCGAACGGGCTCACGCGGAAAAAGGCGAATAGTGATGTTGCGAGAGCCCATAATGACCATGGTGTTGATAGTTTCCCGCCCTTTAAGACGCATTTTACGCTGGGTGGGCCGGTTTGTCTTGACCCGCGGGATCCGGCGCTGTTACTCTGACTGACTGACTGACTGATGTTGATGGTGGATGTCAGCAGGTGGTGCTGGGTGGTTGAGGTCGACAGGTGGTGCTGAGTGGCTGTGGCTATGGTGGTGTGTCACCTCCTCTCCTTCCACTCCCCTTAGAAGTGGTTATGTTTATTTTGGCGTGGGAGGAAGTGGGCTGTGGGCCTATAGTGTGTACTTAACAGTGTAGAGGTCGTAGAGAACGATATCTGAGGTTTTTATCCCCTAGTTCATGATAAGACCTAAGGGCTAGTGTCTGTTCAACTACTCATGTATATAACACTACTGTACTGCTTTTGTCTGGGGCTGAGACTGTGTACTATCTAGGTATAGACCTATTAAAACTTAAAACCAATTATATTAAGTTCACATCAGTCCAATTTAGTGATAGTATCAAAAGAGAAAATAGATAGCACGGTCTCAAGCACACGAGCCAAATTCCCATGTACCCCCGGTCATCAAGTTATATAATTACAGGCAAATTGACTTTTTAATCCCAAAAAGGTGGTAATTGAAGTAAATAAAACAAACTTTTCCAAGCCAAGCGGAAACCGCTGTGTCGTCATGTCACGTCATGTCACGTCAGATTTCAAGAGAGTGCCTCATACCCCCTTGATAGAGAGGGAAGGGGGTAAGGCTATATATGCACTCATATATCGTAAGATGGTGAACTAGGTTGAAGATCGTCCGATGACGTGTGGTTCTCAGTGTCGAGCGCGTCCATAGCGCGGTTGAGCTCGTGCTCACCGACGAGGATGGTGCCAGCGCGGGCTGTGCTCAGGAAACTGATCTCCACGGCGTCCAGGGACGCGTCGAGGTCCGGCTGGAGGCGGTGCATTGAGTGACCACCACCAGGGAAGGAAAAGCCGGGCGCGTCGACCGGGGAGTCAGTGGGGACTGCGCTGGGGTAGTCCGCGGCGTGCGTGGCGTCGGCGAGGCGGCTGGCGACGCCGCACACAATGCCGGTGGCTTCGAGGGGCAGCTTGCGCAGGTCCAGCATGACGGGGACGAGGATGTCCTCCTTGGCGCCGAGGAGGAGGCTGGAGTCGTCGTCGGGGTCGGACGAGGCGAAGCGCGGGAGGAGTCGCTTCTCGAGGAGGAGCGAGGCGGCGGGGTCGGCGGCCGTGAGGGTCAGGGAGAGGAATCGGGGTTGGTCGACGACTAGGGCAGCGGTGAGGGCCTCGCGTAGGATGGAGATGGAGCTGGCGTCGGAGGAGTAGTGGTGGTGGGCGGCGCAGTGCACTAGACGGAGGGAGCGGTCGACGAACGGGACGATGGCGTTCTTGCGCAAGGAGGCGAAGGTCCGGGTTTGGAGCTCGCTGAGGGATGATGGGGGTGGAGTGGCTGGGGGCGAGCGGGGGGAGATAGGGCTGAGGCTGCTGTATGAGCCTTGGCCGATATTGACAAAGGCTTCGGTATCCATCTCGAACTGGAACCCGCGGTTGCCCAGGGCGTCGATGACCCGTTGCTTGCTGCGGAGGGGAACGATGATGTAGTCGGAGAAGTAGGTAGAGATGAAGAAGATGGAGCTGACTGGTTAGTTGATTTTTACCAACCTCTGGAGAGGAAGAAGAACGGATGGTACATACATTCCCGCCATCGCCAACGGACTCGTCAACTCAAGCACGCGCTGTCCAGCCTTAAGCCCTTCCCCATACACCTGCATGGCAACAAAGTCATCCTGGCTGATCGCCAAACGGCCCGAAGATGCCGTGCCAGCGAAGCGGTGGATCAAGGGAGCAAAGTAGAGGTCCGCCAGCTGTCTAGGACACATGACGGAGCACTCGACGGGAGTGATGGACAGATTCAGAAAGGCCGACTGGAGGGCCTTGGGGGGGTGGGACGAGTCATCCTGGATAGGGGAGACATCGTGAAAGAGCACCTGCAAGATGGGCTGAAGGAAGTAGGGATAGAGGTCCAAGGGGATATGGACGAGGGCCAATCTGTCGTCCTGTAAGTTTGTTAGAATGGAGGTCCGGTGGCTATGGGGTGGAAGAACTCACCATAAACTGGACCTGCGCGGAGGTGAGGGAGAGTGAATCCATGGGTCAATTGTATATCGCACTGGGGTGGGAGGAGGATGGCGGGTCATTTCTTCTTGCGCTTAAAGAATTGGAAGAAACCGGATGGTGGCATTGTCTGAGGAGTTCATTACGCCATTGGAGGGGAGATGGTGGAAGAATGATCAAAAGAAGTATAGCAAAGGGATAGTAGAAGAGGAAGAGAAGCAGTAGAAAGTGGAGGAGAAAATGACGAGAGAAAGATATCAGAGCAGGTGACCGATTTGTTCCTTTTGTCTCCTTTGTCTCTTTTGCGCAGATGACTCAATCGATCAAAGTCAAAAGGAAAGAGTCTCCACTGGAATCATCTGCTGGATGGAGATTCATAAAGAAAGAAATATCTAGATATAAAGAAAAGAATAGTCAATCTGTGTATCAACCAATTAATACTACTAAACATCCTTATCTTTCCCCACATTATCCATTACGCTTATCTTTCTCTCAGCTCCACCGCGACAGGCGCTGCACCCGAGATCGACAACGTCTGTCCAAGAGTTCTCTCCATCAATTGGATCTCTCTTCAAGAATGGTGGACAGGGATCGGTGCAGTCCATGATGCTCGAAAAGTGTCTACATACCAAGATGCAAGAATTCCACCCCTTTGTGGCGATCAACCAGTGGACTCCTCCATCCATACACATGCCGAAGATAGGGCTGCTCCACAGAGGCAAACAGCGGTACCGGTACGAGGCACCATATCTCCATCAGAAAACTGAATACTATGACGAACTACCTAGTTCCTGAAATGATGTCAACTAACTATACTATAATAGACACATCCTATACTAGGTAAGGTACGAATACAATGACATACATACCCCGCACAGACACTCCCAAGCCCTAGGAACCACCTAACAAAGTACCTTCTTAACCAACATACCAACCAGTACCTGTCTGCCTCCTGTTCCGACGGGGCGGAGTCCGGAGACTCTTGTCTTCCCTCCAGCTGGATAAGAACCATGATAGGTTAGGTAGCCCTAACGGGGTTGGCTACCTTGGCTGCGGGGTATAGCGACTATCTCAAGGTACTGCCTACTTGGTACTAACATAACTTCTATTTAGTACATACCGGGGACGTGACGTGGTATGTACTTGACTACCCAGGTGCTTATGTACAGGCTAGTGATAGATAATGGGTTGTAGTGTGATTGGTTTGTGTCGTCGACTAGGTACCTGGTATAGATGATCACCTAGCACAGGGTGGGTAGGAGGTAGGTAGGTATTAATTAATATAGACCTACAGAAGTACATACTAATTGGGTATTGCATACGACGCTCCAGGAGAACCTATGGCCGACAATGATATGCCTGCGTTCAGTCCATAAGTAGTAGAATCCAGTCCTCAGTAACGAAGAAAAACGACAGCGCATGATATTTCCTTTCGATAAAGATAAACTATATCAGTCCAAATCAACGCCCGCAATGCACAACAATCCGACAAAACTGAAAAGCAATGTACAATCACCAACGGAAAGCTCAAGCTCATTCCTCGTCCACTCGAGCTCGCTTCGATCCACGACCCTCGGCCTCCTGGATCCCGTAGCGCTTCTGCCCAGCTCCCGATCCGGATCCCTCCCCTGTCACGTCGGCAATCATGTTGTCGATGCCGAATGGGTCGGCTGTGTCTTTTTCGAATTGCACGGGGCCGTCGCGAGTCTGTTGTTATTAGCATAGTTGCGTAATCAAACACGAAAACGTGTAGAAAGAGTAAAAGAACAAAGGGAAATACCTCAGCATCAGCCGCACCGCGGAATCCCTCCTTCGCCTTACCCAGCACCTCAAACCGTCCCGACTTCTGGATCTTGCTCATCTCACCCTCAGCCCCCTGCCCCTCATCCTCGTCGTCCATCTGCGCCTGCGGCCGGTAGATACTGTTGATGGCGTCCTGCGCCGCGAACAATGGCTTATCGTAAGGGTTATCCTCGTTGAATCCCGAGTCCATCCCGCTAGTCTGGTTAAACAGTCGCGAGTCCCACATGCCCTCCGACGACTGCGTCGGCTTGGCCAAGCCCAGCGCCACCTTCTCGGAGATATCGCGGTTCTGCTCGCGCGCCATCGCCTGGATCTTCCGCTCCGTGCCCATGCGCGACTGCCGCAGCTCGCGCTCCGCCTCCTGTCGCCGCTCGCGACGCAGCTGCTCCCGTTCGCGGGCTGCCTCGTCCGCACTGTCGGGCGACGCCGAGCGCGACGAGTAGTACGGCGACGGGCTGCGGCTGACACTGCGGGACGACGCACGACCGCCACCACCACCACCACCCTGGCGGGAGCTGCCGGCGCGCTCCTCGCGCGCTTTCTGAGCCAACGCCCGCAGGTGTTCCTCCTTCTGGGCCTTCTCCTTCTCGGCCAGCTTCTGCTGCATCTGGGCACGCAGCCGCACCTCCTCGCGGGCGTGGCGATCCGCCGTGAACAGCGCCTCAGCGAACTGCGCGAACTTATCATTGATGGTCACATCCTGCAAGCCGCGGCCATCAGCTGCGAGACGCTTATCCAGCGGCACAGTGTAACCCTTGGGATTCTTCCAGTTCGACACAGGCGGGGGGATCTTCCACGCCTCCTGATCCTCAGCGGTGAGCTTCCGGGGCGGCGAGTGCAAGATCGGAGGCGGAGGCGAAGGCGGGCCACGGGGGATCTTCTTATGCTTAAACTTAGGCGGCTCCATCGGATCATGCTGGCGGTCGACGATTTTCATAATGCGGTCGTTCTTGCGGGTAGTATCACCCATCTGGTTGGCGGGGGTGTATCGCACAAAGGTCGGCTCCGCACGGCGTCCACCCTTAACATTCTTCGGCTTCTGCGCCTGCACGGCACCGTCCACCAAGCTCGCCAGCGCGTTCTTAGTCTTCTCCATCTGCTCAGCCACCTGCTCCTCCGACGGACGGTCCAGCGAGATCTCGCCCATGTCGACGCGCTGGCGCAGCGGGATCAGGTCCTTGAAGGAGGCGTGCACGATGCGGTCGTCGCTGTGGCCGCGGCGGGCGATGGCGTCGTATTTCACTTTGCCTTCCGCGTCGACTTGCACGGCTAACGCGTTCGATTTGGACGATGTCCCTTTGCGGCCCATGTCGAGGGGGTACTGCGCGACGAGAATCTCGGGGAACGCGCCACCGTCGCCGAAATCTTCGGGCGCTCGCGGACGCCATCCGGTGCGGTTGCCGTATGGGGGAGGGCCTGTTTTCTACTCTATCTTAGCTTGCGCTGTTCCTGTCATGAATTACAGTCAAGGGAGATAGAATGGATACTCACCCTCAAAACAACCTGCGTCTCGTCTAGCTGTCCCGGGCCCACCACCCGCGGACCACGGGGCTGGGCATGCTGTGGTAAATCCTCCTCCTCGCCGGTATATTTCGGCTTAGGGAGGGTTTTGAAAAGTCCCTCCGCGATAGATGTCATGATGAGATGGGAAGGGAAAGTGGGGGGAAGAAGGGGGGGGATGGTACAGGGAAAAAGTTGAAGTTGCAGTGATGATGATTGCTTGATTATCGGGAGAAAGTCGCTTTTCCTGTTTGGGGTGTGGCGGTGTGGGTGTGGCTTATATAACAATCAGTGGCTTGTTAGTATATCACTTACAGCTCGCCATGATGTGCAGCAACACTTCGTATTGAATATTGCGGGAGAAATTCAAGATTTAATGTCTCCCCAGTGATAAATTATTGATAAGTATAGTATAGATATGTAAATATTAACCATTCAAGATCAGATCTATACAAGTACACCTATAATACATAATCATACAGACATTATACAACATTCCAAACAATAAACCAATCCATATAGATAGGAGAACAGACAAAACCAGAGATGAGTCCAGCACAATCATACAATGCAATACACTAAATCAAATGCGACCGCATCGGACAAGCAACCCCTTCACCATCTCTCACTTCAACAAAATGCTCCTTACCATGATACATGTACCAAATCTTCAACGACTTAGACAAAAGCGGCGCAGGGTCATAGAAGCCCAGAATATGGAACTACATCACTCGTCAGCAAATCCAAATACAGTCAGCAAAGCGTCGGAAGTACTCACCTTAACCATATCCTTCGCAATCACAAGCTGCCCCCGATCAATTAACGCCGCCACAGGGATAGTCACATCGACGACTTCATCCGGACGGGGCTCCGTCCCTTCACTGCTGTCGCGCTTCTTCTTCCCAGACGGATAGTGGCCGTACTCGGCCTTCGTGATGACGAGACCGCCCTGCGACTCCTCCCTCGCCTGTCGTCGCCGCGTCTGCTCAGCCATGAGTTCAATCGCCTGCAGGCTGTCCGCGCGATGCTTAGGGATCAGCTTCTTGAGCTGCCTATGGCGTTTAGCGATCGCACGGCGGCGATTCCGGCGGTCCCGGGGACGGATGATGCCGAACTCGACGGCGCAGTACAACGCCCAGGGCGCGACAAGCGCGAGGGTAGACGCATCCGACGTGACAGAGTCAAGGGGGCAGACCTTAACAGGGATCTGGATCTTCTGGCCCAGTCTGCTCCACGAGAAAGTCATGATCAGACCTTGGGCGTCAGTCAGGCCGACGCCGAGGCCCATGCGCGTGAACTCGCCCACCTGGCGTGTTCCCTCGACGACCCACGACAGGGAGAGGTCGGCCGCGAGGGATGTCTGAATTTCGAGCCGCACGGACCGCGGCTCGACCTCCTGCGGCAGCGGGTAGTGGCCTTCGCCGCTCCATTCGGAGCGTCGTGCTTCGTTGGCCGCTTTGCCGGAGAAGAGGTTGCGCGAGTAGGTGACGGATAGGCCGCCGCCGCCTGGGGAGGCCATTGCTACGGTCTGCCAGGATTCCGCGGCTTGGTCTTCCGCGCGGAGCTGGTTGCGGGCCATCTCGAAAGCGAGGTCTTCTTCGTCTTCTTCGTCGTCTGCGTCGTCGCCTTCGTCGTCCTGTGTGGCGAGACTTCGAGATAGCTTTGGTAGAGAGGTGTAGCCCAGCTGGAAACTGCTCGCTTCTTGGGAGATGTCGTCCGCGTGGGCGCCCAGTCCGAACAGCCGCTCGAACAGGTAAGGCCAGTCGAGGGTGCCGCTTGACCACGAGCAGAAGACTGTCTTCCGCTGGGCGATGGCCTTGGTGATCTGCAGGCCGATGGTGGGCATACATTTGAGAGGGGAGTTTTTGAATAGGGCCGACGTCTGGACCGTGAAGGGTCGCGTGCCGGGAATGGGCGTGTATGCCTTTGCGTAAGCGATTTGCAGAATAGGGGCCGGCAAGACCAGGAAATTGGCAGCACATCCAGCATTGGTGAACAGGGAGGAAAAGCGCTCGCCAAAGAGACCCTTGGGCCTCGCCAAGTCATCGAGCGTACGGTTGATACTGGCGCCGAGGGTGATGTTGTTTGCGACCATTAGCAACGGCAGGGGTGTCTACACGGGTTGTTAGTAGATAGACGGAGCACGAAGATCGACAGACTTACACCCTCACGCTGCAAATGTCGAAGTTGCCCTTTGACGCTGGCACTGATGACCATATCCGTCTCCACAGGAGCCTCCTCATCCTGCTCAGCAGACTCATCCTCCTCATCCTCCTTCTCCGACTCCCCAAAGATCACCCGCGGAGTCGGCAACGGCGTCTTAAACGAACACCCAACACTAAAAGCATTGGTCTGCAGGGTGGGGATACCCACATACACCTCATCATCCTCATCAACAATAATCAGCCCGGCGGCATCAAGCCCAAGAGACACAGAGCTCTACAGTCAGTCAGTCAGCCATCACCCATAAACCATCAATCTCTCCAAATAAATAAAAGAGAGAAAAAGAAAGAAAAAAAGAAAAAAGGAAACAAACCCGACACTGCACCAGCCGATTAACAGCAACCCTCTCCCTCCTCCTCATGACCCCCAAAAACCACCTCCTAAACTCCTCCGGCGCCATAGCCCTAACCCCAACCTCCCCCTTCCCCTTCCCCTCCCGCTCCTGCTTCCTCGCCTCGCCAAACACCCCCATCGCCCCATGCGGCCCCCACTCCGCACGCACGCCCTCCGCCCCCAACAAATCATACACCGCGCGCTTCTGCGGATCAACCAGCGTATCATACGCGGCACGGATCAGCGCAAAGTGTCTCCCCGCGGCGTCGTGCCATTGCGCGGGCTGCTTGTCCGGGTGGAAGCTGAGGGCGAGGGTGCGGTAGGCGGAGCGGATTTGGGACTCGGTGGGAGCGGGCGAGCGGGGAAGGTTTAAGAGGGCGTAGTAGTCTGTTTCGGTTGGGTAGGGGGTGGAGGATTCATCTTGGTGGTTGGGGAGGGGTTCGTCGGTGTCGTCGTAGGCTTGGTCTGCTGGGGTGGACATTGTTTTGGACTGGCTTGTTGTCTCGTTTGGACTCGGTCTGTTTATAGTTGAAGCTCTTTCCCTTCTCTTCTCTTTATCTTATCTAATTACCCGTGTATCGCGTTTCAAGGGATGATAAACCGACGATTAGAGACGACAGGCGAATAGGTAAACGGATGCGTCGTCGCGTCGCACTCTTTCTCGCCCGAAATCGCAGTTGAAGAGGAATTGAGGATACGTCAACGGTCCATGATCACTCTGCGAATGTCAATCTGTATATACTCCAATATCGTAGAATAAAACCGCCGATATATGTGGTGGTTGGAGGTGTGCATGTGCAATCGGATGGATGAGATTGGTTTTCCAGGTTGGCTGCGGAGTTGACGGAGTTAGAAGGATGACGTTCCGGCCGGGAAAAATGTTGCAGTGCATGTCTCACTTTCTCACTTCGGCGGGGGGGGTTTCTAGGGTTTTCTAGGTAGAAAAAAAAAAACACCGTACAACAAATAGAAAATTATTAGAAATTAAAACATTGTAGATATTGGAAGGACAGAGTATGACAACTACAGCTTTATTGAAGTATACTACGAGGATTCACATCAAAATCATCATTATAATACATAGTACATACATACATACCGCTAACGAATCAATCAATCATAGTACCTGAGCAACACAACAAAACCCAACCCACCAGGTATAAGTAAAGTAAAGTCAGTAAAAAAAGCCCATGTTAATACATTCCATCATGAAGCAAAAAACAAACCAGTCCCTAGATAGAGCTCAATTCCTCTCTCGAATCCACAGAATCTTAGCTCCCGAAAACAACACATCGGCAGCACCCAAGGCGCTCAGGAGTCTCTCACGGGGTAGTCCACCATAGAGGAGGTCGTGCTCGACACCAACGTCCTGCTGATGGGTGCCCCCGGCGTGAACTTGACTGTCCAGGGACGTCCCATCTACGAGGAAGACCATCTTGCCTTCTAGCTCGAGTGGGCGACGGAGGCAGTCCTCCAGAGCGTCGAGGCGTCGTTCGATGAGAGTAGCCAGGGGTAAAGAGCTATCCCAAAAGCGGCTCAACTCGCGAACTGCGTCGAGACCACCGCGGATAGAGCTGATGCACTCCGGGATTTCGGCAATCAAGCCTGCGGCACTGAGGACGTCGACTGCGGATAGAATCACGTAGCCGAGGAAAGGGTTCAAGATGATGCCTTTCGGGGAATTCGGCTCGACTGTCCTCTGGGACGTCTCATGCTCAGAGCCGTAACGCACCATAGACTGGGAGATGTGGAGGATCTTCACGGCACACTGTCTGGCTGTGTTGACGTAGCCGTCTGTGGTCCCGGGACGGAGATACTGGTAGCGGGCGTGTCGATTTAGCTTCATCAAGGTCGCGTTATACAAAAGATGGAGTGCCATGAAGGCATCGGCCTTTCTGGCTCGAATATTTCGCTCCATATTAACCGTTGCAAATGCCAGGTGATCGGGGAGTCGTGCAAGCCACCCCTCTGACCGTCGGGTGACGGTAGCGTGAAACCCCTCGAATTGCCGGCCGTACGTATCGTCCTGGGCCAGAGACAATCGGACAACGTAGTCCGACACATCGCCCCACAGTGACATGATATCGATCAGGAGGGCCATCGTACTAATTCCCGACAGCTCGTCCTCGGGCGACACGGGGAGCTGGTTCAAGAAATTCTGGAAGAAGGGCACCGTCGTATACTGTTGCGCTTCATAGACTTCTTCGCGGCAGGGAAGTCTCAGGTAGGCCGTCTGGGAGGAGAGGAAGGTCGACGACGCGGTATAAAAGCATGAAAAGCGCTAGAGGTTTGATGGTAAGCCAAGTGTATAATTGAATCAGGATCCCTTCCAACACTTACATCCATCAAAAAGGTAGCCCAAAAGGTTCGCCGACGACACTCCATGAGCGCCTGGGGATGCAATCCATACTCGCAGGGCTGACTCTGGTCGACGATGATGCCCGACTCGACATTGTATCGAAGCCCGCACACGGTTCGAACGGCCGAACCGACGGCATCACAGGAATTGACCAGAGCGCCGACCGCGTGGTACCAGAGACTCATGATGATGTGGCTCTGGGCGAGTTGAAGGGAGAGACTATGTCGGCTATGTTCGACGGCATATCGGGCGG